AATGCTTATTTCAAAAATGAATTCTTCTTGGCTCTTAGACCTCCTTGCATATACATTGTACATAATTAATATGCATTTAAAAGACTCTTACAATATAAAGGAGGAAAAATAGAGATCCCTCCCCCCCCAAAATATACTGGACAGGTAATTTTCATGACTGTCCTTTTATGCATGATTATATGCATACAATGCCTTATGATGATTTCATTATGGTGTTTAAGTCTGTGGACTGCATTGCGATAATCGTCAATATCCAGCGTTAGCTGATCGTCTATTTCAAAGCTACATACTATTGATTTTTCTCTCTGTATATGATGCTGTTGGTCTGTGCGAGCCCCCAGTTTTACTCGGCATCTTGATAGTGACGTAAGGATCGCAGTCCTTCCAGCCATTATGCTTTCTCTTTTTAGTGACACCTGTACGTATTAGTTTTCTTATTTTCACATTTGATGTTTTGTTTAAACTCTGTCAGATGGTCAGTTTTCTGGTCCATATTGACAATGATGACAAGGTTTTTGATACAGGTACATTATATAAAAGCTGGAATTTCCCTGGCAATTTCTTTTCTTTCCATTTATAGTGAAACTCTTGAATGTCAGATGGTTATGATTTTAAATGTGTCTGATGTCAGTAAAAGAACTCCTATGTAAATGTGTTGGGTTAAAGTCTCCATGCTTTATTGATGGATCTGTAACTTAAAACTGTGTATATGAATTATTGATTTTATTGTGTGTTTATCTGACCATGTTTAGGAGGTGTTCATGAAAAGTTCACGTAGATCTGGTACATTTTGTTTAATCCGACAACAGTGGCACACACTGGAAAATTAGATATTAAGTAGTCATAAGATTTCTCAGTAAGGTGTTGGCGTAATATTCTGTAATGGACTGCATTTTCCAAGTAATTGAACTATTTCCGGAACTTGCTAATAATCAAATATTTTTTTCCATGCATATCGTATAATTAGCATATAATCATGTCATTGAATTGTTGTTTGACTTACTGAAATATAAAATGTACCATTACCTATGAGCTGATATTTTTGTCTACTTATTAATTCTGTAACCAGACTTGGATTATATATATACCCTATGGAATAACATGCCCCTTTTCCTTCCCATTTTTCCTTGAAAAACTCTCAATATGAAAAAGGCAGCAAATCATCAATAAAATTTACTATGGAAACAAGTTCCAAATCATCTAAACACTGTGTGCTAAAGAAATCAAATTCTGTTGTATTTCATGGAGTTAGGATGATATGCTCTTTGATCTAAAATAAAATTAATGTGAAATCTACAGTGTTCTACTTAATTTGTAATCAATATTCATTGACAAGCATTCCTAGAATTAAACTAACTGAAAACTTCCATGTAATTTTGCATGCATATTTTTTTCCCATTTAAATAAGCCAGCTTGATTTCAGTACTTCGTTGACTTTGAACATTTTTCATTTTGGTGAAAAGATCCAAGGTACCGCGTGTAGAAACTCAATATGATCACCTTTTAAAACATGAAAGAAAACTTGCAGTGGCAGCTACAATGAATGATTACTATAGTCAACTTACAATAATTATAGTTTTGTCATGCAGTAATGGCATCATCCGTGTTTTATTGTCTGTGTTGTTTTTATCTTTAATTTTGCCAGTCTTTTCAAACTTCTGAAAAATGGATTCGCTCTCAATAACATGTACACAGTGTTAGTAAGAAATTCTCCCAAATTAAAAGTGTGTTCCTGGTGTTATGATTTCACAAATAATATGATTATATATAGAGATTTCATTTGTACCTGAAGTGATTTCTGACATGATGGGATATAGACTCGGGAATTAGATACTGAATGGCAAATGTGCTTGGCCTCTTTTTAAGGCATTTATAAGATTTGTTTTAATTCAATCATGATTCAACGAGTTTGGAGATTAAGAAGGAAAGAAGGGAGGGGGGTTGTGACAGCAGGAGCATTGTGGCTTACATGTTACCTTGTTTCAAAACCACGGTTTGCCAGGTGTTGCTTGCAAGGTTTACTATAAGTACAAGCTTTTTATTGCTGGGGTCATCACACCATTCCACCACGTGTGATAAATAGGATAATGGAATGTTTTATTATTAACTTCATGGAAGAAATGTTACATCAAAGATGGAGATTCATTTACATTAATGCATCATGTTACATTTTTAGTTGCCATGGCAATAGTATAGTGAAGTTGAGCCTTTTATTTAATTTATTTGTTGTTTATTGCATGTTGATAGGACAGAACTGAATAATTAATGAGAAGATACAAGATTGGGCTCAAATGATACAATTAAGCTAGCATCTATTTGAAACGGAACTGATCATATTACCGGTATTGAAGTGGATTTGCCTTAAGCATTAGATCCAGATCAATAATGATATTAGCATTGTACATGTTTTAATCATATATGCTTATAAATGTAATAGTAATATGAATTGTTCAATGTCATTTTAAAGGACATGGAATAATTTTCCTACATCATTTTAAGTAAACCAACCAGGTGAAATTTACAGAAAATATGTTTACCATACATACTTGCCTATAAGTCGGTATTTTTGGGAGTTATATTTCTAAGGTCCAAAACTTTATGTCCGACTTCAGTCTTATAGGCGAGTCCTAAAAAGATTGGCATTTTTCTGTATAGCAAAATGTAGTATTTTTTAAACAACTCTGACTATTACCGATGACAAAAGCCTGGACATATTAATTAATATTAATAATTAATGTACTATTCCAAGATTATATGCAAAGTTCGAAGTATAAGCATTTACATATTTTATCGTAAGTATGTATTATTTATTTTGTCAATAGTTTACGTAATTAATTCTTTTAGTAACATGTGACTTACTGTAAATCTACGATTTATTAATAAAATTACAAAAAAATTGCTAAACATCAGCACTTTTCGGAGTTAACAACCATTTTAAACACACATGGCACCTCGTCAAACATGGCTTAGAATGCTGGCATTCAAGTAATCAGAGCAGGGAAAAATAACTAAACAGAGGAGAGAATAAATGTTATCATATTTATAGGAAAATGTTACAGTAGTTTTGTTAGTCCAATTTATACACTACATGCTGTTTTCCAACTTCTGTTAAACAAGCAAAAAGTAGCATACACGTTGTTTATCATTTGTCATTTAAATGAAAAAAATGAAGCATTTCTTTCATTAAAGTTTAAAGTTTAACGTTAAATATCATGGGGGGGGGGGGGGGGAGGAGGCTAAAAAAAAGACTCAACAATACCGTTATTTTAATATCCCCAAACTTCTGATTCATACAATAAAATTGGAACAACCACTGCATCAAACAATTGTAATTATTATAGAACATCAAAAGGTAGTCATAATTTTCCAGCCTTGCCTAATGCTGAACATAGCAGATATCTGTCCTCTTTATATTTTATTTTCGGAATGAAGAGCCCATAAGTTAATTACAATCCCCATCATTTTACTATATTAAAAAAAATATATATCGCAATACAATGTCGTGTACATTTCTTTGGTCAATAAATCACAATACAATGGAATATCAGTATTATTGCACAGCCCTAGTGACATGATAGGAAATAAATTTGTTATTCAGGTTCAATTAAAGGTATAAGAGGATTTATAGTGGGTTATATTTCATATACAATCAAACCTCCTTATTTTGAACTCGACAGGACCATTAGATTAAGATTTGAGATATCTAAAGGTTCAAGATAATAAGATTAAAAAAAATAAAGAAAAGGGGTTGGGATTGCCAACTCAATCAACATATCCCTGGTATTTGGTATATCACTGTTGGTGATAATGAAGTTTAACTGTAGACTTCTGACTGAAGGTGTATAGAATACAACTAAAAAAATCTGAAGATTCTAGATAAAAAAGAAACAGTAGTTGGGACTTTCAACTCACTTTGTCATATGCATGGTATTTGAGATTTGATCAAGATACCAAAGTTCAACTGTTTTCTTATTTTGATGCATTTTTCATGTTGCATGCATTGCATGCATGTATAGTTAGACAAACATGTATATCCAGTCTTTTAAGCACTGGTTTTGATAGAAAATACTTGTCAGTTTTATTTGGCTGTGCATTCGGCAAGTTAGACATTTATAAAGAATAATTCTTAACAAAATTGGGAAATCAATGCTTAGCTCTCTTGCAAAATTGCAAAGCAATGTGCCAAATTATATTTAGAATTAGAATCAGGTTTTGAGAGCAAGACTAGTTCGAGATGGGAATGATGGAAAATTTATGCCTGAGGCTGGGGAAAATGTATTGATCAGAAACCAACACCTCACCTTATGTGTGACATTGTCGTTAGGAATAAAATGCCCAGGAACACAGTCAGATGACAAAAAAATTTAACAATCAATAAATGTCTGGAGCAGTGCTGCAGATTGAAAGCTTTTGTGTGTTATGGCTCTGATGACAGAATTAACCAGTTTAATGGGACATTGTCTCTGGTTAACTGGTGTACTGTTACATTAAAATATTTATTTTATGGAGACAGTACTGCATGATTTTTATGACAATTTATTGAAATCAATAGTTTAATAATTTTCATCATGACCTATACCTGACAAAATAAACTAGCACTGGACATTTATTACTAAATAGTAGTGGGATTTTCTATCAAAAAATTGTTGAAAGTTAATTAATAATGGAATTTCATTTTAACACCCCCTCCCCCCCCCCCCCCCCCCAATGTACATTGATATGCAGGCAGGGCTTCATGAAGACTCTTACATACATGAATTATTGGAACACATTGTACAGCACCAACTTACAAAAAAAATGTTTATTGTACTATATTTCTCTGTTAAAAAAGGTTATGTCGATTGATATGAAAGATGGAGTGGGGTGGGCTGGTTAAAAATGATTTTTTTTCTTTTCCGTTAATCAGTACATGTACACTCATATATAATGATACCAATCAATATTGAATAGAAATACTTGCCTAGTAATTTTTAAAATTATTTCTCTTTTATTTTTTTCAGCAACAATGTTTCTGAATACACTGACTCCAAAGTTCTATGTGGCCCTAACAGGAACATCATCCCTTATATCGGGGCTTATTCTGGTGAGTGACAAAGCACAAAGACATTTGTAAAATCTGTCAAAGTTAATTTTAGCATCCTGATAATTATGTTCTCTTCTGTAACATATTCAACATGCGCAGTTTCTGAGACCTTGAAATGACCAAGAGACAAGACATTCTTAGACATTGTTAGAACATATATCTTAAACTTTTTGTTCATTCACACAATTTTTTAAAATTGTGTAATCATGAGCAGTCAAGATATTATTAGTTACTGAATTTAGATCATTGTTTTTTTTTAGATTAAAAAATGTTATAAGTAACTTGTATAAAGTTTCCTCACTGCTCAATGGTCATAAGTGCTGAGCAACGGTCTGAATTTGCAGTCTTGCAGTAGTTGGTGACATCCCAAAATGAATAAAACACAGTACATGTACTCTATAAGTGATATAAAGCAAACAAAACAAAAATAGTCTTGCTTGCACTTTCTTTGGATTAAATTGTAATATTTAAAAGGCATGTAATCATTTCCAGCATTGGTGAGATTTTGAAAATCAGACATTGCTCTAAGCCTTTGTGGCAGCTGCTTACAATTATGATTTAAATAGGTTATTTTCTATCACAATAATTACCAGGGATATCAGATAGCCTTTTCCTATGAGTGCTTTGGAAATGGTAAAAGAACTATTTTAACAGCAATTGTGTGAACACAGTTTGTACTTGTGAATACTGTCTAGACACCTACTTTTTATATTGGCTTCTTGTTGCCATGGAGACAGTAGGTAATTGCTTATTAAAGACAAAATTGGGGAAATATTCACACTTCTCAAATTCACAACAGTATAATATCTAATATCTTTTTTCTGTTCTTAATAACACAGCAAGCTCTCTGATGTTTAGTTAATAAATAACGGAGAACACAAAGACTTGGATGTACAATTTTTCCTTTGTGTATTTTTAATTAAGGTGCCAGCTAGCTGGTATTATTGGAAGTTTAAGGGTTGATAAGTATTAATTAAGCTATTTAAAGGAATAAATATTATAATAAATGCTATACATGTATTTCTAATTAGAGCAATTTTTAGAGCAGTGCAAAATTTTTTTAAAATATTAAACAAAAGGCAAAATGACATAACCAAAACGAAAAAGCAGAAAAAAAGTTAAAATTGAATTTTATTTTAAATCCCACCTCCCTGGTATTATATGCAGGCAGAAATTCAAAAAAGATCAGATAACAAATATTGATATTGGGATGAGGGAAGGGTCATTCTGAAGCATCACCTTTACATGGCATATAAAATGACTCCTGAATGAATTGCTAAATGTCATTACATACAGTTGAACTTACGTATCTCAAACACTGATATCTCGAATACCATGGATATGTCAAAGTTATTTGGAAGTTTCAACCACTTAATCTTTAAGTATTTTATCCCCAGTATCTTAAATACCCGGATATATGAAAGTTTATTCTCGTTCCCATCGAGTATGAGATAACGAGGTTTGACTGTATAAGCTATCAGTATAATGTATCTGTAATAAATGTAATTTAATTGCATTTTTTTCCCTGTTAAGTTCATTATAAGACAGAAAGTCACTCTATTTTACTGAAATTTATAGTTGGTTATTCTTCAAAAATCATGTTCTTGTTTTTTGCAGATATTTGAATGGTGGTACTTCAAGAAGTATGGAACCTCCTTTATAGAACAGGTATCACTTAATCACATATCCCCCTTACTTGGTGGAAATGACAACCCCAACCCAGAGAACAACAATAGTTCCCCTCTGTCTCCCACCACGAATTCTACTCACCAGCAGTCAATGCCAGGTGAGTATAGGCTCTAAAGATGGGGAAAGGGGGGTCATCTTCAGAAGGTAGAGGTTTTGGACTCCAGGTTGAGTCTTGGAGGACTGAAGGTAATAAAATTGGGAAATGTATTATTTAAGTAGTAACGTATTGATCAGTGAATATGTAGAATGTATTTGGTAGGCACTGTGTGAGGTCCATGCTTATGGATGCTGAGGTAAAATGAGAATTCAATCTGGAATTTATATTGGCATTTTAAAATGAATTCAAGAGAATTACTCATGCATATAATCAAAATGAATAAATAAATTGTAGGTGACATGCTTTCTTTGTTCAGTCTGTAGTTCTATTTCAAAAACATATCATTTGTTAAATAGAGGAAGTTCTGTTTAGTTAACATTCATTTCTAACTAATAAAAAAAAATTATTCATGTTTATAAAAAATTAGGTGCTTAGAAGTGAAAATGAACAAATTTTTCAGAATGCAAGGTTTGGAGAAATCCCCTAAACTTGTTCCGTGGGTCAGAATACCAGAGGTATACATGGGCCAAAGGTAAAGAGCCCCTGACATACTACGACATGAACCTCTCAGCACAGGATCATCAGACATTTTTTACTTGTGAGGCAGATGCTGGGAAACCAGAATATGAAGGTAAACCAGTAATTGTAACAGGCTAGCTTTTATTACAGAACTTTATAGAGTTATGATAAGATCTTTACACTATGATACATTCTATTTCAAACAATTCATGAGATATTTCAAAGTTGTAGTAGTCCTTGTTATAGTAAATTGTGTTTGAAAATTAAGAAATGCTTTAATTGCATCTTCAGAGTCTTGAGTGACCAGGATATTTTTAGATCACCCGAGCCAGAGGTTCAAATGAGCTTTTCTGATCAAAAAAAGTTTGGTGTACATGTGACTTTTCGTCTTCTGTATAAACTTTTCATCTTCTCCTTGGCCACTACGGGACCAATAAGTTGCCACATTTTATTCTTGTTTGAAGAGAATACAGATTTGTTCATATGGAGGTCCATATCCTCCATAAAGAAGTACAGAAAATATTGTGGAGTTACTTAAAAATCTTAAGAATAGCTGGGCTACAGTTAGTCATAATAGTATACAGGCATCTCTAAGTAGGGTAGAATGTAAACTTTTTTTCAATCCTGACCTCTAGGGGTAGGATGGGGCCACAATGGAATGTCCGAGTTTGGCTTAAGGATATATAGATAAAAATCTTCAAAAAAATCTGTTGAAGAGCAAGGCCACAGTATGCCATCATCCCCTTGTAATGTAGATTCAACTTTGTTCCAGTGCTGACCCATAGTGTTAGGATGAGGCCACAATAGAGGGTCAGAGTTTGACATTGGAATATATAGGGAAAGGTCTCTATAAATTTTCTACTTAATCTTCACAAGGGATACAATTTATCGTACTAATATTCAACATACCCATTTAGTGAATATTCAAATCTGTTCAAAATTTGACAGTGGAATAAATAGGAAAAGTCTATAAAGTCTTATTAAGATGACGTGGCCCTCATGTTAATGTATGATTTTCTTGTTTCTTGTTCACAGTTATGCAGAGAGCCTGGAGAGAGAGGAATCCAGCCTCAAGAATTAAAGCTGCTAAAGATGCATTGGAAAAAAACCCAGAGTAAGAGTACAAATACATTCAGACTAAATTAAATAGTAGAGGGAAAAAAAGACTAAAATATCACAGGTACTTGTGGACAGGACCCCCCCCCCCCCCCCCCCCAGCAATTCAACCCCGAGGTTTGTTGGACATTTTTTTCACAAATTATATTTATTACACTTATTCATCATGTGTACCATACGAAAAAATCGTAAAAACCCCTAAATAATCATTCCACACAAAAATACCCCACTATACATTATAAGAGAGAAAGGTATGCCACTCCGGTTTGTTTACGTTGTACCCCCACTAGTCTTTCTGGGTTTAAAAACATGTATTTATTTTATTTTAACCTAAAATGTCGGTTCACACTGTCTCTACATATATTTCTCTCATAGTTCATGCTATCGGATTGACTCTGCATCTCGTAAGAATCCCACAATTAATCCTTAAACAGCATTTTAGTCAGCGCATTGAAAATTCCTTAGGTAAACACAACGGAAGTACACCAAGAATGTATTCACATATTACGATAACGCCGGAGAGAGTTTTGGCCTGACGTAATAATCTCTCTCGGGTGTTATCATAATAGTTAATGTGTTCTCTATGCACTTCCGTTGCGTTTACCTAAGGAATTTTCAACGCACTGACTACAATGCTGTTTTAGGATTAATTATGGGATTCTTACGAGATGCAGAGTCATTCCTATAACATGAACTATGACATTTTAGGTTAAAATAAAATAAATACATGTTTTTAAACCCAGAAAGACTAGTGGGGGTACAACGTAAACAAACCGGAGTGGCATACCTTTCTCTCTTAAAATGTATAGTGGGGTATTTTTGTGTGGATTGATTATTTAGGGGTTTTTACGATTTTTTCGTATGGTACACATGATGAATAAGTGTAATAAATATAATTTGTGAAAAAAATGTCCAACAAACCTCGGGGTTGAATTGCCTGGGGAGGGGGGGGGGTCCTATCCACAAGTACCTGTGTAAAATATTACAATATGGTAGTACATGTATTTATCAAAAAAAGAAATGTTTTTATCCAAGTGCAACTTTTTCTCACCATCCATACAAGACTGAAAGTCCTTTCACGTCACCTATCTGAACATATGCTAAGGAAGTGATTGAAGTAACCAGCAGCAAAGAAGCAATGAAATTGTTAATCCTGAAAGAAATAATAAATTTTGGTTTAGATATTTAAAAAAGCATTTTCCTCATTTATTATTTGTCACAAAATGACAAAATCATAATATACCCGGTAGTCTCAATGCTCAAGAAAGAAGTAATAATATGTTTGTAACATTATAACTATCTGTGTTCAAAGAAATAAAATATATATATTTGTGATTGAGATCACTGTTCTATAAATGTGAATCCAAGGGAAGATAACTCTATGTCTGATGTTTATATACAGTAAAACTCGTTTAGTACGAACACGGATATTGCGAATTCAGGGATATAGCGAAGTTTTCCTGGGTCCCCAACTGTGAAATTTTACGAATTCCTTATTTGGATATAACGAATTACGGATATAGCGAAGTAATTTCACAGGTCCCAGTGACTTCGTTGTAACCGAGTTTTACTGTACCTACATTTTACATGCACACAGGAGCAAAATGATTGCACCTCAAATTTATTATTCATACTAAAAATATAATCTATTCTAAATGCAGTATGGATCATGCTAAAAAGATTTACTGTGATAAAATTAAAAGTCTTTCCTTAAGAGGGCTGGGTGGTTGTGGCCATTTTCAGACTATATTGATCTCCTTTAGAAGAAGAGCTCCATATTAAGATATACAAAAATGATCAAATTTTAAAACTAAAATGTATGAAATTTTTGTTTGCCAAATGATAGTTGACAGCTTAAGATATCATATCTAAAAAATTAAGTTATATCTGATGGTTAATTTGTTGACCCCCCAGCCTCCTTGAGTAACAATTTGTTTCATTGTAAAATTTTGAGGTTTTTCTGTTCTCAATGCTCACCAAAAATTGTACCAACTTTATCACAGATCAAGGCCACGTTCTGCCCAAAATACTGAAAAATAATTTAATAATTCAAAGCAGTAGAGTTGCAGTCTCAACGGAGACTTTTATTTTCAAGTACAACAATTCATAATATTGATTTCCCAGGTATTTTTAGACTTTTCTAACTGTTTTCTTTTATCAGTTGTCCGACAGCCATGATTTTATTAGCAGAAGAAGACACAAGTTCTATAGTGGACGTAAGTTTAAGTTTCTGTCTGAAAAAAATAATCCAGATTGAATCATACTGGCATTAAAAAATGCTGTCCATAAGATCTCAATTCATGCAATCATTGAACTTTATTTATGACTTATGGGTAACTGAAGATTAATACTAATTCATTATTTTCAGTCTTCATTTAACATGTTAAATAAATTCTAATATAATATAGAATTAGAGATAAAGTCTCTCTTAAGGAATAAAAAAAATCTTATTTCCTATATAGCTTGTAACACAAGCTTTGATTGGTTACAAAGTCAGGTGTAAATTTCCGTACACCCGACTTGAGCCAGGGGTAAAAAATGTGATGTCACAATGCATAGTTTCTCTATGATAAAAAGCAAATAACATGACGTTACGATGCATTGTAGGACGTAGTAAATCTTTTCTAGAAACACAGTTGATTTGACTTGTTTACAAAGAATTTATTTGGGTACAGGGTGTATGCCTCAGGGTGTATGGAATAAAACCCGGGGTAAATCCCCGTACACCCTTGATTGGACCTGGATAACTAATAATATACATACTATTTTTTATGAAGAACGCAACTTGTTGTAGGAGACACTAAATTTTCTCTTTCCCTGAACACTGCATTATGAATTATTGTGCTCTGTGATATAGATACATACATTTAAGTGTATATTTGGTTTTGACAGGCAGAGAAGATGTTTAAACAAGCTTATAAAGCAGCAGAAGTGAACTATAAGAAATCTATACAGACCCAACATCAGAGTTCTACAAATGAGGCTGTTCATCGTAAGCTTTCTGTAGAAATATTCAATTCATATTTTATTTACCAAATAGAATTTTAGCTAAGTGTGATCTGATAATGGTTGTTCATAAAAATGTTGTCAAGTTTTGAATTTTCAAACACTCTTCTTTGAAATACAGAATCACTTACTGCATGAAAATCTAAATGAGATATGTTGTGTTTTGATGAAAAGGGCATTTTCTAAAAAAAAAAAAAAATTGTTTCTCTATTATAGGAAGAGATGTGAATGTTTTAGTCTATGTAAAGCGACGACTAGCCATGTGTGCTAGAAAACTAGGTCGGACGAGAGAAGCTGTTAAAATGATGAGAGAGGTAAAGATTTTTGCTGTTAACATGATACAGTGGAGCCTCTTTAATGTGGATGCCAATCTGGATGCTTCACCTGGAGGACAAAATTTGAAGGGAACAATTTATATGAAATTTATATATACCCAAGTACATGTATGTTTTAGTAATCCAAATGCTTCATTAATTGAGACAATTAGCTCAGGAACATAAGATCCGGATTTGGGGATCACAAGAATCCGGATTTCGGGAACATAGGAATGTAGATTTCTGGAACACAAGAATCCAGATTTTGGGATCACAAGAAACCAGATTAATGAGGCTCAACTGTATATATAATAGAGTGTAATTATTGGCATTATTTTATCTCGGGAAACTTGAAAAGAGTAAAATGAAAAATTGTTGCCATTTCATTCATTTGATAGTGTCATATAATGTACAAAGTTGTTAAGGCCAGACGACACATTTCTCAAATATCTGTTTTTTCATCTCTCCATAACATACCACAAATATTTATAGTTATTTTCTGATATCTGTTTTGAGAATGTTTGAAAAAATATATAAATCAAAAATTGTGATATCAGCAATTCAATATATTTCCAGTAGGATTATACAGGAAACACCATCCTCTAGTATCTAGCACAAATGCCTGGTAAAGTACCTCAATTTTTGTGATGAAACTCCTTAAAATAACAGTTCTTTGTCACAGATTTTTGGAAAAAAATTATACCGGTATATTACTGAGGATCATGTCATCTGACCTTAAGTTCTATATATCTTTTTTTTAACAGCTCATGAAAGAATTTCCTATGCTCAACTTATTCAATATACATGAGAATCTCATAGATGCATTATTAGAACTACAAGCATATGCTGATGTTCAAGCAGTTTTAGCCAAATATGATGGTATGTGGTGAAATTACTGATTTTCATCTTGAATTCACATACTGTACCAGGGTTAGAAACTCCCTAAAATTACAACTCGCAAATAATTGCGAGTACCAACAAAGTGAACGCGCAATTTTATAAGACTACTCGCAATTTTCATATAAAGTTAAATTTATATAAATTAAATACATGTAACTTAAGGAAAAAGTAACTACTGTACAATACACAAAATACAACTACAGTGTGACTTTTATTTAAATTACTGATTTAAATCAAAAGTATTGTGTTCTGTCATATTATATAATTTTGCTACAGTTTCAATGCAAAAAAAAATCAACTCGCAAGTTTTTGCGAGTTACCTAATTTTCAACTCGCAATTTGGGAATTCTAACTCGTGTTTTGCGAGTTGTATATAGTGAATTTCGAACCCTGTGTACATATTTATTGAAACTATTTGTGTATGTAGGAGATAATGATTTAATGTGTAAGCAAGATGCTCTGAATATACCTTAAGTTTTGTAATGAAATTCAATTTTATTATTATGTTTACAATCTAAATGGTCTATTTGAGTTATATTTTTCCATGTATTTCAAATTTGAAATTTTAGATATTTCTTTCATTAACAGAATGAATCTTTGAATGAAAAAAAGTAATTTACAAAACAAATGCATGAAAAATACCAAGAAGAATGCTTGTTGAAATTCAATTCACAGTAGTTTTTCTTATGTCGGAATACATGTACCAGAATGAATGTTTCTTTGTGCTATCTTTAGATGCAAGTTCACCAGAATGAATGTTTCTTTGTGCTATTTTTAGATATAAGTTTACCAAAATCAGCAGCAATATGTTACACAGCAGCATTACTAAAGGCCAGAGCGGTGGCAGACAAGTAAGTGTTGACTCTCTCTCTCTCTCTCTCGCCTCTTTACTGTTTTATGTTTAATTATTGACATAAATAGAAGCTTGACAATAGGTATGATATACACATGTACTTTCCAAGTTAAGTGGAAAATGATCCAAATCTCTTCTTTTTTTTAGTTTAATTGGTGTTTATCAACAGGTTTTTAAATAGAGTCCTTAGTGGAAAAAAAATCAGAATATGATAAAGCTTATGGAGGCAAATTAGAGCACCTGTCAGGAGAATTCTCAGTGTTTCATAATTTGTACAGACTTAATATCTGCATTGTTTGATATATTAGTACTTAACCATAACTGTTTTTCTGGAACGCCATGCATGCCGTTGTGGTCCATTAGATGGGCTTGGCGTGCATCACTTATGATGGCAGGTATATTTCTTGTTCCAGATTCTCACCGGACATAGCCTCCAAGCGGGGCTTAAGTACGGCAGAAATGACAGCGGTAGAGGCTATACACAGAGCTGTAGAGTTCAATCCACATGTCCCAAAAGTAAGTCATGGGTGAGACTTTAGCACCAAGAAGATATGGAGAAAATATTAAAGCACAAGCAATTGTGCATTTCAAAATCAATGTTAAAGATTTTATCTTAATTTAAAGATTTTATCTTAATTTTGATCACTTTAAAACTGTTAATCACTTTTCAAAGAAATGTAGTGTCTCGTGTTTATTATTTTTTCTCTACATGAAATTTTATTTTACTATCAGTTTTGAGTTAAGCATACTTGAGATAAGTAATTTTATTTTCAGTATTTACTAGAGATGAAGAGTCTCATATTACCTCCAGAGCATATCTTAAAGCGGGGAGACAGTGAAGCAATAGCCTATGCCTTCTGTCATTTACAACATTGGAAGCGAGTGGAGGGGGCTCTTAACCTCCTACACTGTACATGGGAAGGAAGTAAGTCAGTGTATAACAATCTCCTACACTGTACATGGGAGGGAATTAAGTCATTGTATAACAATCTCCTACACTGTACATGAGAGTGAAGTAAGTCAGTGTATAACAATCTCCTACACTGTACATGAGAAGGAAGTAAGTCAGTGTATAACAATCTCCTACACTGTACATGGGAGGAAAGTAAGTCAGTGTATAACAATCTACTACACTGTACATGGGAAGGAAGTAAGTCAGTGTATAACAATCTATTACACTGTACATGGGAAGGAAGTAAGTCAGTGTATAACAATCTCCTACACTGTACTCGGGAGGGAAGTAAGTCAGTGTATAACAATCTCCTACACTGTACATGGGAAGGAAGTAAGTCAGTGTATAACAATCTCCTACACTGTACATGGGAAGGAAGTAAGTCAGTGTATAACAATCTCCTACACTGTACATGGGAGGGAATTAAGTCATTGTATAACAATCTCCTACACTGTACATGAGAGTGAAGTAAGTCAGTGTATAACAATCTCCTACACTGTACATGAGAAGGAAGTAAGTCAGTGTATAACAATCTCCTACACTGTACATGGGAGGAAAGTAAGTCAGTGTATAACAATCTACTACACTGTACATGGGAAGGAAGTAAGTCAGTGTATAACAATCTCCTACACTGTACTCGGGAGGGAAGTAAGTCAGTGTATAACAATCTCCTACACTGTACATGGGAAGGAAGTAAGTCAGTGTATAACAATCTCCTACACTATACTCGGGAGGGAAATAAGTCAGTGTGTAACAATCTCCTACACTGTACATGGGAGGGAAGTAAGTCAGTGTATAACAATCTCCTACACTGTACTCGGGAGGGAAGTAAGTCAGTGTATAACAATCTCCTACACTGTACTCAGGAGGGAAGTAAGTCAGTGTGTAACAATCTCCTACACTGTACTCAGGAGGGAAGTAAGTCAGTGTATAACAATCTCCTACACTGTACTCAGGAGGGAAGTAAGTCAGTGTATAACAATCTCCTACACTGTACTCAGGAGGGAAGTAAGTCAGTATATAACAATCTCCTACACTGTACTCGGGAGGGAAGTAAGTCAGTGTATAACAATCTCCTACACTGTACTCAGGAGGGAAGTAAGTCAGTGTGTAACAATCTCCTACACTGTACTCAGGAGGGAAGTAAGTCAGTGTATAACAATCTCCTACACTGTACTCAGGAGGGAAGTAAGTCAGTGTGTAACAATCTCCTACACTGTACTCAGGAGGGAAGTAAGTCAGTATATAACAATCTCCTACACTGTACTCGGGAGGGAAGTAAGTCAGTGTATAACAATCTCCTACACTGTACTCAGGAGGGAAGTAAGTCAGTGTATAACAATCTCCTACACTGTACTCAGGAGGGAAGTAAGTCAATGTATAACAATCTCCTACACTGTACATTGAAGGGAAGTAAGTCAGTATATAACAATCTCCTACACTGTACTCGGGAGGGAAGTAAGTCAGTGTATAACAATCTACTACACTGTACATGGGAGGGAAGTAAGTCAGTGTATAACAATCTCCTACACTGTACTCGGGAGGGAAGTAAGTCAGTGTATAACAATCTTCTACACTGTACATGAGAGTGAAGTAAGTCAGTGTATAACAATCTACTACACTGTACATGGGAGGGAAGTAAGTCAGTGTATAACAATCTACTACACTGTACATGAGAGTGAAGTAAGTCAGTGTATAGCATTGGAGGGGGCTGTTAATCTTCTACACTGTACTTTGCAGGAAAGTACCTGTAAGACAGTGTATAAGAATCACCTACACTGTACATTGGATGGGGGGGGGGGGGGGGGGGGGGGTTAAGTCAGTGACTATAACAATCTACTACACTGTACATGTACATATGAAGGAAGTAAGTCAGTGTATAACATTGGATGGGGGTTCTTATAACCTCCTGCACTGTACTTATGAGGTAGTAAGTCAGTGTAAAAAAGTGCACAAAATTCTGAACTGACATTTCATAAGAACAAGGATGGTAATTTACTATTCTGATTGGAAAAATTAGAATCCAGTATACATCCAATATTATTGGTAGCAATAGATTGAACAGATCTACATTGGAGATCAATGTGATGGAAAAACAATCTTTATCAATGATTAGAAACAAATGCTGATTGTGATTTCAAGAACAGCCAAACATGGAGCCACTTGTGATAAAATGGGTTTTAAAATACTATGACATCCAGTTTATGGTTTGTTAGTTTCAACCCCCCCCCCTCCCCTAAAAAAAGAAAGAAAGAAAGAAGTACTTATTATTATTATCAAATCTGTAGATAGAGTTAAATGTCTTTATAGAGTCATATCCATGAAAACTAAAAGATATTTGTATTGTTTCATATGCACAAATATGCTTAACAAACAAATGATGGACTTGAGGTCAGAATTACCTTATAGGAGATTGATGACAAGAGTCATACAAAATGTTAACATTGATAAGCATGTATTATTATGCTAATTTGCTCAATTTACTTAATTTTGCTGTTGAAATTGAGATGTAAACTACTTATACATTCTTATAAGCTTTGTACATGAATTTAAGCAGCCTTCAGTTTAAACTCCAGGTTATTCTTTGTGTACATGAAGATTTTCATTGTTTTACATAGCCTTCAGAATGATCCCCTATCCACTGGAGAAGGGGCACCTGTTTTACCCTTACCCCACCTGTACAGAGAATGCAGACAGAGAACTCCTCCCTAGTAAGTCACACTAACAATGCATAAACACATTCTAATACATCAATTATTTTTTAAAGATGCTTATAAGTAAAGGTGCTAAAACGTAAAGCTTCAATACTCTTGGGTAAAGTACATGTATGTTTTGACAATATATTTAGGATTATGAATGAATGTATGTAAATATTTTTTTTAATTTTATATTGTTTCATTTCAGCTTTTCATGATGTCTCAGTGTACCCTAAGAAGGAGTTACCATTCTTTATTTTGTTCACAGCTGGTCTCTGTTCTTTTACCGCTTTATTGGCTCTGTTAACTCACCAGTACCCAGAGCCTATGGGAATTATTGCTAAAACGGTAAGTATAATATTAACTTACCAGTACCCAGAGCCTATGGGAATTATTGCTAAAACGGTAAGTATAATATTAACTTACCAGTACCCAGAGCCTATGGGAATTATTGCTAAAACGGTAAGTATAATATTAACTTACCAGTACCCAGAGCCTATGGGAATTATTGCTAAAACGGTAAGTATAATATTAACTTACCAGTACCCAGAGCCTATGGGAATTATTGCTAAAACGGTAAGTATAATATTAACTCACCAGTACCCAGAGCCTATGGGAATTATTGCTAAAACGGTTAGTATAATATTAACTTACCAGTACCCAGAGCCTATGGGAATTATTGCTAAAACGGTTAGTATGATATTAACTTACCATTACCCAGAGCCTATGGGAATTATTGCTAAAACGGTTAGTATAATATTAACTTACCATTACCCAGAGCCTATGGGAATTATTGCTAAAACGGTTAGTATAATATTAACTTACCAGAACCATGAGCATATGGGAATTATTGCTAAAACGGTTAGTACAGAAAACTAAGGCATAATTATTAACTTACCAGAACCATGAGTCTATGGGAATTATTGCTAAAACGGTTAGTACAGAAAACTAAAGCATAATTATTAACTTACAAGATCCATGAGTCTGTGAGAATTATTGCTAAAACAGTTAGTAGAGAAAACTTATAGGAATAATTATCAACTTACCATGAGCCAAAGGGCATTATTGCTAAATCAGTTAGTATAATAAACTTAGGCATAATTATTAACTTACCAGAAGCATAAGCCTATGGGAATTATTGCTATTAGTAAAATGGTTCGTACATATAATAAACTTAGGCATGACCATCAAAGCCTCTTTTTTGCGGATAATCAACTTTGCTGTTGCACAATATGTCTAAAAAAACACAACCACCTAGTGATATGATGTCACAATGACAAAAGGACAATTTAAACTTGTCACTGAGGCCAAAAATTAAATTCTTAATCATAATATTAAGATGGAATTCTTTTCAACTAAAAATGTAGGCTTTATTCGTGTTAATAAATCTGATATCTTAATAATATATGCTAAAAAAAAAATGGAACATATATGAAATCTGCTGAAGCTTCTACAGAAAATCTGGTTTAAGAGGTATATAGTCAATTTAAGTGAACTCGAGGGATTGAGGGGTTATTTAAAGTTGTTTTTATATTTATAGTGAAAATCAGAGGTATTTATTCTGTAGTGAAATCCAATTTTAGCAGACAACCAAATGCCCATTGTTTATTACTAGTACATTGCTGTCCTACTAATGACAAAACAAACTTTCTGCATAAATGTGATTTTAGCAAGTAAAATTTAAGTCCGAGACAAATTCAGTGCATTTTGATGTAACTTTGTTTTATTTGCTGTTTACAGGTCCTCACTTGGTTGTACATGCCCATCAGCTACGTCCTGGAAAAGTTAGAAGCCATCTTGCCCTCCAATCTCCTACATCAGCTATCCCGCATCTAATCACCATGACAACACACCAGATGTAGCCATTCTATATTTTTTTGTGCTTCAACTGGAGTGTTTATATTTTTCTGGCATTTGTGAAAAAGAACACTAAACACAATAGAGTTTAGGATAGTTTAATAATAGGGTATGTTGTTGGCATGGTGCAATTTATGTTCTTTGTTTAGAATTTTCTTCAACTTTTTTTCATAAAACTCCTTGCTGTTTGACTTCTTTTTAAGGAGGAATCTTTATTTTTTAAAGTGATCATGTGTACAATTTGTTATGAGATTTTTTTAAGGGGTATTATGACAGTGTGCTTAGGTAACACAAGGTTTGTTGATTATTCCCAATGTTTGTTGTTTCAACATATCAAAATTTCTTTCTAGCCTGTTATAGTCTGAAGATTGCAAAATTTGAATGCGTTTTTTTTTTTAAAACACACTAAAGAAAAGACTTCTTTTGCTTGTAATGTTTTATCTTGCCACTGAAACAGGTTAAGCATTGATATATTAAAGAATTTCTCTTCATTGAAAAAGATATTAAAACTGAAAAATCTTTTATGGAAAAAAAAGAAAAAAAAAAAGAGTAAGTGAAACTTTGTAGATTAATATTTAAGTTTCAAACACAAATCTACTGAAGATGAGAAATTGATTTGCCATTTGCCATTACAAGCAAAAGAAGTCTTTTATATAGAAGGAACTGTTGGAGACATTTTGAGGCAGCTTTACACCTAGTCCTTTTATTTACATGCTCTTGCTTTGGCAATGACGTTTACAAACTGGAGTTTATTCGTTAAATTAACAGTGACCAGTCATGTTTACTTCTAGAAATTAATAAAGTGAATGGATAGATTTTTCATTTAAAGCCAATTAAAGGCTATGCCTCTTTTTTTATAGGTATTTGAAATAAGGGTAGAAAAAGGGTTTGGGGAATTTTTCATCTTTGGCTTTATTTGTTTTGTTTTTTGTTTTCAACTACTGGTACATTTAAACCAACAAAATAACAGGATACTAGTAGAAGTGGGACTATGTTAAAACATGGTGCATACTGCATTATATGATTATGTGACTAAAAACTTAAATTATTCATAAATTCTTTTTCACCTTTTCTACTATTTCTGTAATTAATATTTCAGTTTAAAAAAGATGAACTGATTTTTGTCAAAAACACTGAAATTTGGAGTAGTATAACAAGTGTTAGTTTTGTTAGTAAAATTTGGACTTTTTTCAATAAAAACATTAAAAAGAAAGGAAGCCAAATCTAGGCCATTCATAAAACAGCAAGATCATGAATTTCATAATGTATTGATTTATCTAACATTTTTGAAATTCTTTGCATCATATATTAGGAGATTTTGGTTTTTCATGCAATTTCATTCATGTTGAATCAAAAAGCAAACCTGTTTATTTTACTGCAAAAACATTTAAACATTGTCATTCTTGGGGTTTCTGATTCATTGATCTGTATGATTTTCTTTTTTCGAGTTGAAGGTTTTATATAAGCAGATTAGTGTCACACTGCAGCCTAAAGCCAAGCAGAACTTTTTTTTTTTCTTTTGGTCACATTGGTGTAAATCTGTTTACTTTCTCTGAATACAAAACACATTTACTGGTGATTTTTTTCACCTCAAAATCTGTATTGTAATTGTTTACAGAAAAAGATTTCTTTAAATCTGTGTCCCAATGTGTTTTTGAAGATGTAGACTTATTTTTTAGATTATCTACATTATGGGTGTACTTTAATTTTTCAGTGAGAATATAGTTGCTGTGTTTATTTTTGATGTTAGCTAAGTGCAGCATATTTTTTGTGAACATTTATTAACTTTCCAGCTATGATTGGCATGGATTGCCGTTTTTTCATAAGGGTAATAGTTCAACAAAGTATTGTGAAGTGATAGAGGAAATTCGGGCATTGTAACATAATACTAGAGTATTATTTGACCCTGGGTCCCACAGAATGGACCAGTCGGGGTAATAAACAAACAAAGCAATGATTTTATGTTTTTAGGAAAAGATACTGTACCTGTATAAGAAATATCAATTATTATACGGCAGGCCCGTACGAAGGGGATGGGCACGGTCAATATATATTATTTTACACTTTATACAGTAGAAAAGAAAAAAAAACAGGTAGCGCCCCCTCAGTAAAAACGTCTAATGACCCTTTTTTCTAAATTTCTTTTTGGAAGACCCAACCGTGAAATAAAATGCTTCCCATGAGACTGTAGGGATAAGGGGGAAGAGGGAGGTTGGAGAAACAGGGGTTGTAGATCTTGGGAGGTGGGGTCGAGGGTAGGGGAGACAGGGTGGAATGTTAAAAAGGAGAGGGAATTGAGGAGGGAAGAAAAAGGAGTGACAGCATTTAAATATTTTTTTTTTATGTTAATGCAACATTTGAAACGGGACTTGCAGTTCAGTATTCTTGATATTCATATTACTGTATTGATTTTAAAAATTATCTGTGGGTCATGGCTAATTTCTGTTTGTATCCAGTTGAATTCATTATTTGGACTTGACCATGAATTTGCGCACTAGAGACAGCAGTAAATTACAAATTCTCCTGTGTCATTAAATATTTTGAAATCCCATTTGCTATTTTAACTAAACTTAACAATTTATTTTGTTCAAATGAAAATGTAAGACATTTTCTTGAGAAAAAGAAGAAAAAACGCAGAGAAAGCACAAGGTCCATGTCATAAAAGATGATATCAAAAAAAATCATACTTTTGTGCAAGTCCTTTCTGCATTACAATAAGAACTGATCATTTTAACCCGAGGCATACCGCTCCTTATAACAAAAGTTCGCAAACAGAATGCCGTTTGTAACGCATTTATCAATTCTTTTCTTAATGCGGTATGTGACCTGAAAAATATTAATAACAAGGCACCAAAAAATTAGATATCTATAGTAATTAATTTCACAAGGAAATCCACGCTTACATTTCATACCCCATTAATACTTTTCACGTCTCTTGCTGCCCCTAGCTACAACAAAGGGTTTCTGTTTCTAACGTATTAGGTGCAAGCAAAGTGACACTGCAATATCTGCTGTATTAGAAGAAGCGTGTTAATAGAAACATAAAAACATTTCATTACGTTGAGGATCATTTTTCTTTGACTCGTGGTAAATTTGCTCAGGGGGTTGTAAAGTCAAACGTATCCTTTTCACTTCGTATCAGACTGGTGTCGCGGAATAACTTCCGCCGATGTTCTAAAAGCGATGAAATCCAATTCAACTTTATGTAATCAAAACTTGAAATATTACGATTTGGTTTCCGATGTCTGACGTTGTCCGGCGTCGGACTAATGATTTTTTCCGAGGTTGGCAAGGGGAGACGGAGGAACTTCGACCTGTAACGCTCCTATCTAAAGCCCTGAAGTCGCTATATTTGCTTACTAAACAAGCCACAGGATTTTCTCGCCATTTTATCTACCATTGTCATTGATTTTATCATTACCTAGGACTGAGTTCTCTACCCGTGATCTGATCTCTCAGTCAATTGAATATGATACCCGATAGAAGTTAAAAGCCATGAATTGATCGCGTCTTGGGAACATTTGGGTTTTGCGATAACGTCTTTTACATGTGGGCATTGAAGAGATTTATTAGATCTTAAGAATTAAAAATTATTGAATCTCTGCCTCAGACCTATATAATGATGGTTAAACTGTAATGGTAATTATGAAAATGTACAACTGGTAATGGCAAGATATCATGGGATTGGGTATTAAAAAAGGGAGATGCACTTTTCTCTTAGTCATGGTTTCTTTTTGTCATAACAGTCAGTGCGTTGTGGTACTGAATTTTCATAGAATGGCAAATCATGTGAAAAGGTTCGCATATACCTGTAAAGTACAACACGAAATCAAACGAAACGAAACTCTAATGAAACAGAGAGAAACAAAATCGAAATAGAAAAGGCCATTTGTTAACTCCTATATTGCCGCTTTCCAAAACTACAAGGAACAATTTATTAATTACCTATATAAAAAAACACTGGGCCAATTTCAACCAAACTTACAGAAAATTTCTTTGTGTGAAAGGGGATTCAAGATTATACTCAAATGAAGGGTCATGCCCTCTTCTAAAAGGAGACAACAAAGAATGTTGAACTTCGATTTACATTCGATGAAGTGCAGATCGAGTTATCTTTTCGGAAGTGATATACATGTATATTCCTTCGATAGATTTAGCGCCCTAATCGAAACAAAAAAAGGACAATATAATCAGTAAAAGATGTTTTCAAGAATTAGACCTTGACCTCTGAAATTTTAATTTTGAGTGACCAACGACTAACATCAACAATACAATTACGACTAATGTGTGAAGAATCAAGTAGCCCATGTTTGTGTTTTGAATATATGCCTGGGTCACATTTCTCTCCACAAATTCATGACCTGGTCTTTGAATCATGACCTTTATGTGTGGTCATGAATTACAATTTAAAACAGCTAGGCAAAGATATATGAAATATCAAATCATTTTCTTAGCGGTTTATAAATATACCATCTATACTATTCATTTTTTTTTAAAATTATTATTTCAACTTCTAGAATGAATCTAAAGAAATAATACATCATGCAATGGTCAAAGTCTCTTGGAAATGGAATTCTGAAGTATTATTCTAACAATTAACGAAGAAAGGAGCTTGTCGACATTAACTCATAACTTAGTATGCAAGTCATTGTAGTTTCGTCAATCCTTCGAGATGACTGCATTGCATTACCGAACTTTCGAAAACTGGTCAGTTATAATTACCGATAATTATTTTCTTTCATTTCCGAAAGAATAGTTGATATCATTACCGAAAATTCAAAAGGAGTTGCCTGACAAAAACACTTGTTAAGCTGAAACACAAGATGTTTAAATGTACACTGATGTACATGTTTTAACAGATCCGGAAAAGGACCTTTGTCATATCTTGCAAAGAGCATGCAAAAAAATTTGACTATTCAGCAAAGAGTTTGCACCGAGTTTGAGGCAACATGCGATGAAATCTAAGTGAGTCCTAAGAAGTATTCTCTTTGAAACCCAGCGTGCATGTCTGGCGCAATTGATTATTGGCCTGCGGTCATATAAGCACATTTTTTCCTCTCTCGGGCAGTGGGGCTATGTCTCGGGTCGATGGTCCTTCACGTTTTGTCGTCTTTATCCCTCTAAATCCACTGAAGTACTAAAACACTCAGGATATCCTCAAAATGAATTTATGAAGCATGTCAATACGAAAGAAAAAATCTGTTATTAACAACATGGCACTCATCAGAAATCTCTCAACTTCAAAGGGTTGCAGACCTTCTTCAAATCAGGGCTTGGTGTTGGTTTCTTTGAGAACCCGTTTGCCGTCTGCTTCTGTTATTATGAAATTAAATTCTGAGTGAAATACAATAGTTGGGTTCTCTCGGCTCAGCCGTCTCTGTTGAACTTACGTTACAGCATTCAATTAGGATGCTAAAAACTAACAAAGCACACTTGCGGACAGGCATTTTCGTAGTGACTGAACTTTATCCAAGTAGGATGGAAAAGTTTCTTTTTCATGTATAACTTATCCTGTGGATAATCTTTTGTACACATGACACCTGTGAAGTATTTCATGGACCCAGTTAATTCTTACTTAAGTGGATTTAATTAATGACAAATGTACGATGCCTCTCCCTTGCAGGAAAATTTGGGATGAATTTCCGTAACGCACTACTTCTTGCCTGTCTTTTGTTTTTGTATGTCGCCGGAAACTCCCGTCCAGACGGAAGTTTAGAAATATTAATGTAAGTTGTCATATAAATATGATTCAAATAATAAATTGCACACATTTAGCAAGGGATTTTCTTTTTTGGTTGTAAAATATCATCCAAAAATAGAGGAAGAAAAATTTACGGAGCGATTCTTAATATTAATGCTTAAGTGTTATTTTGATGTGTTTTAAAGAGTACAATTATGAATTGTGGTAAGGAGTATTTGGATATAGAATTTTGTATTTCAAACAACTAAATGCCGCTAACACTGATGCAATTTAGCAAAATAATAAATCACATCTCTCACCTGTATATACATGTATACCCATTTACAATTACTTAATACAATTATTTCATATATTCAGAAAGAATTAGTATACTGTATGTATTTATACTTAGCCTTGCAATCTGGTGTTTATTATCATTGTCTATCACCCCCCCCCCCCCCCCCCCAACCTAAATCGGAGAATCTTAACACTGCATTTATATTGAAACATTTATGAACTAACAAGTGAATGTAAGAATCCTGTAAGAAAATATAACAATAATAGAGGTGTTTATCTGTTTTCCCCCCAAAAACGTCACCTATTCTCCTATATATTTTGTGTCCGATAAAGATCGTTCATAAGAATAAATGGTATAATTTATAAAATTCATAAGCTATATAACCTAATCACCTATTCTCCTATATATTTTGTGTCCGATAAAGATCGTTCATAAGAATAAATGGTATAATTTATAAAATTCATAAGTTATATAACCTAACTTACATGAACTGTATTATCTATTCCATTCATACAAGCGATACACGCCTACATTATCCTTAGTAACAAACTGTTGTTTATTCCAATAATCCTTCCAAATTTTGTACCGATAGTAATTAACGCTGTAACAGATAAATCGCGTCGAATAATCGAAAGTTGTCATACGAACGATCGGCGAGGAGGTTCGCTGGCAACCCGCACGTGCACAAGAATGCCACTGAGATAGATAAGACAAATTTTAATGGTCACACCTTTCAGACAAATTTTATATATGGATATTTTTAAAATTTCAAAAAGTACAATAAATCAATCAAAGAAGTCTAAACATTTTTTTTTACTGGATGGTAATTCAGTTTCAAATTTCTTTTTTCCAAACTTTGGGGGGAAAAAGTTTTTTCCTTTTGCATTTTTCAATACTATATTTTTGTGTAAATCAGATTCGCAGAAATAAATTCAATTTGTGTGTGTTTTTTAATCTGTTTTCCGTGATTGTTTATTGAAAAGGGACAGTTATAGCATCTTCTTCGTTACAAAACGAGGCTTCAATCTGTTTTATTTTTTGTGTGATGTAAGCGCAGCCTGTATCTAACACCCTCTCTCAGACTGTACTTCTGAACTCTGACCTCGAGCTATGATCAGATAAAAAGAGGGGGGTAATATAAACGTCTATCAGGACGAACTAAGAAAAAAGATACACCTTTTTATTATTTTTTCCTTCTTCATTTGAAAATTATCAGATTTTCGATCGCTTCAATGACGGACTATAAGAGAAGTGGAAAAAATCTTGTAGGAGTGAAAAGCATGGATAGAATATGTGGCGATCGAAAATATGTCTTTGGTGTATACGGTCATGTGAAAGGAATTTCTGTATCAATTTTACTTGCTTTGTTATGATTGTTTATCCTCCAAGCAAAAGTGACCAAAATATTATTGGATTATTTACCCAGCTATTTAAGAATTAAAGCAATATTATTTGTCCAGCCCCTGCTTTGCCAGTTTGAGAAGACGTTGGGTATTAAAAAGGTTTGACAGAAGGGGATCGACGCTGTCTTGTCACAAAGTATTTTGTGTTTTTTAATCAAAATTGAAGAAAAAAATTGAGAACTTTTTGAATTTCACTATAGTTCAACTCAGAACTGACGATTCAGTGTCCGGAAAATTGTTTTTGAAGAGGATTCTGAAATTTTCATTGGAGATGAATTATAAAATTTTTAAGATATCGTGGATGATTTAAAGGACTTTGTCAAGATTAAATGAGATTTTATTAAACTGATCTGTTGACTCAATTTGAACATGACATAAGTAGGTAATTGATACATCGAATGACTCGTACTATCCCTGATGGGTTACCCGCGATGACATCGAAGTTTCTGCTGAATGGATTTCTATTAATTCTAGTCGGATTTCTTATTGTGCCTGTGGAAAACACATGGTGGTGAGTTGCTTAGTAAAATACTAAATTTCAGGAACTTATTACAAAGTCTAAGACAAATAAATGAGTAAGTCACATTTATATTCAAATTTTCACTCAGTTTGTTTAAAGCGACGTTTTTCCATGAATGATATTCTTCGCAACCTGAGATACTTGTAAGAAGTTTTACTCTATTTATCAATTAAATTGCTATCATTTTAAGAATGATGCGAATCCCGAATCTGTAAATTGATGTGAAATTCCTTTAAAAAACTTTTTTTTTCTTTAAAATCGGAAAGATCCACTTTATATAAATTGATTATTTGTGTACGTTTCAGTATTTTAATGCAATTTACAACAAATATTTCAAACGTGTGGTATCTGCAGCTGCATGCAGTTTTATTTTATTAATCTGCACGCACTGTTTGACCAGGTATATTAATTTTCGCTTTTACGATAAAAGATGAGAGTTAATAGAGAACGATTTATCATTCCAGGAAATGCAGTAATATTATGGTAGCAATCGGCATTGATTTATCTCCCTTTAACAAGGACTCGCGAGATTTACGAGATAAGCGACGGAGAGGGCAGAGATTGCTCAGAACCTAATATAACTTTTACTGCTAAATTATGACAAAAGTGTTATAAACATCTCATAGACAAGATAAGCCAGACCATTTTTCGAAATTCAACAGCTATAATCATTAAGATATTTAATTAGACCCCCAAAAAGCTACAAAAGGGGGGATATCTTTACATATAACTGCGATTCTTAACTTTTTAAAAACAGCATCAAGATATTCAGTTGACATAATAGTTCTGGAATTTGTTAGGTAAAATATATATTCTTTTAACTGAATGAATATGCGCGTGCCATGCTTTGATTTACAGCTTTAGCTTCACATTCTAGCTCGTCTCCATGGATTAATAGGGACAAATTATAAGAAACGCCTCAGATTTATCAAATAATTACTTATTTTAAAATAGCTAGTCTACAGACCAAAAATTTGAAGCATATAATGTCCCACCCTATGCCTAAGATGAATGAAATATTGTTTTACATGTAGATGTGAAATATCGAAATACTAGTATATGTTTAAAAAAAACTGAACTTAAATTTTAAAGAACCGAAATTTTGGTTGAATATCACAATCAAATACAGTGCAGATTTACATTATTTTATCTATAAAACATAACCGCTTTAATTATTTTGAGAATTTTTTTTTGGAGAATGTATTACGAAATCGTCTGTCTGGTCCATATGATGTTGATTTCTGGACACCGGAAGAGATAGTAGCAAAGACAAAAGGGTTGGGTGGGGGTAAACAATATCGTTTCAATTTCACTAAATATAGATGTAAAAAATTATTCTTTAAAAATAATGATGGACCTATATTATTTACTCTCTCTCTCTCTCTCTCTCTCTCAAGATTTCTAGTATGTAGCTGAGTCGTTCCACAGTGTCAGAATACCTCAATGTTCTTATTAAAAGAGGAACAAGTTTTGCATTTCTTTATTCATGTATTTTAAGGTATGAAGACAATTAATGGGCAGATTTATTCTTTTTTGTTCGTCCAAGATTGTCTCAATTTTAATATTACAAATGTTGTATTGAAATCAATGTACAGTGATCCATTGAATCTTCATTCACAAGTCATTATTTTACATACGAAAGAATGAAAAGCAGGGGAAAATACTTGAAATGTTCTAAGATTAGCCGTTAACAGTTCAATTATGCTCAAGTTCCCGACTTTAATCTTTTTAAAGTCGGTATAATTCAACATACGTAATAAATATAGATTTGCTGATTGGATACGCTGCAAGATATCGCCATCTTGCGTCCTTTCTCCGTTAGTTTTGGTTTGGGTAATTATAGACAGAAAGTCACAGGTGTTAGTTAATAAAAAAGAAACGGTTTAATAAAACAGTGAAGGATGTCTGAAATTCGAATCTTTGAAAAAGCTACAATTTCGAGCCCTCTGCACTGTTGTGCCAAAAGTTTGATTGGGCCAATGACGTCATTAGTCACGAAAAACCAACTTTGTCTGCTACCACGTATAAATTCTATCAAATTGCACGAGGTGCTTTTGAAACGATAATAACCACGCTTTCTTATGCGACACATGATATATTGCAAATATTCGCATTAAAAAAAAAAACACAAAAAAACTGGTCAATTTTAAAATTTTGAATACACACCAGAAACTTCAATATGAAACTGAATACAGTGTATATGCTAATTAGAGTTAAGAACATGTTTTCAGCAAATATTCTCCTCTGCCAAGTTTATAGCAGCATGTAATTACCACTGTGTAACCACAGAGTTAAGTTTTACCTAGAATGAAAAGAGATGATAAGTTATACTTCATATAGGCATTGTACAATAAAATTGGAAAGCAAAGACATGAAATATTACGATTTTTATGCTTAGTTTAAAGCAGTATTGAAATATAAAGAAAATATTTGATGGATTTCAAAATACAGTGCGCGATACTTCATGCTGTCCTTATCGATTGCCTCATGGCCCTATAAAATTAATACTTTTAAATAAAAATAATCCACGTTTTACCATGATAATTACAAGCACAGTACCCGAGCATTCCCCACAGCGAGGCTTGGTCTCGTCAATGGTAACGAGAGTCTTTTTCGAGACCACGTGATTATTCGTAGAAATTCGCATGCTGGGCTTACGCACAAGATGAATTATTATCAGTGCACGAGTCTTTTGTGGACTGTAAATTAATAATTAATGAGCAAATTAACGTGAAATTTCTTTGCCACGTTGCACATTTAAGTTGAGTCTTGATTTTTTTTCGGCTTAGCAGCTCGAAGACAAACATGTTTATATCGTCTAGAAGAGGTTGTTTTATTACGATACGTGGATGCATTCAATTTTAATTTGTTAGTAAACAAAACAGAAATAATTTTTTGAGAAGTTAATTACATCAGGAGATGAAACATCCAGCTTCTTTTTCAGGAAAATGACTGGTGGTTGCTTTTCAAAATGTCTGTGTTAATGAAATGTTCGTGAATACTTTGTATAAGCTGTTGAAGAATATAATTGACGGTTTAACTAAACCCATTAAAATCTTAACATAGAAATCCACTTTGTCAGTCTTTGTCGAGAGCAAAATAGATTCCCTTAAAATGTTAAATTAATACATGGTTACATTATTATGAGTTTTCTTCTATTTTCGTCAACGGTATAAAGCGTAAACAGAAAACTAAGAAAAACCCCAAAAGTCAATCCCAGACAACCTGACGTGTTAATTTCAATGTACTTAAAAACCAGTATTGCTAAAACTTTATTTAGACCTATGTTCATAATACATGCAAAGGATCACTTCTTTATAAATGGAGCTTGGACCTACAGGACCGGGATTGGTTTTAATCTTAAGGATAAATACATGTAAAAATTCGTTTTCATTTTATTACAGTATATGTAGAGATAGGCGGAACCTTTCCATAGACATTTATTATGAAGTATGATAATATTGTCAACACATTTTGAGTTTGTCATCTCAAAATGTTATTTGATTTAATTTTATTCCCTTACTTTCATTGTAAATAATAGTAATGTCTATATTCTTATTTCTTTTCTTGATGTGTGTGTGTGTTTTTTTTTTTACAACACACCTCCTTCGATATTATAAAACATGCCATTAATGTATACAAATTATAAAAATTAAATCCAAGGGAGTGTAGATACTGATATGTTATCCTACTGTTTGAAAATTTTAGATCTGAAATTTATTGACTCGGTACATGTATGTATGCATTTCTAAATATATTTTTTAAGCTTAGATAATATAAGCAGTACATATACTTCCCAGCGCAATAACGCAGACAAGAACTAGTAGTACACACGGAATAAGAGCAATGTAATAGGTATTTCTATCCTTGCAATTTTATGGGTTCAAAGTAGGAAAACTGCATTTATTTTTACTGAATATTGTTCATATTAATGAATAATCACAACAAATATATAGGTTGCCATATTTTTAAGATGTAAGAGATAAATAAACAGAAGCATATGTCAGCATTAAAAAATTGTACACTTTTAGTAAACAGTATTATAAAAAAAATAATGTAAAAAACTGGTTCAAATACATAATTGTGATGCTGAAAGTTCATAAATAACTGCTTCTTTATAAATATGTTTGAATTGTGGATTTTACCCGTACGTTAGAAGCACAATAAGGGAAATGCCTGAATATAGATACATGAGAAAGAGTTATTGCCCTTAGCAACACTTTTTAAAGATTGAATAATTGATTAAATAAAGATTATATTCATTTTTTAAATTCTTTTACTAAACAATATTTTTTACTACACCCGGCCATTGAAAAACATTTTTCTAAAAGCTATGTTTCTATGGGGTATGAATTTAAATTAATAACAGATTTTGCAAAAACCTACGACATCACAGGAGGGTGGAAATACCTTAAATTGACTAAATTCTAAGGTATATATATATATATATATATATATATATATATATATATATCCATCGCAGCTCATGCTCATCGCAGGCCAGAATATCTGTATCGAGGAACACAGAGTGAATGCTATACTGAGGTATAGTTCCGCTTTACTGTGTTTTAGTTACAGTGGAATTTACGATTTGCTTTCTCTTTTTGTGCCTTTTATATTAAGAATGAACAGGCATAAAAGATAGATAATTGAAAGAAAATACACAAGACCCTATAAAAAAAATAAAATAGTCTATGAAAGGACAAGAATTTAAAAGTTTATAAAAGTGTGGCACCAGGTGGATTCGAACCACGACTCAAAAAGTATCTACGTTGTATATACCCAGCCGTTTTACAAATATAGCTATTCTGGCTATGAAAATAAAATGTATAAATGCAAACTAGGTTTTAATGGACAAAATGCTGTTTTGGGAAACTTTGGAGGTTAAGTTTTAAGTTGTAAATAATAAATTTTAAGTTCAAATACAAATTTGAAAATTTTAGACATATATACATTAGTTAACAACTAATAAACATTGATTTTTAAAAGTGACTTTTTCCGGGAAATTGTTCTCTCCTATAGGTCAATTCTTTTCAAATAGTGAATACATCCTTTTTCTAACAGAATGTTAAATAAATTTTGAACATTGCTTCTAAGACACCGACTTCAGGTTTTTAGATTATTGTCGGTGTTCGAAGCCCTTCGTTTAACTTATCGTTCACACCTATACCCTGATGAGGCCTTGAAGAAAAGAATTATAAGTGAAACGATTTAGAAAGAGATTTAAGAAATCTTCTAAGCAAAATTTAGTAAACGACAGAGGCTATACATATGTAATGAGCAATACATATATATACATACATACATATATATATATATATATATATATATATATATATATATATATATATATATATATATATATATATATATATATATATATATATATATATATATATATATATATATATCTTATAAGCTCCTTGATCAGTAGTGAGTCCAGAAATGAAAATAAGGGGTTAAAACAATTATAAAGCAATTCCCCTGAAAATCTTATAAGGGGAGCCTGGTCATCATTTACATTGTGTTACCATACAACGTAAGATGGTTCAGATGCTGGACCCCCTCCCCCTTTAAATTTGCGTCGGAACATACTTAATCTTAGCATTGTTTTTGTAGGTTTATAAGTCAGCTGCCACTTCATGCCGTAGGCGCGGGTGTACTCTGTGATAATATCCCGGGCCTGGCCGGTCGGCAGCGCCGTCTCTGTAGAATGCACCCGGGGGTGATGGTCAGCCTAGGCGAGGGGGCCAAAATGGGGATCAAGGAGTGTCAGAGCCAGTTTCGGTTTCATCGATGGAATTGCAGTACCCTCGACAGGGATGCCTCTGTTTTTGGAAAAGTTATGCTGAAAGGTAAAATCTCGGGAAACGGCTCAGTACATGTAGATGTAGCTTCGATCCATAACTTTGATTGGGTAGGGAGGGTATATAGACTTATAGAAAGATATGTCATAAAGAGTAGAATTCCCCTGTAGTAATACTACTATCTAACATACCTTTGCCTTGTGTGTTGTATGAGTGTGTGTGTGCGGGGGGGGGGGGGGGGGGTCCTCCATGGTATAAATTCATCATCCTCTATTTTTTTCCAGAATCCGTCAGTATTTGGTACTATATTTTTTACTGTAGAATTCTGATTGCATAAACGAAACTGCAAATTCTCATATTCATATAGACCTTGAAGCTGTAAAAATGGATAGGGATTATTGAGAACTGATAGTCTTTTCTTTCTGAACATTTCATCAGCGGAAAGAAAAATTTGGAGGCATAGTATACTTCATTCGGTAATACTCAGTTATGTCATTTTCAGCGATAAGCATGACGATCGACTTGGTGTATTTGTCCTTCGTACCAGAATACATTTGTTAAAACGCGCGATTCCGAGAGCTCGAAATCCCGATGGAAATCATCGAACAGTAGATCTTAGAATTTAGATGAGTGTTTTTTATACATGTTTACTTTGTTAGAAAACGATAAAAGCCGAGGGGAGGTTGTCATGAGCTCGGAGTGATATCCATAGACCTCACAGAATGATAAACTTTATTCAAGAAGTCTATCTTTTTTCACTCCATACGACGGAAAGCAGGTACCGAAATGAAATGACCACCGCATGGGGGCGCAGTTATCCATCGTCCGGAAATCTTAAAGCCCCCAAATAATCTAATAAGAATCGTTGAGAAAATGCATGCGAAAGTTAATGTAAAATCATGCTATTTTTCGCCCGCGTATGTCATTTATAAATATAAAAACTGAGTTTTGGAGTATTTTTTGGCGCGGATTTATTTTCTAGAGATAATTGCTATCAGTGGCATATATGAGGTAATTAAATAGCTATACAGATTACTCGATTTTTTAAAGATGCTTCCGCGCGTGTCTTGGATAGTTTTGTGTAATCGTTTTCCGCTAGTTAAAAATCAGATTAATTGTAAAAGTAGATAGTTTCATAATTGTAGTAGTACGAATACGATTGATCCGACAAAAAAACAGAACATTAACCACCAACCGTTTGATTATTAATTATAAAATATTACAAAACCGATATTTTAGACTGCATCATGCAAATATTTATAAAACAAAGCTGCCAAAAAACCGGATTCGTGTATATAAATATATCCTCGATTACACTCTCATTTTCCCCCTTATATTCAGGAAAATTGCTGAATTCCACCATTTAATTTTGCAATTTTTGACTGTCAATTAACAAACAGATGGGATTGTGTAATTCTTGAATTCAGTTGAGTGCGAACTTTTGAAAATAAAACCACGCACACAATTTCTGACAATTTTTATGATAAAACACGACGGTATCGGAAATATCTTAAGTTTTTTTTCAAATGTTTTATTAGGAACTTTCGAGGTTTCCGGGAATGGTACAATGAATGAACTATATTATTAGAGAATTCCTAATTGCTTTGTAAGAATGTTCACAAATCCAAAATTATTTCAAAACTGAATCTAATTAAGTGATTTAGAGCAGGATGACCACGCAAATGTGGGAGGTTGTTTAATTAAGGAAATTGTCCAATTTTCTTTAAGGAGCACCAAACCTGCAACAGTAATTCCCACTAAATCACATAGCCACTAATAGCAAGACCAAACAGAATCGCCTAGAGAGAAAAAATCGGACAAAAATTGACCATGTTTGTGCAAAACATTTAAAGCATTACAAAAGAAGAGAACAAAAACATTTCTCAGTTTTAACGGAACTTAAAACTTTATCCGCACTGCAATTTTTCATTCATCCCTAGTCTGACCCTTATACGGTGTTTTGATTTCATTTAGGTTAAAACTAACAAACCACGAGAACCTCTCAAGCCGAGTGAAAACCTTGTATTTTCTGCCTATTATCCTGATAATTGTGGGATAAACGGCTTAAAATTAACGTTCATGTGTAATTCGATCGCGGACTAATAGCCAAACAGTTTGGCCGTTCAAGAGGAAAAATGTTTGTTTATCCTGACCACGAAAAAAAGTTTTCTTATAAAACGAATCCCAGGCCGCTGGTACTGCCTCGACAAGGTGTAATATTTACTTGTTGACTTTGGTATAATTCGTTTTTGTTATTTTTTGAGGTACAACTATTTTATTTAATTTCCCTCCCCCATGGCGGTCTGTTTTTAATTCCAAGTTGTTACAATCATTTAGATAAGACATTTCAAGTTGTTAGATTCCAGAATTTTTACAAACAATCTCATCAAATAAAGTTAACACTTCATGTGTCCCTCAACATAATGATACCAATGTAATGTTTTCTTTTCATGAGGTTAAAATAATTGAAGCCATGTTTTCCCCCGTAACTAAAACATTTTAAAATTCTAAAATAAAAATCAGTATTTTTTTTATTCATAATTTAGTAATTCTGGTATAATTTGTAAACATGTATGATGTAAATGATCATTTCTGTTTTTCTTTAATGTTAGAAATAATTAAAACAAATTTTGTACAGGTCTAATAAATTATCACAATAATGCGATTTGCAAGATCGTCCGCTGATTTGAAAAGTCTTCAAACAATTTTGAATTTTGATGGGTACTTATCGTGCTCCTTTATTAGCCTACCTGTTTTTATATTCCTACGAAGCAGAATTTATCCCAAAACTTCTACAGGAGAAGAAAACTCTTGTTGTGGCCTCAAAATTTAGATATATCGACGACGTTTTATCAACATTAACAATTGTTACTTATATTCATATGTGGACTCGATATATCCCAGTGAACTGGAAATAAAAGACACTTCAGAGTCTGCCACACCCGTTTCATATTTGGATGTTTAACCGACTATAGTCGATAATGGCCAACTTATAACTAAATTGTATGACAGACGGGATAACTGCAGCTTTTCCATTGTCAACCTCCCTTATTTATGTAGTAATATTCCAATATCACCTGCAGATGGCTTTTATGTCTCCCAACTGATTCGATACGCATGAACATGCTCCGAGTACGTTCAATATTTAAACCGAGACAAGCTACTGACAAATAAATTAATGTTACAAGGATTCCCACAATCCTGTTTAAGGTCAGCTTTTCATAAATTCTACAGTCGTTATAATGACCTTGTTTATAAATACAACCTACATGTATCTTGGGTGGTATTTTGACTGATATGTTCCATACAGTAAGGTCATTGCTTTAATACTTTGACTACGGAGTACTTCATGTACTTGATCAATACATAGGGCTCATGGCGGGTGTGACAGGATGTTTACTCCACCTAGGCACCTGATCCCACCTAGGGTGTTTCCAAGGGTCTGTATTTTGCCCTATTCATGATTCTCCTTTTTAATCAGATTTATGAGATTGATCACTGTTTGTTATCTTAATATTTTACATTCCTGGCTGATGAAGGTAACTCAGATATTGGAGATTTTGTGAGTAAAATATCTCTCTGTTTTAGTAGGAAGTCGAGAGTCTGCTTTTGTGTACGCCATTTCTTCGGCTGGAGTTGCCCACGCCATCACTCGGGCCTGCAGCAAGGGCAACCTACTCCAGTGTGGATGCGATCCTAGCAAGGTCGGCAAGAGTCGAGACAAACTGGGCTGGTTTGAGTGGGGCGGATGTAGCGACAATGTCCGGTGGGCTAGCCATTTCTCTAGAATGTTTATTGATGCAAGAGAGCGAAGAGTGCGTGACGCACGCGCACTGATGAATCTCCATAACAACCGTGCAGGCAGACGAGTGAGTACTATTGAAATTGATAAAACATATTACATGTAGCAATCACTTTCAATCTATGAAAAGATAACTCAATGAATAAATCAAGATAAGATTTTTCGTGGAAATACAGATGTAAAATAGACGATCAATCGCTCTTTTGATTACAATTATTAAAGGTTTGTGCGCAGGGTTCTTCGAACACTCTTTAAAATTTCAGTTATGCGTAATTCCCTACATTATTTTCAATTTTTCGAAGATAACATACTAGTATACATACATGTGTGTGCAAAATAAAGTTTTCTTTATGATTTTTACCCAGGCTGTTAAAAAGTTTATGAAGCTAGCATGTAAGTGCCACGGCGTGAGTGGGGCGTGCACCATTAGAACGTGTTGGCAAGCTATGCAGCCCTTTCGGCGAGTTGGAGAGTATCTGAAGCGAAAGTACAATGGAGCTACCCACGTCATGATAGATCAAGGTGGTTCTGGTATAGTTGTTGCAAATCATCACTTCAAAAAGCCCACGAGGAAAGATTTGGTTTATTTAGAGGCATCCCCGGACTACTGTGTGCGTGACCTTTCCATTGGTAAGATTGGTTTTTTTTTTAAAATCATATAAATTTTGTATACATGAACGTTTATCATTATGTAGAAATATGGAGTATCATAATTAGTTAATTACATTCATTATGAATTCTTGAGTATTACTAGTTACGTCTTCACCTTATTTGGAAGGAAGACGTCCTAATAAATTTTACCTATGAAAAACTCATACTCATGAATGTGACAACGTGCTTTTAAGTTACATAATCTATTTTTTTTTCTTTCAAGGTTCATTGGGGACCGCCGGGCGCCAGTGTAATAAAGCGTCATTAGGAACTGATGGATGTGACATCATGTGTTGTGGGCGGGGCTATGACACAGAAACTGTGACGCAATTTCAAAAGTGTCACTGCAAATTCCACTGGTGTTGTCATGTGAAATGTAAACTTTGTTCTAAGCGCGTGGACATACATACTTGCAAAGGACCGAGTCTCCATGATAATATTTCACACCGGAAGTCCATACTTGGATAGGCACTTCTGGTCTAACTTGTACTGACTTCCATTTTTGGAACTGCAATTTTCAAGAGTGCTACTGAAATGAGTTACCGCGTGGTTTCGCAACATACAAAAGCTGTCTAGTGAAGCCTTGTCTATTTTTACAGTGTTATGCAGTATTTATTGAACTATTTATATTGGCATTGTTTATATCATATTTATTTGTTGACTGTCATTTTCTATTTGTTAATGTTTTAAATCTAGTTCTTATACATTTATGTATTTTTCATATGTACATTATTCCCATTAAAAGAATTTCATCCATTCATAAGACCAATCCTCTTTTTAAATATAATTTCATTTATTAAAGTTTGTATGAAAAAAAAATTATTCCGGTTGTACAGATTTGTAGATGTAATACTACCGTAATGCATTAAAACCCATACAGTTAGAACATAATTAGTCCAAACAATAACATTTTCCCCAAATTTAACATTGAAACATTGAGTGTGAAGATATATACGTGTATTTTATTTTCAAATTATTCGGAGTACACATACTGCGTAATAGTATCAATATAATCACAAAAACGTCAAAGAAACATAAATTCCCAAACTTTTATAGGGTTTTTGTTTCTTTGGAAATCATGTAATTCAGATCATGATAAAGAAGTGCACGTGTAAATCATGTCCAGTAAGTAGAAAACAAAATACTGACCAAACATTTTCAAGATGTATTAAGAAGTTTAAATTTGATTTGGTCTTTCCTGAGACAACATAACAACATACTAGTACATGTAATCTCTCTCTCTCTCTCTCTCAATTAAAAAAAAAATCATTATGAAGACAATCTCATAAATCCCTTACACTCTCGTCTTTCAAACCCTGTTTACATTTTGGCACAAAAATACTCATATACTCTATAATGATTCTTATCAATTTCACAACATATAATCACAGCGTTTTTAAAAATTATTTTGCATTTCATTTTGATGATAATAACCCATTGATACGTTGAACGAAATGTTTGCCATAATAAACCATCACTCCAATTGGAACACACAGACCGACGACTAAAATAACACGTTTGTAATTTATACATGTACGTGACCTCTGCTCTATGGGCGGGGTCACAAGGTCAGGGGGGTCAACATTCCGCCTCTGAAAAACCTGAAAACGAAAGAAGATAGTAAAAAGACACTTTCAAAAAAGGAAATATAGTAATAGGTAAACGCTAAAGGTACTGAGTAAAATTTATTTTTGTGTAGCCTTTTGAACTTGTGAAAGTGATACAGTCCATAATTTTGAATATATTATATGGGGGGAAAACTTAGCTAACGTGATGATTCTGTGTCATGCTAAATTTGAAACCTCAAATCATATGAGAAAAAGGATTTTTTTTAAATAAAATAAAGTGAATTATATTGCAGTTTGAGGACCTAGATAACTCTAGCCATACGTGGAATCAAGACAGCGTGATCAACTGGACCATACCTTTTACAGAATACGTTAAGGTATGAATAGGATAAAAAACAGATTTCACGAGACACAAAAGCATGAAAAATCAGCACGTTTTAATATTTTTGTTCGTATCCATCTAAGCTATAGTTCTTATCTCTTTATCTTTGCTTTGATTGAGGAAAAGGACAATTAAGGTGCAACCTTATAGTCAATATCAAAGTAGCAATATTGTTGGACACTTGCAATATAGATGAACTAACGTATCTTTCAATATAAAACAAAGTAGTATATTTTGAAAAACTTTTAATATATACATGTATTATCAACCGCGCGGACGCAATCGATGCTTAATGACCACGTACATGTAATGAATTTGGATACACAAATTAAAGTTGTAACAACAGCAAAAAAAAAAAAAAAAAGAAGGTGTTCTTGATCACCGTAACATGGACATTAACTCTGGTAAATGCAAGCTGGCAATTGTCAGGGTTAGTTTGGAATACAAGTGTTGTAGGAGGAAACATGTGAACTCATTGCCTGCTTCGTTAACATAAATCCTTCCTCGTTTATGATATAGCATCAGATTCATGAACCGTGACATGCAAAGGATGTGGTAATTACGTAATCAAAATTGTCACGCTTAACAGTTTCCGCTTTCAAAAAGTGCGTTGTTTGAAATAATTTTTCGTTACGTTGTTTGAAGTCTACAAACTGTAAACTGTAACACGGGGGCGCAAGTACAAACGTATGCTAATACTAGTATACAAAACTTTGGTTAATAACTATATCTGACTCTGACTTGGAATGCAGTTATCATCGATGCTCAGAGGAATCTCTTCTTTTTTTTTTTTTTGCATGAACTTTTTTTTAAAAAGGAAAACAAAGAGATATTCACACATCTAGTGCTAAAAAACCCATAAAAAGAAAAAAAAAAACAGAATATATTATATTTATAAATTATAAAATAAATAACAGAAACGTCTTGGAAATAAAATCATTTTGATTTTTTCCGTTTTTTTTCGGGGGGGGGGGGATTTTATCAAGAGTGAAATTACTTTTCCAATTCATAAATAACTTTAGGCTGCTGAATAAATTTCCCGTAAACCAATCACTTCTCAGAATACAATGACATTTACTATGTCGGAATTGTTTTAGTCTGGAGAAAATTTTTACCTTCACCTCTCACCGAATTCAAACAATTTACAGCAGGTGAATGAACGGAAACGTTTTTTTTTTATCAGTGGTAGACGATCGGTATTTCTTATAAACGAAACCTCAGAATTTAAAGAAAGTCAAACTTGTAGACGATCGGTATATGTTATAGACCTAAACATCAGGTCAATGTAGACGATCGCTATGTTATAGTTCAGAACACCAGAATATTTAAGAATGTCAAACTTAAAGAGATATATTTGGATTTTTTTTAAATTTATGTGAACTCCCTAGGTTTTCAAAAGTTTAACCCCCCCCCCCCCCAAATGTTTCTGGATAATCACGATTGGTCATGGACTCATGGTGACATGTAACCTAAAGTAAAGATCATCATACAATGTGACATTCCTGTCCATGTTTTATAATCTTCAGAAACAGTTCTGTCATTATATAATTACAGGATCTAAGGCTGTCTGTGCGAAATACTGGAACACAGCTTAAACTTTTGGGCCATTTTAGGGAAATTTTCAGCATATACATGTAGGAATAATGACACAATTTATAACATCATAATGCATTGACTAGTGAGAAAATTATATTATTTTCCATAGATAGGCAGTTATCAAGGGTCCAACTGATTTAATGCATTGTCAATTGAAATTAAGAAGTTATAATTTATCAGAAATTCACAGGGCCAAAAAAGGTACCTGTTCCTTTGATGGTGAACCTTGCTCTTTGAAACCTATGAACTCTTTGACCTTAATTGTCCTTGTCTAAATGATCTTTGTTCATGGCCATGACATATGATCTTCAGTTGTTCTATTACAAAGTCCTGGTATGGACAAGAATTTTACACTTCCAACTCTGTGATCTTGACCTTGTCTAAATGACCGTGGAAGTAGGGTTGTTACACACTAAGCTAGATCAGAACAAACATGCACCCTTGAGTTACAAGTAACCTTAGTCTTAGGGATAAGCTTCTTATGCTTCTCCTTTCCAAAGTTGTGTATGGAACGCCATAGCTGCCTTATGTGGTCATTTCATGAGAAGGTGGTGCTTTATTATGTTATGCTGTGGTTATTTCATGTGAAGGTGGTGCTTTATTATGTTATGCTGTGGTTATTTCTTGTGAAGGTGGTTTTTTATGTGAAGATGGTTTTTCATGTGATGGGGCTTTTTTATGTGATGGTGGTTTTTCATGTGAGGGTGGTTTTTCATGTGATGGTGGTTTTTCATGTGAAGGTGGTTTTTCATGTGAAGGTGTTTTTTTTTCATGTGAAGGTGGTTTTTCATGTGATGGTGGTTTTTCATGTGAGGGCGATTTTTTATGTGAAGGTGGTTTTTCATGTGATGGTGGTTTTTCATGTGAAGGTGGTTTTTCATGTGAGGGTGGTTTTTCATGTAAAGGTGGTTTTTTATGTGAAGGTGGCTTTTCATGTGATGGTGGTTTTTTATGTGAAGGTGGTTTTTCATGTGATTATGGTATTTTATGTGATGGTGGTTTTTTATGTGAAGGTGGTTTTTTATATTTAATGTGAAGGTTGTCACTTGGAACTCCTTATATTTTTTGAAGACTGAGTTTAACACTGAGTTTAACAGATATTATCTCGAAATTTTGAAAGTAAAAAAATTAACTGATGTAATTAAAATCTTTTAATACGCCATTGCTAGTTCCTCTTTTTTCCATAGGCGCTTGGTTTCAGGATGGTGTATTTTGTTGCTTGGATTCCCTATTGTGGCCCCGCCCTACCCCTGGGGGTCATAATTTGAACAATTTAGAATCTACACTACCCCAGAATGCTTCCACAAAAGATTCAGCTTTTCTTGCCCAGTGGTTCTTGAGAAGAAGATTTTTTAATGACCCAACCCAATTTTTGTAATTTCTTGATTATCTTCCCTTGATCATCTCCCCTTTGGCCCTTCATTTTAAGAATTTAAACTCCCCTTCACCCAAGGATGCTTTGTACCAAGTTTGGTTAAAATTGGCTTAGTGGTTCTTGAGAAGAAGTTGAAAATGTGAAAAGTTAACAGATGGACGGACTGACGACGACAATGGGTGATCAGAAAAGCTCACTTGAGCTTTCAGCTCAGGTCAGCTAAAAAGCACCATCTTTTCATGAAATAACCACATAAGGCAGCTATGGCATTCCATAGTTGTTGCTAGAAAAATAAGTTTATACTTTTGCACCTTGCCACTATGGTACAGGGCCAGTTTACTCTCTTGTCACATGCCATATATAACTTAACAGTTTGATCAAAAAAAGTCTTACAACCTGGTTTCATTCTAACAGAACAAATTCTCTAATATTGAACTGAAATGATGTTACAACATCTTTTAATACCTTTTAATGACTTTGGCAGAGACATTTGACCATTTTCTCTTGCCACTCACATTCCTTTTCACTCATGAGGGTGAGTACTCATTCAATATGCAAACCATTGTTCAAACATATCACATACTGCATTTGTTTTTTGTTTGTTTGTTTGTTTTTTTGTTTTATCCCAAAGTATTATCCTTTTTCTATTTAAAAAATAAGAGCCAAGCTGTCAATGTGACAGCAAACAAAGTCTTCTTTTGTATAAACAGTAATTGTATTTCTCACATAAATTACAAAATCTTTCGATTCTGAAAACTGTAGGAGATGAAATTCTGACAGTATTAATGCACTCTATGAACATATTTCATTTGTTCATAAAAATAACTAAGTTTGACAACTCGTATTTTCTGCATAAATGATTAAAAAATGAAAATCCAAGTACAATGCACATTTCTGATGTGTATATGCACAACTGAATTGCAAAATTAAAATTTCCTATCTTGAAAACTATAAGAGGAGTTATCCACACAAATGATTACCCTATAAGCAATACATGCATTTTGCCTAAAATGACCATGTTCAACAACTAGAATTTTTCTGATTAATTATCAAATATCAAAATCTAAGTATTATGCATATCTCCGATATATGTACCATTGACCTACAGAATAAACATAGGTAATCAGAGATTACAGAGCTCACCTCAACGAATGTTGTCTTTAAGTAAGGCAAAGTCAAACACTGAACTAATAATCTTGGAGTGTGCATCCCTAGATGCAACATTTATGCAATTTTGGTCTGATAGGGCTTGCAGTTACTTGGGAATAGACTTATCTGAAAACTTAAAACTAGTCACTCATCCAGAAAATGTAAGTCAAATCCAGCATCCGAAGCAAGTTTTGAGATTGTTCGTCCCTTGATGCATCATCCATGCAAGTTTGGTTCAGATAGGCCTTATACTTACTTGGAAATGAAATCTGCTCCAAAAACTTTAATCTGGTTACTCATCCGGAAAATGTAGGTCAGATCAAGCATCCGAAGCAAGTCCAGTAGTGTACATCCTTAGATGTATCATCCATGCAAGTTTGGTCAATATAGGGCTTTTAGTTACTTGGAAATGAGATCTGCTCCAAAAACCTTAACCTGGTCACTCATCCGGAAAATATAGGTCAGATCCAGCATCTGAAGCAAGTCCAGTAGTGTGCATCCTTAGATGTATCATCCATGCAAGTTTGGTCAATATAGGGCCTTTAGTTACTTGGAAATGAGACCTGCTCCAAAAACTTTAACCTGGTCTCTCATCCGGAAAATATAGGTAAGATTCAGCATCCGAAGCAAGTCCAGTAGTGTGCATCCTTAGATGTATCATCCATGCAAGTTTGGTCAATATAGGTTTTTTAGTTACTTGGAAATGAGATCTACTCAGAAAACCTTAACCTAATCACTCATCCGGAAAATGTAGGTCAGATCCAGCATCCGAAGCAAGTTCAGTAGTGTGCATCTTTAGATGTATCATCCATGCAAGTTTGGTCAATATAGGGCTTGTAGTTACTTGGAAATGAGATCTGCTCCAAAAACTTTAACCTGCTCCAAAAACTTCAACCTGCTCCAAAAACATTAAACTAGTCATTCTTTAGCTGAAATTGCAGCATCTGAAACCTTGACTGGTACAATGAAACACACTAGAAGCATCCTCCATGCATCTCTGACTAATATAGGCCATAGAAGTACTTGAAAACTGCTCCAAAAACCTTAACCTGGGACGCCGACGCTGAGGGTATTACATAAGCTCCCCCAACTTCGTTGAGGTGAGCTAAAAACTTCCTATCTTAGAAACTGTAGGAGTAATTATCTGGACAAACGATGTACCCTGTTAGCAGCCATCCACCTGCCATTTTCATCATTTCAATAAATGGATTTTTCTGATGGAAAACCTGCTTAAAAACTATCACTTATTCACTATATGCCTGAATTGATGCAAAACCTGATTTTACAGAATTTCCTTACCTTCTCTAACCTTGAAGACAATCTCTCAAGTTCTTTTTCTAACATCAATACGTTTGCTTGGGTCTCTTCACATTGCCTCTGGAGTTGTTTGGGTGTTGAACCATCCTATAAAAATTGATTATTAATACAAATATATTTACATTTCCAAATATTTTTCCTTAAGATTCTTTGCAAATTAGAAAAAGTTCATGTTCTCATGAACTACCATGGGATGAGTAAGAATATTTCCATTGTGATGTGATTGAAGTAAAAAAATAGTTCAAACTTTTTTTTCAAAAATGATTATTGAATGACAAAAATATGTGGCAAGTCATCAGAAAAATAATGTAAATATAAGATAAGAATTTAATTTTTGAGAATTCATGAGGTACATGAACTACAACACTCGACGCCTGCATATTTATCATGAAGCGCTAAAGCGCTTCATGAAATATGCAGGCATGAAGCGTCGTAGTTCATGTCCTCATGAATTCTCAAAAATTTAATTCATCTCTTAGAATATTATGGGAAATTCACAGCATATTTACTTATTTCAGGATTAATATGGAGAAAAATAAATCAACAAAATGCTAATTAGTTGAAATAAATTTAATGTATAGTTATAGAACATAATTCTTAGAGACCCTATAAGTTTCTTTGATAATATGTAATTTTAGTCTTTTTCAAAAGCACCACAATTTTAACTAGTTATAATTGTAACGGGGACCGTTACAGATGTTCCCCAAACGCTCCCCAACACCCTTTTGGTGTCTTATTTCCTGTAAGCTTCATTAAATAAGGCAATGAAGTATATTGATAGTTTTTTTGCATTTCACGCGCGCGCACGTGCATGCATGTGCAGGATGACCATGTCATCTCATCTATACTATTAATGCATCTTTATATTCTCAGTATTAAAACATTTCATCAAAAAATAAATAAGTTCCAGCTATATCAAGTATATTGGTCATCTTAGCATTGCACGCATGCGCACCTGCATGCATGTTCATAATGACCATGCCATTTTGTCTACACTTATAATATGTCGGTTTATTCTTAGTATCAAAGCTTTTCATAAAAAAATATAAAAGTTATGGCTACATTAAGTATATTGGTCATTTAACACATTGCACGCGCGCGCATGTGCATTCATGAGCATGATGTCCACATCATCTTGTCTACACTTTTAATATATCTGTATATTCTTAATATCAAAGCTTTTCATAAAAAAATATAAAAATTACGGCTATATTAAGTATATTGGTCATTTAACACATTGCACGCGCGCGCACGTGCATGCATGCATGCATGCATGTGCACGATGACCATGTCGTCTTGTCTACACTTTTAATATATATAAAAATTTTGAGTATCAAAGCATCTCATCAAAAAGTATAAAAATTACGAGTATATCAAGTATATTTGTCATTTTACGCTTTGCGCGTGCGCACACGTGCATGCATGTGCATGTTGACCATGTCATCTTGTTTACACTTTTAATATATCCTTATATTCTGAGTATCAAAGCATTTCATCAAAAAATATAAAAGTTACAGCTATATCAAGTATATTGGTCATTTTACGCATTGCACGCGCACGCACGTGCATGCACGTGCACTCAAAATGACCTTGATTCCGCAAATCTACATAACATGCCTATTAACCCTAAAAAGGTTTCACCTCAATCGGATGAGTAGTTGACGAGATCACTCGCGGACAAAAAAGTACCCAGGAAGAAGAAGAAGAAGAAAAATAATAATAATAATAAGAAACAGAGTAAAAACAATATGTTCCCCAACTTCGTTTGGGGAACATAATTACTACATGTAATTGTGGTCCCAAGGGCTAAGATGAGGCTAAATGAAGACACATTTTCAGATATTCTTTTCAAGAATAGCAAGACCAAACTAAATCATATCAATCAATTTGCAAAGATTCCCAAGTTATTTGGATTTTAGTTTTTTCCCCTAAGATTGTCAACCTCTAGGTATGGATGGGGCTAAAATTTTACATAATGCAGGGGAGGAAAATTTTAGGGAACATCAAGGTCATTTTAATCATTATTGATGTTGAAGCATCATTATTTAGTGTTGAGTAAAGGTTGTTCATGATGCATTACTTTGCACATGTTTTAAAATACATGTATTTCAAGAACAGGTCAAAACAGATAAAATTTTTAACTTTGACCTCAATTAATTAACTGACCTTGCCATTGGGTCAAGGTCAACACTAGAGCATGAATTTATCTTCTTGAATTGTCTAACAGTATACACTGTGCATCAATGTATGAAATATTTTGAGCAAGGTTCAAAATATCAAGAACCATGTAGATTTAGATAAGAAATTATTAGACATAGAATATATAATACAGAAAAATTTGACCATGGGGTCAAAGGTCAAAGTGAGGAGAAGGTCATAGTAGTGCATGACTCATTTTCTGTTACAACTGCACCCATGTGGAATAAGGATATCTTGTTTCTGAAAGGACAAATTATTTCTAGTAATCTGAATTGTTAACAGGAAATCATCTAAAAATGCCCAAATTTGCATATATTTGAATCTCCATGGCAACAATGGTTTTAAAAGTCTACCCAATTTTATTTTTTAATTTTTTTGTATACTCAAACAGTTACAAAATTTCATTATAGAGTTTATAAGCAGTGGTACGGATTTTTGTCAAATGCCTTTTAAAAGTCTTAAATTCAGCTATTTTTTCAATGCTAAACTTGTCGCTTTTTCCCATTGCCATAGCAACGTAACAGAAGAACTTAATCCAATTTAATCAGGCAAAGTAGAACTATCAATTTAGTCATCTTTATAAAATGGGTAGTTTTAAACCATCTTTTGAGAACATTTGCGTGAAAAATACATTTAATTATGTCAGTATTTGCCCATTTTGAATGTGAAAAATTGTTCTGGTAACTAAGGAAATGTTTCTCCTTGGATACGACTCAGTGATTATGGTTGAAATCATTAATTTTGTATTTTTCTTGTTATTTGTGACAGAAATAATCCATACACACTATTTCTTAAAAAAATCAGATTTTTGACTTTCCATAGAAAGCTCAATGCTTACTGACATGCTCTCTTAACAGATCTAGATGGCCTCCATTTTTGGAAGATAGCCAAAATTCAAATATAGCTGCCAAATTTTTACAATATACGAAACATTGCAATGCATAATGGGATAACTTATCCTTCTATTTCAGAAGATACATGTAACAAAGGAAATTTTCAAAAATTTTGTACATACCTCTAGTAGAAAAAAGCAAACACCAGAGTACATGTAAATATAAGTTCAAACCTTAATCTTTCAATTGTATGTGGTGATTTTGAGATTCTGTCTCTAGATCTTTTACAATTTAATATTTTCAAAGTTGGCATTTTTTGCACACCTTTATTACTGCATTTTTCTTTTTTCTAATTATTTGAATTAAAAACAAATAAGAAATGGGAAATTTCTGTTATTATTTCTTTAATATGAAGTCCAGCCTACTTTAAATTTAATTTGACCAAAACATTAGGGTATTTTTCACTTTATTTTTAATTACAGTACTGTATGATGGGGGGGGGGGGGGGGGGGAGAAAAAAAAGAAATGTTTTATATGCAATAAATATTAAAATTATTTAATGGGCATCTTAGAATATATCTTGCAGATCTAATGTGTTCATAACACCATCTTCAATGAAACAACGTTGTTAATTTCCTAATAATTTTTTAACAAGTTGTTATTATATTGCAGATCTCCGAGCTTTTTTTTAAAAGTTAACCATCTAAACAGGTAAGGTGGTATACGTATTGCTGTAAAACAGCAAAGTGATGAATGAATGACTGTTGTTATAATGATGTACCATATATACTCGCCTATAAGTCATTTTTTTGGGAGTTAAACTTTGGTCCAAAACTCTTTGTCTGATTTATAGGCAAGTTATAAAAAGATTGGAATTTTATAGGTTGAAGCCCTTTAATATAAGCTTTAAAATACAACCGACTTACAGGCGGACCGACTTATATGCAAGTATATAAGGTAATATGCATTAAAAATACATGTTTTTATATTTTTTTCAGTTGAATGAGAATTACAGTTCATAAAAGCAAGAGTTGCAGCTCTTGGTTTAGCATTCACTACCCTTTGATTTGAAAAGCCTGGTAGATGGCGATACATGTACTGCTATCCTCCCATTTTGAAAGATAAAAAAACAGAGGCCACTTAGATCTAAGTAATAAAGCCTCCACCCATTTACAAATATCAAACTAAAAGTATATGCTTTTTTCTCACTCAAGTTCAACTGAAAATGATTTTGCATCATTTTTTTAAGTTATGCTCCTCTTAACTTTTGTTACCGTCTTCCTTGGAAGATGGTATACAGAGTTGAAGTATTTTACAGTCTTCGGACGATGCGCTTCCTCTCTTTTGTGATTGGTAGAAATTGCATGATGAGAAAATTTTCAATTATTTCATTGGTTGAAATGCTGTTAAATGCAAGGGAGATAATTTTCTGATGATCTAATTTTCGTACGACCTAACAATTTTTCAAGATTTTCAACCGTAAAAAAATATGACAAAACGGACAGTGGAAATTGGCAGTAATTAATTCGAAATTACATGTTAGTTTTTTTTATAGCAATTACCAAAAAAAACATTTCTATATTTTCATTGTTTACAGAATTGATCTTTACTGCATGCAAGCTTTACAGCTTGTATGTATTCTTTTCCCATTTGTTTTGCACTGTTTTTCTAATCTCGGCAGCACTCGGCAACACCTCAGCCGATTCGTACCTCATCTACATATCACAAAGGTGACGGAATCAGTCGAGGTTTGCTGAATGTTCTCAGCAGCAGAGTCAAAGTTTACGGAGACAGCCAAGCATCTGTTAACGTTTCACTTGGTAGGATTTATGTCAGAAAAAACTAATGAAGAAATACAAAGCCAAGAAATTTTCAAGAATTATACACTCTGATAGGTTTAGGTCAGTTTACTGTTTAAAGTTGTTGCTAAAGACGGTAAGCTTTTTAAAAACTTGTATCTTTCGTAAATTTAGATCACTTTTAAGTCATCCATTAACAGTACGGAAACAAGGAATAAAATAAATTAGCTAAAAATGAAAAGTATGAAGCAAGAACATTGACAAAGTTCTGCATCTTTTACCTATTGACATTTTCTCAAGAAAAGTTGCTAAACTTAAATTTATTAACCTGTACATGTAGTTGCTATGAAACCCCTTAATAAGGAGAGAGGATACTGTCATTGTACAAAGTATACTACCTGAACCTCCAACACAGAAGAGTTCACTGTGACTTGGTCAGCAATGTAACCTATGGTACTGGACAGGTATTTAGTGTGCTTACAGATGTTGGCTGCTATAGCGACAGCTTCAACACAACTGAAATTAAAATTAAACATAGATTATCAGAGAAAACCAAGCTAAACAAATCTTACCTTTAAATATTAAAGGCATAGATTCATAGGAAAGTTCAGTAAGATTCATCAATGACATTAAGTTCATCGCTACAGGTATAGGCCTTTCAATAAGTTACTTTGTTATACTTTCATGTTAAATAGTCAAATTTAATTAGTTTAAAAACATTTGTTAAAAAGTACTGTTTCCCTTCCACGTGCATAAACCACTGGCCTTCAGGTAAGATTACATAACAATGGTCGACAATGCATAACGACGGGTAACAGTAACAGTATAAAAATTGTTAACTGTGCAGAATGTCTGCATGTTCCACTGTGGGTTTTTCTTTTAAATGCATTCTAAATATATTCAGTATAATAAAAAAATATTACATGTTTATTTAGGGTAACGTGAAATTGTTAGCCTGCAAAAACCATTCTGACTGAGGTGAAGTCGAGGTCAGCAATGGTTTTCGTTGGATAACAATTTCACATGTTACCCTAAAAAAACATATAATATTTTTATAATATACTGGTTTCAAAGGATCACTCTCAGTAACCTTTATCAAATGAATTATTGAAAAATCAAAATTCAATTGTCACAAAATATGGCTACCTCAGCTTCCTGTTTACTGGTATTGCAGGCAGACTTTCTTTCTCCCACTCCCGTTTGTGTACAGCCTGGATCCCGTCTAAAATCTTCTTCCTGATCCCTATCTGGTGAATCCCCATCTGAACAAGTTAAAAAATTCTCCACTTATTTTGACTGATAAACAAAAAGACGAACTTCACACTGCAATTTGCATCCATACATGATAAAACTAGGAAGAATCTGAATGGTTGAAGTAACATATGTCTTTCACTTCAAAGCTATTTGTAATTCTACAAAGCATAAAAAACAAAACATTGTAGATGATGAGATTTTTGTTTCAGCTTTCAGTCAATGAGGTTTAAGTCGGCAAAGATAAAATACAATGATAGAAGATGGAACAGTAACGTGCAGGAAGAAAAGGCAAAGGATTGCAAAATGTTCTGCAGGATCAGTTTCCTCGATATATACAGTGCATGTACATTTTTTCAACTGAAATCTTCACCTTCTTGCAATAAACTTTCCACGACCTCAACATAGACAATTCCAATATCTTGGTTACTTATTTTAAGAGATCTTCATAAAGAAGATTTATTAACTTTTTTTACACATTGTTGACACAAAGATGAATTCTTGTGAAATGGATCCTTACAAATTCTGTTTACCTTGCTTAAGTCTTCATCAGTCATCCTAAGAAACATGTCAAACTCTACATGTTGTTCCTGGAACAACTGCACTAGATGATTGAGTCCCAGCCCAGTAAGGAACAGCTCTAGCTCTCCATAGATTATAGCACTGTCATAAAACAAAAATACTGCTAAACTGATCAAGACAAAACCCTGCTGGAAACATGCTAAAGTCGCCATAGATCACATCCCTGACATCAAAAAAAAGCTTTACTGATAGAGAAAGAGCCTTCAAAAGTGTAATAATTAGATCAACTAAGCCACATCCTGAGGTCTGAGCCTGGAACTAGGGGGTCATGACTTTCACAACTTTGGTAGAAGTCAAGCTGATTATTATACTCAAGCAAACAGTTTGTCTTCTAAAAGTCCAAGAGTATAGAAAAAGATTCTAGAAGACTGCAAAAATTTTGAAAATTTTGGACCCATTTCTTGGTCCCTGGAGGGAGCTGGGACTAGTGACCTATTCATAAATTGTTAATAGAAAAAATAAAAAATTCTAAATACTGACATGATATACTGTATCAATTTACATGTTCAATTAAGGTAGGAAGTAAACATTGTCAAAACAACTTTCTCCTCAATCTACATGTATATTCAACATACTTTTTTGATGATGAAGTCGTTTCTGGGGTGGTAGCATTAGACTGTGATGGCCATCCATTAGTGTTGGTGTAAGCTGCATTCTGATTGGCTGAATTATTACTATTTCCTGTGTCTCCCCCAAGTAATTTTACAATCTTAATAAAATAAATATAAAGTTAAATTTACAAACAAGGTCTTTAAACATTTGATCAAGAATAAAAGTACATTGTATAATTTTTAAATGAAAAATATGGGGGAAAAAATTGAAAATTCATTGCAAAAAATAAAATTACTAGCAAAATGTATTTAAACTTACAGGCTGAAGATCTTGGGCCATTGCCATATCTAACGCTGTCTGTCCATCACATTGCAACTTGTTTTTATCTGCTCCCCTTTCCACCAATACCTTCACTACTGCTTGGTGATTCTTGCTAACTGCCCAACTTAGTGACTGAAAAATGATACTGCAGAAGATAAGTTGTGTAAAACAATGGTGGCAACCAAAAACAAGTTGATGGGCCACTAAGCTCGCCGTAGTCACCTTGACCCTTCTAATCTTAAAGCAATTTTGAAATTTTTTTCCCTATGTATTCCCATATCAAGCCTTACCATCTATTGTGCCCTAATCTCAGCTCCATAGGGTAAAACTGAATCTACACTAAATGGGAATGACTGCAAATCATTCAATATGACTGTGGTCCCGCTTTTCTTGAGAAAAAGATTTTGAAAGATGGTTTCCCCTATATATTTCCATGTAAAACTTTGACCCCTTATTGGGGCCCCATCAAAACCCCAATGGGCATGATCCTCCTACCCTTACAGTCCGAAACCTGCTTGTTGATGTCCTGGGAAATCCCCAACCCCACCCTTCCTCTCAAGGTCCACCCTCCTGGAATCCTACTTGTTCATGTCCTGGAAATTCTCCAACCCCACTCTTATGGTCCAACCCCCCCCCCCCCCTCCCTTTTTGAATCCTGCTTGTTGATGTCCAGGAAAACACCCCGATCTCAACACTTATGGTCCACCGCCATGGAATCCTGTTTGTTGATGTCCTGTCCCCCCTCCTCCTCCTCTACACTTACAGTCCATCCCCTGGAATCCTGCTTGTTGATGCCCCCCTTCCCTCCTCTACACTTACGGTCCATCCCCTGGAATCCTGTTTGTTGATATTAGCCTTGTTATCCAGAAGCTTAGAGGCGACTTTGGCTCTGCCTTCTCTGCAGGCATAAATTAATGGAGACATGTGATACCTAAAAAGAAACAATTATGAACTATAAAATGATTTTTATCTGCTGATTGAATCAATGTCAAGTTTGTTGTTTCAAGAGTATGGAGTCTTTGAGTTCTACTGGAAAACTCTTGACAGAGGCCACAGGATTATCATGTGTGTAGACAATGTTCTCTTGTAAATCACGATCACCTATATTTTCTTTCTTATCACATTGTACCAGTATATACAGTAGATCTTAACAATAAATAACACTACAATGTATATCAAAGCTATCCATTATTACTAGGTTTACCAAGACAAAGCCTGGCATTAATCTGCATTGTGTGAATTTCTTATAATTTTACTTTTTACACACAGAAGCGATGCAAAGGGAAATAACTTGTCCTGACAAAGAAAACCAAATATAGATTTTTAAAACAATAGATTTGGTCTGTTTTTAAACTTTTCCATCCTTAAATTTTTTCAAAATTTAATAACTGACTTATATTGTATGTAACTTTGTTTCATATGTAATATATACATGATATACAAGTCTTAACATGAATTAGTCATTCATCATTGGTCTCAAAACTGCTGGAAATATGGTCTTTTGTCACACATACTGTACACAAACACATCACCCTGACTTTCAGACCTTTTATTGGTGATACCTGTCATGAGCATTAATATTAACTCCTTTCTCCAACAGATACCCCACACACTGAAGAATATCCTCCTCTTTACAGGCAGTAGATCCACAGGCAGCCATTAACACAGTGTACATATCTGAAGTGATTGAAACAAATCATCAATTCATTAATACATTAAATGTCTTTCTCATTATTTCTTCAAAACCTTTAACTTCACAAAAGTGTGTGCATTGATTTTACCAGTAAAACAATTCCTTGTCTTCAGTGATCACTGACATAAAGAAGTTTGGGCAACCACTCAGTAGATAACAGGTTTTACCTTTCAGACAATCGGGATCAGCCACATTGAGAAGAAAACAGATTTTATCTTTATGACTATGGGGATCTGCCCCATTGAGAAGAAAACAGATTTTACCTTTATGACTATTGGGATCTGCCCAACTGAGAAGAAAACAGGTTTTACCTTTACGACTATGGGGATCTGCCCCACTGGGAAGATAACAGATTTTACCTTTATGACTATGGGGATGTGCCCAACTGAGTAGATAACAGATTTTACCTTTATGGCTATTGGGATCTACCCCATTGAGAAGAAAACAGGTTTTACCTTAAATTTATGACTATTGGGATCTGCCCCACTGAGAAGATAACAGGTTTTACCTTTATGATTATGGGGATCAGCACCATTGAAAAGAAAACAGGTTTTACCTTTATGACTATGGGGATCAGCCCCACTGGGAAGATAACAGGTTTTACCTTTATGACTATGGAGATCTGCCCCACTGGGAAGATAGCAGGTTTTACCTTTATGACTATGGGGATCTGCCCCATTATCCAGAAGAAACTTAACAACACGAGGTAAGGCTGAACTGGCAGCATACATCAAGGGAGTCCATCCACACTTCAGAACAGTGTTCACATTATATCCTGTAATGTTTCATATTTACAGTTTATTTCAGAACAGTGTTCACATTATATCCTGTAATGTTTCATATTTACAGTTTATTTCAGAACAGTGTTAACATTATATCCTGTTATGTTTCATATTCACTGTTCATTTTGTAATACTTAGTATTCTTACTGCTTTTCCTTTAGTTCATTTCGTGATATTTAGTACCAATAATCATTTTACTCTCTTTGATAGTCAATGTGCATTCTTTGTTTATGATAATGTGAAGTTAGAAACAACTGTGGATAGAAGAAAAGTTCAATACTTCTAGATATAACATCTATATTAAGGATAATATCTTATTGTTATTATTCAAATACAGTGGCTTTAAGCGATGAGATTCATAAAATTTATCGTAGTGGAACTACATGTATATATATATGTTTTACTGCATAAAAAGTCCAAGGTATATTGTAACATGACATTGAAGTTTAAACAAAACAGATAAACAAGCATTCCTTCACAACCTTGATCTATAAAACTCTTTACAGCATCAAGATTTCCCCTTAGTACAGCCATTCTGAAGTCATCTGACCCCACTTTAACTGGTTCTCTGCTCCTTTTCTTTGACTGTTCTGTTTTACACGGCTTGGATTTATTAGATTTGGATGGAGGACTTCCAAAACCTCCTCTATCTGAGTATTGGTTTGTGTTTCCATTCTGCAAGAAGAATAAAAGTCTATTTTTAACATTCATTAAAATACATCTTACACTTATAATATCTACAAAAACTGATGCAGGAGTCCAAACAAGTACAGCTTTTTTTCAAAAACTTTGCCGTCTTTAGGAATGACCATAAACAGTAACCTGAGATAAATGTTTGTACTTGTGTAGTTCTTGGCTCTGTACTTCTGCAACAGCTTTTTACAAACATTATTGTTATAGTTAAGGAGAGTAACTAGCTAAGATTTTAAAAAATCTTCCAATCCTTCTTGATTTATTCAATAAAATATGTTCAAAACAAAAATAGACATTAGTCCACCCATATAAAAAACAATGCAAAATTAAAAAAAAACAACATATTGTAAAGTTTGCATGCAAACAGCACAGTTCTAATAATGGTGACTCTCGATCTTTCAAAGTCCAAGGGACCATAATAAAAGTTTGAGAGATCGAAGGGTTTCGAGAGATAGAAAGTGAATAAAATCTGGAGTTTTCAGTTCCGATCATCATTGTTCTACGTATACTATCACAGATACCAGAAGTATATGTTGATAATGTCATTTGCACGTTTTCATTCATATTTTACAGGTAATTCACTTAATTTCAACAACAATGATCGTATTGTGAATAAACAAAATGATTTCTTTAAGTTTCAATATTTATTTGTTCTCATTTCATGATTACATGAAACCTTAACATTTGTCAATGTGGTCATCCCCCGGCTTGATTGGGTCCTTCACCAGATTGCTCGTAATCGGTATTAACTTGAGTTAGGATTTCTTGTGCAATGTCTGTCATACTGGGATTGTGTAGACTCTAAATAAAAATTCACAATCTATGGAAAAATATTGACAAATCTCTAAATTTTTTTTTCTTCAAAATTATCGTCTCGCTCTCAAGTCAAAATAAGTTGGGAAGCGAATTGTTTATAATTTATCAATTAATTATATAAACACTCGGATGACTCACAGTTGTAGTTCTGTATGTACTCATCTCTGGCGGAATATTTTCTTGGATTTAGATTGGCTAAAAGACTGTTTCTATAATAACGGGAAAATATTGTTATGTTCTTATGGAAGGCAAAATGTAAAAAGAAAATAATAATAATTCACTGCACATTGGTTGTTTATTCATTCACCCTAAAATATGTTCGCACTTATTCACGTCTGCCCAGAGTCCAATTGCCCTAAAACTTGTTCGCACGGAGTCCGTTTGCCCTACAAAGTATAGTAATTGTATATAGCAAACAAAAATTATGGCGAACGGACCTTGCACAAACTGACTCATGTGAACAGGTAGATAGGTGAACATACCCAATACCATGCACATATTGTACTGCAATATTTAAACATTGGAATTGAATTTTTAAACCCACTGATTTTTTAATTTTGCTTTCTGTTTGAAATAAGTAAATTGCACTCCGTGAAGTGAAACAAATTTTCCAGTCAGTATTCAGACTTTGGACGCTGTTTACGGAAATAAAAGAAAATAATGACAAGCATGCCATACATGGTTTTGTAGATATAAATCATCTTAAAAGAGACTTGTAATACTAGACAGTTCTACAATGCTTTTTTTCTGAAAGTGTACATGGCTGCGATTCTGGGGAGGGGGTAATTTGTGTAATTCGGAGTAAGATACCTTGTGTTGTTATTATCTTATGGGGTAAAAAAATATTACACAAACAAGTGGTGGTCAATCAGCTGTTACTGTTAGTGATCCGAGAGGAATATCTGTTCTTGAAAACATTTATTGCATAAAATTCCATAATATAATTTACCGAGAATGCATAGTTCGAAGAGGATCTTTCAAAGTCATTAACTCCCTCCGCATCAAATATAAACCCGTCGTCAAATTCATCATCATCATCAAATTCGGCACCGCCTGGGCAAAAGTTCATGGAGGCCGCCATTTTTATAGACTGGTTCCCTGATATTGATAAACAACACTCGGCACACCTCGGCCGATTCGTACCCAAACTGTTTGATGAAAGTGAAGGGAATCAGTCGAGGTTTGCCGAATAAACTCTAGCGGCAGCGACTGGAATCAATAGCAGAGAACCAGTGCTAATCGACAGTCGACCTCCGTTTCTCTCGTCAGTCTGGAACTTGGAAGAACATAATGCCTACGGCTTTGGAGTCGTTTGCAAGGCTTCGGGCAATAATCCAAGCAAACGGGGGAATATTAAACTCTTTAAGAATAGCATGGGTGTAAGTACAAATTATGTGTATGCGATTCTTTGTTATTATTTTCACTAACTCGAATTTCCTCTCTATTCTAAGTACAAAACAGGGGCCCGTTTTTCACTAATCACTAAGACCAAAAACTTCAGTTGATTGTAAAACTTTGCAATATTAATTATTCTGTTTAAAATTGCTAGAGTAAAATTGTCTTTCTACATACCTTTTAAACATATTAAAACCATTTTCTATTTAATGTATATTTGAAAGTTATTAGCAGAATTAAATTTTGGTCTTAGTCGTAATTTCTTTTGTAAAACGTGCCCTAGGTTTTTATATGGACTGTGTTTAAGATGCTGTAGTCATTACTAGAGAATACAGCAATGTCAGCAGTGTACTTATTGATAAAATTCAGCATGAGTATACAATACTGGAGTATTGACACTCAAATTGAGTACACTCCACAAAGGGAAGAAGAGGAAGAAGAATGTATTTTAAGCCCAGCTTAAACCAAAGTTGTATGGATTTACTTTAACGAATACAAATTAACACACATGCTTCAAATGCTTTTATATTCTCAGTCCATTTTAATGAAACTGAATCCCTTAGGCCAAAATAAAAAATATCTTTGTTACCCCTAATGCGACCGACCCAATCAAAATGCGCCGACTTGAAAGTTATTTTTCATAAGATTCAGAGCTCCCACTGGAGCGAAAATATTTTTCGCCACTTTTCGCGATGAAAGGAATCGCATTCTTACATCTCGTCTCGACAAGTGTATATATGCTAAACACTCCACTAATAGCACTATTTCAATTTGTTTATATCACAGGCATTGTTTTAAAATTGTAAAATTTAACGTTGTATCCACTGACAAAACTAATATATTAGGAATTATTTCTACATTTATACATTTAATTTGATACTGATATTAGCCAACTCTTGAAAGTAGATGCCCTCTTGTTCATAACATTTTTTTAGCCCTGGGAGGGGGGTTACAGACTTAGTAAGATATATGACATTTTTTTAAATTGAAAAAAATAATGTAATTGAAAATTTTAATCATATCAACAATTTAGTGTGAAAAGAGGTAATGAAAATCAGGTTTAAAACTTGGCTTACTTTAACAGTTTGGACACTTGGTGTATGCATGTAAATTCATATAACTGAAAATAATTCAGCGCATTTGACAAAAGTATTGTATTGTTTCCAAGCCAGTATCTTTCACTCTTTGTCAGTTTATGGTATAATGAACACACTATTTTGACTTTTAAGTCTTTAATCAGGTAAAATTAGCAGCCATGCTCTGCAATTTTCGTCATGTTTTCCTACTTTCGGTTTTAAAAAACAATCTATATAGATCCAGATTTTATTGATAAAAATTTTTTATTAACTAACTTCATCTCCCAAAAACACTTTGTCTTTCCTTGTTTAATCCATCTTATATTATTTCAAGTAATTATGTATCCCCTCACTGCTCCAGGCTAAATTAACCTAGTCAGCTGTGTGCGTTCAAGCGAGACGTGATTTCCTACCTGTATATTGTTTTGTAAGTTTCATGGAGTTTTCATACCCTGAATTCACACATTTGCTTGCATTAAATGAACAAAGGGGATAATCTGTATACATTGAATAAACAAAGGAGATAGCCAGGAGTACACACACTTTTGTATGGTATATCTAAAAAAAAAATATCCATTTTCGCCACTTTTGAATTTCTTTTCGCCACTTTTAGAAAAAAAACGCAATTGGCGCAAATGGCGAATCACAGCTCGAGCCCTGATAAGATTATTCAAATATTTTTTTTTTTAATGTTTATCAACTTCTATAAAATATAATTCCATCAAATCTGTTTTGTATCAGAACGACTGATTTTGTTCTGTGATTTTCAAGCGTTTATTGGAAACAAAATAGCGCCTACAACATGTGTTCACGAAGGGTTAGTACGTGTTTTAAGAGAAAGGCAACGTTGGCCCTCGTCATGATACCCCTCATGAGCAGACAAGGGACCCACCTTGTGAAAACACCATTCAATTTCATTGCATTTTATTTGAGTTTTGATCTTATACACAGTTCATCAATATTCCAATGTTTACTATATGGGACCATAGGAGTTGTAAATAAGTCTGCATATTTCATTCTAATGAATAGAATTCAAATGTCCTTTCTTCATGCCTTTTAATCATGGGTTAAACTTCGTAACATTGACATTGTGTATGACATGTTATCATTTTTATATATTGTTTGTCTCAATTAAATATTAATTGTTAACATGCTTTTTCCAAATCCGTGTATTTTTCTTTAATAATTAAGACCCTGGAAGATTGGTTATTTCTTTGATTGGAATCCCTTTGATAATTGTTGGGACAACAACATTTATCTAAACATTTGTCTGGTGAAGGACTCCAAATTTAGACGTATACGCGGCACTTTAGGCCATGAGCAGTGAGGATTTTTTTTTTTGCGTGCCAGTATCTACTGCGCAACTGGACCTAAGTTTTTAATGTACCATTCGAAGAACCGATCTCAGTGTCCCACATTGGGATTTGAACCTGCAACTTAGAAATAGCTCCTTACTTCAAGACTCTAAAATGAAATGCTCTAGAAGCACTGCACACTTCGAAGCCCTTGAAAAAGTACAAAGTACAAAGCACTGGAAGCTGATAGTAGGTATAATAAATATATACTCTGGTGTCCAGTCTTTGCATACCCGAGAATCTTTTAAACAGACGTATTCAATTTCAACAAATTTACTCTGGTATGAGATATTTCGATTGAATAATAGTTGTGAATTAATTTACCTTAAATGTTGAGTTTAAACTGCATTTGTATGGTATTCTAGCTGTTTACAAATCACTTTCTTTTGTACTTAACTTATTTATAAAAATATTATTCTATTAGAATTTAAGAATATATTTTCAAAGCTGCTGTCCAAAAAAAAAAAAAAATTATTTGCCTACCTACCTACCCATCTTGAGATTTTAGGGTCGGGTTAGGGGAAACAAGATATTTTTAATGATATCCTTACTTGGACCAAATTTTTATAGGTATTTGAATTTGGGGATATGTGCTTTGGATTCTGCATCTAACCTACTTCCTGATCTTAGACAGTGTTTGAATTTTTGGAACAGGTTCATACTATTGTAATGGCATGGCTTATCAAGACGTGCAGGAGATGTATATCACTGCATTCTTGCTTCAGTGGTACTTGTACATTTCTAGATTAATATAGCAATGCAGTGATGAAATTTGTTCATGCATTTTTGTAAAAATTCATTTTACAATATTTAAATTTCTAATTATTTTCATTTAAGATTCTTTACAAATAAGGAATCAGTTCATTTTCTCATGAAATACCATAGATTAGCAAGAATATCTCCATTGTTATGTCATAATAGAAACTTTTTGGATTAATTACATAACTTTTATCCATTAAACAAACCATTTTTTCAAGGAACTTTTTGATGCGTGAGAATAAAAACGTCATTTATCTGTGTATTACGTCATCAGTTTCAGAGAGGGGTGATATGGATTCAGAAAACCACAGTGTGGTGATCTGGAATGTCGGATCACACCGTCACGTGATTGCATAAATTCAACAGTAAAACTGAGTGACAAACAGTTTGGTATATAATAAATAATGTAAATATAAGATATTAATTTAATTTTTGAAAATTCATGAGGTATTTAAAGTAGACTTCACGTCAACATGTAGCGCTAATGCGCTTCATGAAATATGCTGGTGTAGAGCGTCATAGTTCATGTCCTCATGAATTTTCAAAAAATTAAATTATTCATTTCTTAAAGAGACTTTGCTTCAGTAAATTTATAGATACATGTACATCACCACATTTATTATTGGTTGAGTTGAGGTTTGCAGTCTTTGATAACCTATGTTTTTAAAAGCGCTAAGCGAAGTGCAAAGCACTTACAGGCAGACTACAACTACTTTCAATCCAGCGCCACTAAGCAATTTGGTTTTTTTATCTGTATTGTAGAACTGATGATCTGAAAATTGGTACTCTGAAAGGTGTGGATAAATTTGGCAACAGATACTATGAAAACAACAGATACTTCTTTGGTAGGTATAATCAAAGCAAATAATATCTTTACGGGCTATAACTTAGGAACCTTTGACTTCAGTGAATTCATACTTTTTGTATTTATTCCTCTCTATACCTAATTCTGTGTCATTATCTTGATTGATATGCATAAATGTAACAGGAAAGGAGGAAAGTGATTCAAGGGGGGGGGGGGGGTAGCTCTGAATGCTGTACCATGCCCTAGATGTGACAGGTAAAATACCTGCCAGGGAAGAGACTGGTTTGGAGTCTTCAGGGGCAAAGACCTTTAAGGAAGGAGTGTTGTGGTTGGTGGTCAGGCAGGTTTGATTGCTGGTGGCCAGATTTGTTGGAAGAGCACTTGACTAGTGCTTTACGGGGTCCAGGTTCAAATCCATGTCTTTTCCATTGCATTTCTCTCCTGGTCAAATACACATTGCCATGTACCAGTTAATATATCAAATTTCTGGTCACTGAGAAATAAAATTTTGAAATTGGGTTACAAATCATGAAAGCATTTATTTTTCAGCCATTGAATATAATAGGTATGGATTTCATGTATGTTATTTCAGTATTAGATATAATGGCACTACATGTATATTTTAACTTTTTTTGATTAAAAATTAAGATGTGAACATTTGCAAATGAGTTAATAAATAGTATATGAATGTATGTTGTTTTCAGGTAAAAACCGTTGGGTGAGATTTGCAGATAGAGCTAATTTTAATTATGATGGCAGTCAAATACCCCCAGAATGGTAAGTATTCTAACTAATTTGAATGCCAGTAGCCACTCTGCCAAGTTTTAAATATTCTAGCTAAACTTAATTCCAGTGAAATTCTAGTGAAAAAGGTCTATGCTTTGATTGTTGGATATCTTTACAGAATACAAGCAATGATTTTGAGTATGTCACTTAAAAATGTGTCAAAGTCCACATTTGATCAATTCATTCTCGATCCTGTAAAATACATTATAATTTATTTACATGGTACTTGTTTATTGATGCAATTAAAATTTAAAATAGTCTATTCTAGAATAGTTGTCACCAAAAAATTGGAGATAATTTCATTTTTTTTTTCTGTATGTGTATAAAAATAATAGTAAAAAAACAGAAAACATGAGTGGCAGTGGTCGCAGTGCATAAAAACACCAAGTTATTAATTTTAATTCATAAATCCAAAAACCCCTACTTTTATGTTCTTTTCAAAATTTATTACAGGCATCGTTGGATGCACTACATGACAGATGAGACACCTGTGGAAAAGCCACTAACACAGAGGAAATGGATGATGGAGCATGAACAGAACCCCTCGGGAACGAAGGACGAGTATGTTCCGTATAGCACAACACGGACCAAAATAGAAAGCTGGACACCCCCACAGAACAATTAATGTTATAATAAATCTGTGAGTGAGGGAACTAACTTCAGTGAATATGAGTGAACTGTTATATTGGGATGAACATTTGTTGCATAAATAAAGGCTGTTTTGAATATATATCAAAGTTTGGGTATTCCTTCTTCTTCCATAAATACTCCAAAAAGTCAGTGACCAGTACAATAAATTTTAAAAGTACAAAATATCAGTTGAGAGTCCAGTAAATATGGGACTAATGACGGTCCAGTTAAGTCAGAATAATGGACAGTCCATACAGTAAAGTCAATTCTAGAAACAGTCCAGTAAAGCTAGGGACAGTCTTTGCAGTAAAGTCAATTTTAGAAACAGTCCAATAAAGCTAGGGACAGTCTTTGCAGTAAAGTCAATTCTAGAAACAGTCCAGTAAAGCTAGGGACAGTCTTTGCAGTAAAGTCAATTCTAGAAACAGTCCAGTAAAGCTAAGGACAGTCCACACAGTAAAGTCACTTCTAGAAACAGTCCAGTAAAACTAGCGACAGTGCATGCAGTAAAGTCAATTCTAGAAACAGTCCAGTAAAGCTAAGGACAGTCCACACAGTAAAGTCAATTCTAGAAACAGTTTAAAAAAGTAAAGCTAGGGAGAGTGCATGTAGTAGAGTTGATTGTAGAAATAGTCCAGTAAAGCTAGGGAGAGTGCATGTAGTAGAGTCGATTCTAGAAACGGTCCAGTAAAGCTAAGGACAGTCCACACAGTAAAGTCAATTCTAGAAACAGTCCAGTAAAGCTAAGGACAGTCCACACAGTAAAGTCAATTCTAGAAACAATCCAGTAAAACTAGCGACAGTGCATGCAGTAAAGTCAATTCTAGAAACGGTCCAGCAAAACTAGCGACAGTGCATGCAGTAAAGTCAATTCTAGAAACGGTCCAGCAAAACTAGCGACAGTGCATGCAGTAAAGTCAATTCTAGAAACAGTCCAGTAAAGCTAAGGACAGTCTTCACAGTAAAGTCAATTCTAGAAACAGTCCAGTAAAGCTTGGGACAGTGCATGCAGTAAAGTCGATTCTAGAAACAGTCCAGTAAAGCTAAGGACATGCAGTCCACACAGTAAAGTCAATTCTAGAAACAGTCCAGTAAAGCTAAGGACAGTCCACACAGTAAAGTCAATTCTAGAAACAGTCCAGTAAAACTAGCGACAGTGCGTGCAGTAAAATCAATTCTAGAAACAGTCCAGTAAAGCTAAGGACAGTCCACACAGTAAAGTCAATTCTAGAAACAGTCCAGTAAAGTCTGAGAAGGTCCAATATAGAAATGCGAGGTACGAGTGAAAAACGTAAAATAAAAAAAAATCCCCACTTGTGAAATAAATTTCACATCCAACAAAAAATACTGAAGTTTCTTTTTATTACATTTTCTTTTTAGTCCAGTCATTTTATAAAATTTTCTTTCAATTAGGGAACTACGGTAATTGCCACAGTTTCTAAACTTAGTTTTTATCAATCTATAAATGATTTGAATAAAAAGGTTAGAAAAATTGTACATGGGAGTCATGCGGTTATTTTTGAGATGGATTCAGTATTTTATTCAAATCAATGAACTGAAGGAAACAATCAAATGATAGTAAAAAAAAGTTGAAAACACCTCTATAATATACAAATGTCAATTCCAAAAAAGCTTAACTGAGTAAAAAGTCCGTTTTAAACTCGAGTATTTAAATACACTCAAAAAATAAATAAATAAATAAATAAATAAGAGCAGTTCTATTTAACTATTAAAAACTTTTTGCCTTTCATAGTCACGGACTTTGTCTTGGCTGCCAAGGTAACAGACAGTATAAATGTTGGAAATTAAGACTGTCAGCTACTTTCATTTTTTAAGCCTCAACAGAGACTATAGAAAAACCAAATTGACCACTTACACAGCAACATATTACATCTGCTGTAAAGAAATTACTTGCAACTGGAATATAATCTAGATATTAGTTGTTTTATCCATGGATATATTTGGTATATAATTTTTATACTGATAGAGATCAATTTTCACTATAGATAAGTGAGACAAGAACCAAAAACAACAGTAGAGAAACATTATACTGTGGAATTAGCAATGTTCGTGGGGGACCAATGTTCGTGAATTTTATCGATATAAAATCTTTCTTACTCGAATAAGTAAAAGATAGAATAAGATTTTTCCAACAGATTATACACTTCTAGCACCCTGGGCCTGTGCTTAGTCTAAATCTATCATTCATATAGTGCTATTTGGTCAGTGAACTTACAGGAAATTCCATCTACGATCTCTCTTTAATTTTCATCATCAATCTCTGATATATATTCTACTGAACATTAATTTAGTAATCGATCAATTCCCTGAACGTATGCTCATTTGCAGGACTCTCATTTTACTATGTAGTCTCAATGATCGCACTTTGGTTTTTGAAATGCTTCTTGCTTCTTCCTTTCACTGATTTAATTAATTTACTGTCAGAAAACATGTATGTGAGTAACTAAGTGCAATGCAACTTAATTAAATCATCTCTCTTCGCATCGCTGCACATGAAAGGCTCTTGATTATATATAATTTTCTTCACCGAAATAAGAAAGGATCTACCTCATAAATCCTTTTAACAATGCAAATCGAACAAACAGGACTAAACACAAACCAATTGAAACACTTCAAGTGGAATCCGCTGTCGACCCATCACACCCTAGCTAGCTTTCTTCATTGAACAGGTAACTGAAAGTAATCCGTAAAAATCAATAATCTAACTCGGCCTTGATGGAAATACCAAAATTCGACTCAACAGGAAGATTATTTGCAAAAAATGTCATTATAACGAGCATAACCTTTGCGAAATCCGAACTTTTAATCAAACAGGACTGATTTAACTCCCGAAACATTACCGTATTTGTCGATGACCTGAAATCAGATGAAATAAAACCACTATATACAGATGATATCCATCAACATGGATCACTTACATATACCGATTTCTTACACCAGGTGTTACCGATTGACAGGGGATGCTTATTTTCTCATATGCACCTGATCCCACCTTTGCTGTTTCCAAAGGTCCATGTTTTTGCACTGTTTTTGAATTGTTAAAAGGATTTATGAGATTGATCACTATTCGTTATTTAACCTCTTTCAAAGTAAAATCAAACCCAAATTGTCTGAACTAATAGTATTTCTAAATTTTCTACTTTTGAGGCTGTTCCATCTGATCTAAATAAAGAAGAATCATTACGTATTATAATATTAATATTTAGCAACATTTTGTCCTTGTATATATTTCACAATCAAAAACAATTATTTATTAACTGTGACAATTTTGCTTTGATTTTTGCTTTTCCTATACTATCACGAATAACGATGTGAAAACTCCTGCTGTATTTTATGTTTTTAATTGTGAATAATAAAAGAAAATATTAATCAAATTTCAAAGCGTTTGTTGCAACACGTCAATTTCAAGGTAAACAGTGCATACTGGTAGAATTAGTTATTCCTTTAAGTACCACAAGCAAGGTTTTTCGTTCCTCTTCCGGGAAATTCTGGTGTATAACTTACCGTAAAATGGAAAGCATGACTAAGTCTGTCTTTGATCAACAGATTAATTGATCTAAAAATTTTTACTGTTTTCTGTAAAGGGCTGACAGAATTCCGTCTAAACAGAAAGTAAAATTATTTAAGTTCCAGGACCGTGATGTGAAGAAAAAATAAAAACGGTTATCTCTAATTATGTCTTTTATTAATTTTCAATCTAAAGTTGAAAATGATTACATGACACATTTGTCATGAAATCATTTTCAACTTTAGATTGAAAATTAATAAAAGACAATTATAATCCCACCATTTAAATAATGACGCGAAAGAACAATCATAAATACATGTACTGTAAACCAATTCGCGCCAGTTTGAAATCAATCCGCAACAATCAATTTTCGCGACTGAGAAATCATTCTCTGCAAATACAAAGCACAATAATTGGTTCACGACGATTAATATTCGCGAGTTAAAGTAGGTCGCGAAACTTGCGAATATTTCTCGCACGCGAATGAAAGTTGGTTTACAGTATTTTGAAGGTACTATTTTCTCAGAGAGTATTGTTTGTAGGAACAGGATATTAACATAGAAAATAAAAGATTGATACCAGTTTAAAGAGGAGACTAGGAACGTTAGTTGAACACATGTGTAAGCCATTTAAATATTTAGCCTCAGTGTTTGTTCATTAGAAACGTCTAGGTGTATTTTGCTACTAAAAAATTGACAAGTATCACAATTTGTTGTTTTTACGCTCAAAAACATATCATTTAGAACTCAAATTCCTAATTTTTCATTATTAATACTTAATAGGATTTTTTTTTATATGTATCCTCATATATATATATATATATATATATATATATATATATATATATATATATATATATATATATATATATATATATATATATATATATATATATATAAATTTAAATGGTAGAATAAATCAATGTTAGAACATAGGTTTCTCCTTTCTCCTTGAGCATCAAAGGTTGAATGTAGTATTCATTTGTAAGCTTTTAATGGAACCCTGATCAAATAAAAGTTGTGAATGTTGGAAAATGAAAGGGCTATTGATTTTGTACCTAAGAAAAAAATATGAACCATTTTTTGGCACTATCATAAATTCAATTATAATATAGAAGTTGCGTGACTTTCATTTCTAATCTCTTTACATGAATAATAATTTTAGGAAAATTTGGATTATAAATTTTCATGATAACAGATCAGGGAATTAAAAGCGTATCAGAAATATACAAGTTAATTAGTTTTCGATAAATTGATATCAACTCTCTTCCTGCGATAGGCTAAACACCTTTCAACCTTGAAAAAAAATCTATCCGCACAATCCTGATCACAGTGCATAGAAAATGCAGTATTTATTAAAATGTTTTCGAACGATTATTCCTCTGAACTATTTCATGTTTCTAAATATTGTGCATTGGACAAATTGTAAAGGAAATATTGCCGTTGGAAAATTCGTATTCACAGAGATAGTTTCCAGAAGTGATAACACCGGGACATTGGCTATCTATGAACTTTCATCTTTTATGACCAAGCGTCGATGTGCCAAAATGTGTTTGGACGAGAAGTTATGTTTGGCCATTGAGATTTGTGGGCCAAAGGAGGCTGGGCAATGTCGACTCAATAATGGTTCTAGGAATTTTTTTTCGGCAAACTCTAAATCTGGGTCAGACTGCAAGCGGTTTCGAATGGTTCGTTGTTTACTACATATATGCATATTTGTTAGTTTGTATAAAAGACAGATCTACAGGTACCATGCAAATATTTCCGTGGGTACTTTTTAGCATGTATTTTAGTTTGTTCCCCTCTCCTTTGCAAGCAAGCAAGGTTTAATGGTAATAAAATTAGATATAAGTAATATAATCAAATATTTTGACAATTTTCTCTAGAAATGAAAACGAAATCTCTTGAGAAACTTCTAATTCTTCTTTATTCTAGTTGCATAGACAAATAATGAAGGACAATTTTCTCTCCTCTTAGACAAACCCATTTTGCGCAGGTGGAAGTTTTTTAGAATCAACAAGTCGAAAATGTGTTCGAGGTTTGTGTATTCGACACAATCTTTTCTTATTACTCATATTGCAGATAAATAAAAAAAATCTCTACATTTTCATAATAGTTGTTTATATTAGAGAATCTATATTCTTATTAATCATTCAATATGAAAATTAATTCATCCATTCTTCATTCTTAGAGGAAGCATGTTCAGATTGTGAGTGCATATCTAACTTTGCAACCACTTCCGGAATTTATAACCTCACAATGGATGGACAGCATGTCAAAGTGTATTGTTCTTTTGAAGGGAATTTTGCATGGACGGTTTGTACATTTATAGAATCAACCTTCATTTGTGAATAAGATTTTTTAGAGGATAAGAGTTTCTGATCATGAGAATTACAAACTTTTATGTTATACACTTCACAATTTTTACAAAATAGGAGAATCTCCTGGTAGAATTAAAGCAATTGGCTTTGATAAGTTTTGTCCCTTCTTTCAGTGAATATTATACAACTTAAAATGTTTTAATTTTTAATCCCTTGAGTTTAATGTTTTTAACTTTAATACATGTATTTAATAATTACCAACAAAATTTGTAATTATGTCTCCCTCAAAGGGAAAAAGCCTATTATTTAAGGAATGGATGGATGAAATTAAAAAAAATGACCAAACGCATATTTATCAACCCACACTAAAAATACAGGCAATGAAAATAGATTTCTATGTCTCAGCATATGTCTTTAGATAGTGTCTAAATACCTGCCAAATATCTCGTTGATATCTCAATTAACAAAAAAGTTATGCCCAAAAATGATGCTAAAATTGTCAGGAGTGCAACACCTTTTTGTGACATTTTGAAATTTCAATATTTTTTGGAGATCTGTAAAATAAATAATAATGCTTTATGTTGAAAATAAAGACTTTCCTGATAATATTCAAAGTATTGAGCTTTAAATGTGGGCAGTAGTAACTTTTGTTTAATCAAGTTGTGGTCATGGCTGATGTTTAAAAAAATGTTATACCATGTAGTGTTGCCAAAAAAAACATCAATTGTAAAACTCTGAAAGAAAATTAAGACAAAAAAGGAATTTTGTAAGTGTAAAACAATAACTGATATAGATTTTAAAACTTAAAAATGTTATATAAATCACAAGCAGCATTAATTAGAGTCAAGTATATGTGCATACCCAATAATGTCAGGAGTGCAACATTTGATGTTTTGCTCCCAAGCGTGAAAAAACCATTATCATTATATGATTTTCTGATTTTTATTTGGATAAGAAAGACACAAAGATCATTTTTACCAAATAGATTTATTAATTACTGGATCTGTCTGTGCTTCAGATCCATATTTCTATGGTCAGGAGTGCAACACATTTTTTTAAAGATTCAAGTTGTGTGACGAAAACACTTCTATTCATGCTTAGACGTATTCATTAATTAATAATGATCTTTCTAAATACTAAATAATACTAAATTATTGACAGTTTTATTATTAAAATCCTTTCTTTTTCAATTTTATTAATTCAGATGTGTTTTTATCTTTTTTGTGATTTTTTAAATGAATGTTAAAAATAAACACACTAAAAATTGTCATAGAATTCAAGTAATTCCTCCTCAACTTCACTGAAACAACAGAACAAGTTCTTATGTAATTTTCACATCACAATTCTACTTTAAAGGTCCCAATGCTTTTGGTCAGGTGTGCAACAAATATGTTAGAATCATAAATCATCCAATAAGAATAAAAATTAAAAAAAATGATGAGTAGAATTTTTCTGGTGGGTTACTGTTTTTGTCCTCTAAAGGAAAATATGCTATAAAATATATTTTTTCTTCTAAATATACATTTAAGCTAGTTTTTTTTGGCATAAATAGGGAATAATTCCAGATAAAATGCGAATTTCAAATACTTTCATCTGTTTTAATTATAAAATATCGGACAATAAATATTGCACAATTTCATTACCACTTGATGTTGCCAACACTTTATGAAATTTTGTGTTCTATGGTTTTAATTTTAAATTTTACTGCAGTCAGGAGTGCAACAAAACTGCTTTATAATTACCAATGCTTTTTAACTATCTTTACTTAAAAATGAGTTGAAAAAAAAGTTTGATACTATTTTATGTTCAAAACACTATGTCTATCAACAAATTACAGAAATTTTCTAGTCAATTCAGGGAACAGTTTTCATCATTTCACATATAGTTTTATATACAATTTATATATATTACACTTTGCAAATAATCATGTGTTAAGGTCTTCAAAATATGAAAAACCTGCCGTAAACAATCAAAAATATCAAAACGACAAATTGATTTACAAAGTAAGAATGGGTTATTGTGTGTTATAATTCTTAAAACAATGTTAAATAAAATACATATCAGATGTCAGGAGTGCAACACAATAATGTAACATAGGGTCACTTCAAAATCTAGTTTTTTTTCTGTAAGAGAACTTGTATATAAAAAATCTTTTTTGGCTTAGATTTAAAGAATTGGCTTGAACGGACAAAAAAGTGAAATTTGGGCAATTTTATTGCTTCATATTTTTTTCATATTAAAACTTTTCAAACCAGAATTGAAAAAAAATAATGTAAAATGACAATCAAAAAGTCATTTTTTTTGTCACACATACAAGAGAAGATACTCAATCAAGGTCTAGATTTAATCATTTATACCCCTTTTACCATTTTGAAGCATAAAAAACTATAATTTCTTGTGATTATGTATTTTAGAAAGTCTTTTAAGGTGTAATGATATTTTCTTTTTTCAAAAGAAATTTTACTAATAAAAATTCTGAAACTTTTTAATCCAATTGTCTATTCTATTGCCACTTCAGGATTTTAAACTAGAATGCATGTGCAATATGATGATATAAGTGAAAAATATGTTAGAAGTAGTTGAATTTTTCCAAAAAAATTCAGTTTGGTGGTCTTTTTTTTTTAATTCACCCGGATGTCTGTCAAGCTATCTGTCAAAAATGTATGAAGGCCACGACACCTTGTTTGTTGATTAAAATTAATTTAATTTTTACACTGTTATAACTATCAATGACTTTAGGTATTTCAACGTCCTGTTTCAATGTCAAGTGATTTTTGGGCCATGACTCTCAATTTCTCGATTGTAATGAATTCAATGAGACGAAGAAAACACTTGTTGTGGTCTTCACCTCGGCATTCAGACATACAGACGATATAACAATAGTTACTACCATTCATATGTCGACTCGATATATCCCAGTGATCTTGAAAGTAAAGACACCACAGAGTCTGTTCCACCTGTTTCATATTTGGATGTTTTATTGACTATAGACAATAAGGGCCAACTAACAACTAAATTGTATGACAAACAAGATGACATCAGCTTTTACATCCTCAAATTTCCTTATTTGTGTAGTTATATTTCGCTATCACCCGCATGTGGTGTTTACATCTCCCAATTTATTTGATACTCAAGAGCATGCTCTAAGTACGATCAATGTTTAAACCGAGGCAGGCTACACGGATTTCAGCAAACTTTTTTAAAGTCAGCATTTTGAAAATTCTATGGTCATTATAATGACATTGTTAAAAAATATAATTATATAACCTATCACTGGGTCGTATTTTGACTGACTTATTTCATTCCAATTGTTATGCCTTTGTTTTATGCTAAATTTGAATACGGAATGTCCCGTCTACCTGATCAATATATACGGCTCATGGCAGGTGTGACCGATCAGCACGGGATGCTTACTCCTCCTAGGCACCTAATCCCACTTCAAGAATTTCATGCTCTGTTTCATGCTCTGTTCACAGATTTGTATTGTCTGTAGATTTTTTTTAAAAGACGTGATTTGTTGGATACTAGAATTGCTAGACGTCATACCAATAAGAATAGTGATGGATCTATCAATATTGTGCATCAAAATCATCCAAACATTTATTCTATAAATCCAGGTTTTCCAGAGAATGCTGAGCGGATCGGAGGACTTTAGTAGGCCTTGGGGAGACTATGTGAAGGGATTCGGAGATTTGTCGCAAGAATTTTGGCTGGGTTTGTATTGACATAGATAGTCAACGTCTTTTCATTGTTTGTTTGTTTATTGTTTGACGTCCCTCGAGAGAATTTTTCACTCATATGAAGACGCCACCACTTGCCGGCGGAGAGCTGCAAATCTTGACCTATACTCGGCACTCAGGGCCATTGAGCAGTGAGGGATCTTTTTCGTGCCAGCACCTACTGCGACACGAGACCTCGATTCATACGGTCTCCGAAGGACCTGTCTCCACGTCCCACAGTGGGATTCGAACCCGCGACGTATGGGATCGACTCCTTACTCCTCGACTCTAGAGCGAACGCTCTAACCACTGCGCCAAGAACAAGCGAGTAATATGCATCCAGAAGCCAGTCAAAATCGGTATTATATGCTTTGAATACCTGTTTACATCGTTGCTTGGGGTTTAGCACTTAATTGTTGGATATAGATTAACAGATTCTTTATTTTCCGTCTTTGTACCAATCTGACCGATAATGATATATTGTTGCCTACGAAACTATAAAACTAATATGGCACAACAACAATATTATTATATATACCGAAATCAGTTCCACTTTTCAGTTTCGTTATGATCGCTTTATAATATTTTATATTCCTGAAATTTTCCATTCTTCTTCAGGGAGTGAAATACTTCACTTGTTGACGACCAGTGGGAACAGCGTATTACGTGTAGACATGGTGGATCACTATGGAAGAACTACTTACGCAGAATACAGTACCTTCTTGATTGCAAATGCCAGCAACAATTATACAATTACAGCACTGGGTTACTCAGGAAACGCAGGTATTTTCGATGTTTGCTGAAGGGTGACAAAGTTCTATTTAAAAACAGATGTCATTAAAAAGATGAAGCATAAAACGGACTTTGAAATAGTACAACTTGCCGGCTTACTAGTTTTTTTTCAGATATATTTGCCAAAATGGACCAAGCCTTTTAAAATAAATCAATACCTTAATTACCTTTCGAGAAGTTAAGTTCTAAAGATAAGTAGTAGAAGGATTGGGGGAAGGGGGGGGGGGTAAAACACCTTTGTCTTTGGGTAAAGTATGAAAAAAGATATTACAGTATCTTCTATATATAATCTAATTCTTCACTTGGTAAACTACTTTCTTATGGTACAGTTCAAGCAGTAATGTGTGTGTCTCCGAGATGATATAACACAAGACCATTCTCATCTGTTTATACTTGTCTGTTTGTCCATCATTGTACAATAACCATGACAAGGACTATATTGCTTGAGAATGTAATGATTATTATATTTCAAGGTGATGGCGAAGGAGCCAGTTGGGACACTTGGACCCAAATTACTAAATATTTGAGAAGATCAGAGATGAAAGTCAGGAGGAACAATTCTTAATGATCGCCACGACTGAAAAGTCAGAAAGTGGATGTATTGACTTTTGTTTGTTTTTCGTTTTAGTTGCTTCACAAATTTTAAATTACCAAAACGAGGAAGACATTGACAGTACGGTAAAATAAAATAAGTGAAGATAACGGACAGTGGTCGAACTAAAAAATTAAAAAAAAACAACAACAATATATTCTCAGTGATTTTCTGCGCCGATCTTTCCTTGGAGTGCCAGCAACTCCTTGGATCAATTAAAAGCAATGAAATAGAATATCTCATATTATGTACTTATCAATGTGTTGTTACAAAAATTGTACTTAATCATGAATGACTAGTATTTTATCAAAAATTGATAGATTTAAACAAATTCTTTCCATGAATGATTAGTACCAGGGACGTATATACATGTACTAACAGGCAACTTCGCAAGTCTCGCGATATCTCGTACGTTGCGGGATTTCGTAAGTCAATTTAAAAGTAATATACTGTATCTTTAATGCTATGAATTATATCTGAAAAACCCTTTTATTTATCTGTTCAAAAATGTGTCACGATTTGATTTTAGCACTCTACTCCTAATCTTAGTATAATAACGTTCTACATTAAAAAAAATCAACACATGTCCCGTATTTCCGATAATTCGCCTAATTTGATGGTTTTTTGCTTTATATTTAAATTACTTTACAATGTATGCTTTAAATTTTTTTTACAAAGTCATTCCAATAGACAAAAAGAACAGATTACATTTTTCAGAAAAAAAATCTTTTTTACCAGAAATAAACGTACTTTGAAAAACTTGTAATTTTGTGTGTGACATTTTGGGCAAATTAACAGCTAAAGGAGTTGCCTATCCCGATAGTATATACGTCCCTGTTGGTACCAGGGATGGGCACGATTACTGAAAAATGTAATCTATTGATAATCGATTACTTAGAGGAATTAGTGAAATCGATTATTAATCGATTGCACTCATTTTTGTCCTGTAATTGATTGTAATCGATTACTTTGGAAGATGTAATCGATTAATAATCGATTACTTCCAAGTTTTTATCCCTTCAAATATCAAAGCAATATTTAAATGGTAAATGTTGATGTTATCCATTGAGGTTTGAATGTGTTTCTGCAGTTTCAGTGGAGATTCTTTTAAGGTTTTATTCTGGCTAACATTCTCACTAAATGCCCAAATGAGGGATTCTCTACCATGGAAAATGAAGACATGATTCCTACAATAAAATATGCCAAGGAATTAATTATTCCTTTCAACCTTGGATCTAAACCTCCATATTTATTGACTTGTTGCAAAAATTATTTAATATTTTATTGTGAAATACTTCATTAGAAGTATTTGATCTGCCCGTATGTTGACAGTGCACATTAAACATTCCTTTACGTGTCTTTTTTAAAAAAGTAAATTAGAACTCTTAGTAATAAACATGTAAATTAAATGTGTCTTTAAGTAATTAAACTAATAGTGGGTGAATTAAAAAAAAAAATGACCAAACGCATATTTATCAACCCACACTAAAAATACAGGCAATGAAAATAGATTTCTATGTCTCAGCATATGTCTTTAGATAGTGTCTAAATACCTGCCAAATATCTCGTTGATATCTCAATTAACAAAAAAAGTTATGCCCAAAAATGATGCTAAAATTGTCAGGAGTGCAACACCCTTTTGTGACATTTTGAAATTTCAATATTTTTTGGAGATCTGTGAAATAAAAAAATGCTTCATGTTGAAAATAAAGACTTTCCTGATAATATTCAAAGTATTGATCTTTAAATGTGGACTGTCATAACTTTTGGTTAATCAGGTTGTGGTCATGGCTGATGTTTAAAAATATGTTATACCATGTCAGGAGTGCAACAGATAAAATGTAGTGTTGCCAAAAAAACATCAATTGTAAAATTCTGATAGAAAATTAAGACAAAAAGGAATTTTGGAAGTGTAAAATAATAACTGATATACATTTTAAAACTTGAAAATGTTATGTAAATCACAAGCAGCATTAATGAGAGTCAAGTATATGTGCATACCCAAAAATGTCAGGAGTGCAACATTTGATGTTTTGCTCCCAAGCATGAAAAAACTATTATCATTATATGATTTTCTGATTTTTATTTTGGAAAATAAAGACACAAAGAACATTTTTACCAAATAGATTTATCAATAACAGGATCTGTCTGTGCCTCAGATCCATATTTCTATGGTCAGGAGTGCAACACATTTTTTAAAGATTCAAGTTGTGTGACGAAAAGACTTCTATTCATGCTTAGAAGTATTCATTGATTAATAATGATCTTTTTGTATGATTTAATGCTAAATTATTGACAGTTTTATTATTAAATCTTTCCTTTTTCAATTTTATCAATTCAGATGTGTTTTTATCTTTTTTGTGATTTTTTTTAATGAACGGTAAAAATAAACACTCTAAAACATTGTCATAGAATTCGAGTAATTCCTCCTCAACTTCACTGAAACAACAGAACAAGTTCTTATGTAATTTTCACATCACAATTCTACTTTAAAGGCCCCAGTGCTTTTGGTCAGGAGTGCAACAAATATGTTAGAATTATAAATCATCCAATAAGAATAAAAATAAAGAAAAAATGATGAGTAGAATTTTTCTGGTAGGTTACTGTGTTTGTCTTCTAAAGGAAAATATGCTTTAAAATATATTTTATCTTCTAAATATACATTTAAGCTAGTTTTTTGGCATAAAATAGGGTAAAATTCCAGATAAAATGCGAATTTTAAATACTTTCATCTGTTTTAATTATGAAGTATTGGACTATAAGTATTGCACAATTTCATTACCACTTGATGTTGCCAACACTTTATGAATTTTTGTGTTCTATGGTTTTAATTTTAAACTTTACTGCAGTCAGGAGTGCAACAAAACTGCTTCATAATTACCGATGCTTTTTAACTATCTTTACTAAAAATTAAGTTGAAAAAAATGCTTGATACTATTTGATGTTCGAAACACTATGTCTATCAACAAATTACAGAAATTTTACAGTCAGTTCAGGGAATAGTTTTCATCATTTCACATATATTTTAAATACAATTTTTATATATTACACTTTGCAAATAATCATGTTTTAAGGTCTTCAAAATATGAAAGACCTGCTGTAAACGATGAAAAATATCAACAAGACAAATTGATTTACAAAGTAAGAATGGGTTATTGTGTGTTATAATTTTTAAAACAATGTTAAATAAAATACATATCAGATGTCAGGAGTGCAACACAATAATGTAACATAGGGTCACTTCAAAATCTAGTATTTTTCGTAAGAGAACTCGAATATAACAATTCTTTTTTGGTTTAGATTTAAAGAATTGACTTGAACGGACAAAGAAGTGAATTTTGGGGAATTTTATTACTTCGTATTTTTTTTCATATTAAAACTTTTCAAACCCGAATTGAAAAAATAATGTAAAATAACAATCAAAAAGCCAATTTTTTGTCACATGTACAAGAGAAGATACTCATTCAAGGTCTAGATTTAATCATTTATACCCCTTTTACCATTTTGAAGCATAAAAAACTATAATTTCTTGTGATTATGTATTTTAGAAAGTCTTTTAAGGTGTAATGATATTTTCTTTTTTCAAAAGAAATTTTACCAATAAAAATTCTGAAACTTTTTAATCCAATTGTCTATTCTATTGCCACTTCAGGATTTTAAACTAGAATGCATGTGCAATATGATGATATAAGTGAAAAATATGTTATGAGTAGTTGAATTTTACCAAAAAAATTCAGTTTGGTGGTCATTTTTTTTAAATTCACCCTAGTACTACTTCATTCTGTATTGAAATAAGTGTTTTGAGAGCTATGAATTGTTTTAATAATACTGTTTGAATGTCTTCAATGGATAAAAGTTAAACACTAGGTAGTTTAAAGTTTACACCTCATTATCTGCAAGTCAGGGATGTCTCGGTAAATTGATTAGCCAATTAAGATAAGCAATTACGATTACGACGTCTTGTGATTCTTGATTTTTTTCCCTTGGATATATCAATATTTTACTGTACCAAAAATTGGATTTTTCTTAAAGTATATATATATATATATATATATATATATATATATATATATATATATATATATATATATATATATATATATATATATATATATATATTATAGCCAATAAGTAGTCTATAATAATAATAATAATAATAAAAGAAACTATTAAAAGTCTAGAGAATTTTAGCGTTCAATATAACTCAGCGTTTTATGGAACGGTGGGTTTGAATGTATGCCCCGATACAATACGTCCCAAATGTGAGCGTTCAAAATCGAACGCGCTGTTGTTAACAAAAGAATGTTGTCTGATCAACTGTTCATCGGCAAGCATCTTGCTTAGCAAAATTGAAAGTATCAAGTAATTATGTATTGCATTTAAGGAGAGGACCATTTAAAATGGGGGGGGGGGGCAAAATTTTTCGAGTGAGGATATTTATTTTCATGCCAGTGGAGGACAGTGTTCAATAATTTTGCTTATACCATGTATACTATCATGTGATCCATTTGAAAATTCCTTCAAGTATTATTCCTTTAAATTACGATTTACTTTGTGGCATGTCCAAAATCAGTTTATTTTAAAATTTCAAATACTACTAGCAGAAAGTTGTAATCAAAACCAATATACAAAGAGACATTAGATAAGATAAAAATAAATTTGGTGAACTTTATGCAAGACAAAGTACATGTATGAAATAAGTTAAAAGGTAGTTCCGGCGACGAAATGCATCGATTTGTTGCATATTCCTCCACCAATAACATCCGAGATTTATATGGAGCGAAGCGGTTTGTTAATCAACAAGAAAAAGAATCCCACACTGTTCAAATTTTATGCAGAAAGATGTTTTCAAGAAAATATAATCTGATTACAGGAATCTTGATTACCAGTGTATATAGTGTAAAGATGATTTCTATGTAATTCATCATGTGCGATAACGTATCAGATTAATCTGCCCAGATAAGAACATCCCAACCAGCAGATCACCATTCTTGTCTATTTCTAAGGGTATAGGAAAGTCTAATCCACAGTTGTCTACACATTTTAGATACAAGCCATTTTGATCAAGAATATGTAAACAATTATTCATAAAATCAGTGACAATAATATTACAAAGAGAATCCGTGATGATTTGGTCAGGCCTAAATAACATTTTTCCAATTACAACTTTTCCTTGGTACTTAAATCTGAATTTTCCAGATTTTTCGACTACAATAACTGCATCAGCATTTGTATCAGAGACACAGATGTCTCCGTTTTTGTTTTCTGCAATAAAGTGGTGGAGTTCTCCGAAAAGAAATAAAGGATGTTCTCCATTGAATTGAATTTCTTGTGTTATCATTAATTCAGGGTTGGTCCTTGATGGATCACATCTGATAACCTTAACCTCCTGTGAAGACGAATTGGAGACACAAATCAGAAGCTCATGTGTACTTGTTGCACACAATCCTTCGGCCTTCCAACCAGAAGTTGATAGACACAGTTTTGAATCTCCTTTTTCCACAACGAAAACACCCTCTTTCACTGCTATAGAATATTTCATTATTCATTATCGTAATGTCATGTGGTCGTGTTGGACTCTTTCTTACATTACATGTTTTTTATCAGAACATCCATATAAATCTAAATGGAAAATCATAAAATTATTATCACATATCTATAAACCAGATTCCCGATATGCAAAGCGCAAAATGTCCCTTTTTGTCTGAATTGTTTTTATCACGAAAGCTTTGTTCAGCAACCCCGGTCCCCCACGGGAGACCGTGCCTTCTGCAAAATTATAGTAGAGGTCAACCACCAGGTTTCCGAACCCACCAGCTTGGACCTCTTGTACCAGATTGAAAGCTTTACCTTGGACAAATATAGGAGAACCCAGATCATTTTGAACGTCACAGGGAAAAGAAGGACTTGTGAAGTATGCATTTTCCTTATTGCAATGTATAATCCTTAAAATTTCATTTTCATTTTTCAATTGAAGCATTAAACGGTTCCTGTGAAGCACCTGCAATGCTTTAGAATGAGCGTCTTTCACCTCGATAGTCTGGTTTCGAAATTTTGACAGCACATTTTCTTTCTCATTATTCATTCGTTTCTGAAAAGTAGTAAAAACTGTATTTACGTCATCAAAGATATTGCATTTTGTTTCCTCTGCCTTCCTTAGTGCATCATCAAATTCACTTTTTGCATCTGTTAATTCTTTTTCCAAAGAGGTGCTTTTGTTTAGCAGTGCTGGTATTATATCTGATTCTAAGATGTCCGACTCGGCTAAAATTTCTTTTTTTCTTATATCTATGAATTCCTTCATGTAACCAAATGTGTGTTTAAGATGGACTTTAGATGTTGTCCAACATTTGAGACAAAGTGGGACACTACATTGTCGACAGAATGTATCAAGTTTGTAGCTAGGATGCTTGTTGCAGGATGGAATTACCATGTTAGAGTTCGTGTACCTGTACAGTTCTATGGAATGTTGAAGCTGTCTAAGCCCATCTACGTGTCTGTACACACATTTTTTTACAGAAACTATTCTGACAATTTTCGCAAACATATCGAATTCCCTCTGGACATAGGGAACATGTTTTAAGCCGTTGTATTGATGTCATGATGAAATATAGTTTGAAATTAGAAATTCATTTGTTTGGCAACAGCATGAATTCTAATACTTTTTTAGCAATGTAGATATAACCATATCTACAAAGGTAAAATAAATACACAAGATGAATACACAATGTACACATGTATCATTAAATGAATGAGAAGAATTTAAAGAAAAGAAGTTATATTTTAAATATGGCGTTTTAAATATTATGCAGAACTGAATATTAATTATCAAATATCAAAAGATGTTTAATCAAAAAATAAATAATAATAATAACAATTTAAAAAAAAATATAAATTAAACAAAATGATTTTAAGTACTGGTATTTGTATCTCTTTTTCCCTTTTGCAGAGGAGCACAATGGCTGTTTAACTCAAAAGATATCAATAAGATGATACTTTTTTCAGACTTTCTGTCCGATTGACAACTTGTTTGTCAATAGCTTGCCTCGATTTACAAATTGTTCATACGTAGAGCATGCTCTGGCGTATCGAATCAACTGGGAGACAAAAATCCCATTTGTTGGTGGTAAGGGTATATTGCTACATAAGTAAGGGAAGTTGACGATTGAAAAATTAAAGTCATCACGTTTATCATAAAGTTTGGTTGTTAGGTTATACCATTAATGTCTTTTTCTAGTAAAATATCCAAATATAAAACAGATGTGTCAGACTCTGTGCTATCTTTTATTTCAAGCTCACTGGGATATATCGTGTCGACATATGAAGGGAAATAACTATTGTTAATTGATAATACGTCGTCGATATATCTTAATATTTTTGAATTGATTTTGAGTACTAAATATATATGAAAATGTTTCCAAAATTTCACTTTAACTCTCCATTATTTACTTTTGTTTTGTTGCATATGTGTGACGCAAAGGCTTTTCAACACAATTCTGGACCCCCCCCCCCCCAACTTACCTGTGGTGATTTTTCATTCTGTAAATATCTGACATAATAAATTCTAAATACAACACCAGTTTTCTTCCATTTTTTTGAGTTAATTATCAAAAATAAAAAAAAAGAAAGAAAAAGAAAAGAAAGAAAATCATATTTTAAGAAGAAGGAAGGTCCCAGACTGTCCAATCTCTTATAGAAGGAGGAACTAAAATCTCGGCTCACGGCCCTCAGTCTTTCTCTCACAGAATAGACAGCATTCGACCAATCTCCTTTAATGTACGTGATCTAGTTCAAGCTATGAAGCAGGGAAATTATGTAATAACTCATTTATTAAAACAGGTGTATGAATCAAAGCATGAATCTTTGTATACAAATGTGTTTACACTTAGGATACTTACAGTTTCTAGCTGTTGGTTCCTAAATGGCCTGTACTTAATAATAACTTTAATCCGCTGAAAATGGAGGACTTAAGATCAGGCACGCATTTCGGTAACTGACAATAGCTCTAGACTGGTGATATTTAATTTTCCCGCTATTGAATATTCACTAACACGTATAAAGTGATAAAATAGGGATATAATTATCAACGTGCGTTGATAAACATAAGCGTATCGGAAAACATTAATAATTAATATGTAAATTTGATTCAAAAAATGATAGAGCGTGGCAGGTTCATATTATACAATCTCAACCTAGGTCAAATTTCACCTGAATTCCCAACAAGGAAAATGCGACATAAAAACCCCCAAAAGCATTAAAAGAGAATTTCCCAGTGACAGGACTTTCTTGTCAAAAGTGCCTAGGGGATGGTTGAGTTCTAAGTTTGAACACCTTGACTACCACAGCAATCATGTACGACGCATGTGCAAAACTGAAGCAAAATCAGAAAACGAAAAATTCTAAAGGGATAGCTGGAAAAAGAAAGTTATGGTGCATCTGCTTAATATAAACAACTGAAATCTGTCATATACTGTACTAGTAAGTTACACCGTAAATCTCGTTATTTTGGCGTTGAATTTTTTGGCAAATTGTATGTCAATTATATTTAAAATATGGTGTTTTATATTTTGGCCGATTTTTTACATTACACAATTCAGAAATTGAAATTTTTTTTTATTATACTTTATTATAGAGTCAACAAATATATCGATTTTTCATAAATAATTTCATGAAATAAAGTCGGTTTTATTACAAATTTTAAAATTGTCATAAGATAATCACATCCTACTCCGTGCCATGAGGCTCAAAAGGCCGGTACTTATATCCGGTTTCTGTAATGCTTAAAACTCAGCGTCATACATGTATCTAAAGGGGGCCGACCCCCCTATGCCAAGAATTTTTGGAGTTATTAAATTGACATTGTAAAGTCAGTAAAACATGGCCTTAATTGCACATCCCTAGAAAACACCGGCCCCTTTTAAGTTGGTAGAATCAAAATATGAAGCTTTAAAAGTAAAGGAATGCGGTTCACCTGTTACAACAACACAACGCATAATAATCTTGCTCACCTTTATGTTATGTATAAATTTTATGGAAAAAGTTTTGAGCGCGCTAAATTTACCTGATATACAGTACCATGATGAAAATAAAATTTTCAACATTCATAAATTTTCTTTGTCTTTCTGCAAAGATGGGGCATACATGAGAGCTGAATATAGCAAAGTAAAAAGTCGATAGAAAACTTGTTGTATCTTGATATTATCTATATTTGAACTGGTTATCAAACACTTAAGGTTTGGCAGCCTTCTGATAAGAAATTATAAAACACAAAGGATTTATAGAAATTATTGGTTTGATCTCGTAAGGCTTGCATTGTAGAAATGAGAGTCGTACGTCTTGCAGAAACGTAATTAAGGTTGGAGACTTAGAAGGCAAGCCTTACCGTATGTATCAGCCTTTTCTGGGATATCAAGTTAAAATGTCGTCTTTGTCAAATTTTTCCCCGTAAGGTACGCTGAAATTATTCGAATTTTAAATTCAAGTTAAATTTCTTCGGTGAAATCATACACTGTAAGAACTGAAGCAAAGTCTGAAGGAAGAGAAAGACCATGAAATTAAACCTTACAGAACAAACGTACTTTTTCGTAATGTTTTGAATTATATATCGTCATCGAATATTGAAAACTATGATCTAGCATTTTGAAGAAGTGTATGCTTGTCTTCATGAAATATGAAGATAACGAACAGTAATCTATCTCAAAAGTCCATTGAAACAAAACAAATCTAGAGCAGAGCAAACACGGACCTCTAAAACATCAGAGGTGGGATCAGGTGTCATGGAGGAGAAAGCATCCCCTGTCGACCGGTCAAACCCGCCGTGTGTTTATTGACATGATCGGGCAAACGGAAAAATCCGTAGACAATTCAGTGTTTAAATGATGCCTTAACATTTAATATGAAAAACGCCAGTCAGCATTCGACTTATTGATAGATTGTATTTGCTGACAAGGTCATTGTATCGATCATAGAACTTGCAAAATGATAACTTTAAACGAGAATGTTGATATCCATGTTTCATCAACTTGTTTGTCAGTAGCTTGCCTCATTTTCTACTCATTTCCTACTATTTTTAGCTCGCATACATGTATTACTTTACCAAAATATGTCGAATAGTAAAGTACTTATGGAGGTCAGATCCTGCTATCAAAAGTATTAAGGATTTTATATCAGGTATATTTTTAGAATTTAGCACAGCTTAATTAAATATGAAAACAAAAGGTGGTTATCAATGCACTTCTTTTGGCGCTTAGGAGCATTTTAATCTGACCTTTTTTGCGCTGTAATTACATTTAACACATCAATAAATTTTTCGAACATTTCCCTCCAATATTTTTTTATCCAAGTAAATTATAGGATCAAATACAGTATTCTATTAACTTGAATAGACACATTAAAATTTGTGACAACGAAAAAGTTTCAAATTAATTCATTAGTTAATTGTGTGATCTTTATGCACTCAAAAAAATTGTCATTTTTCTGGTATTAAAAATTTAACAAGCAATAAAATCATTCTGAAGTATTAAGCTTTTACTGAATTTAAGCAGAATGGTAATAGATTGAGCATTTTATGTAAACTTTTTAAATTTTAATTCGTGTAATGTTACAAGCCTCGGGAAATAGCCAGCAACATTTGGATCAATGAATATATCATGTATCAGGGTGAATAAAAAATAGACCACCAAATTGAATTAAAAAAAAAAAATTCAACTACCAGTAACATAGTTTTCACTTATATCATCATATTGTAAATGCATTCTAGTTCAAATTCCCAAGGTTGCTATAGAATAGACAATTGGATAAAAAAGTGTCAGAATTTTTATAAGTAAAACTTTATTTGAAAAAAAGAAAATATCACTATATCCTAAAAGATTCTCTAAAACACATAATCAAAAGAAATTATAGTGATATATGCTTTCAAATGTATAATATACATTCTATTTAAAAATATACGTTAAGCGATGAAAACAATTACATGTGTGTATTCTCTGAATTAACTGCAAAATGTCTGTAATTAGTTGATAGACATAATGTTTTGAACATCAAATATTACAAATATCATTTCTGCTTGAACTTTCAGTAAGGCGTGATATTCTCGGCTATACATAATTAGTGTCTCTCAAATGATGACCTAGATTGGTTGCCAGATTAGCTCATCAGTACTGAAATTTACACAGCTTTTCATTCACTGATGAAATACACATGGAATACACATGGAATAAAAATGGTTCAGACGTCAACGAGTAACGCAAGGAACCAATTACATCGTTTCTTACAGTAAAGAGGTGTGGCTTATGTCATCTCATTGTTTGTTAACAACAATCTAAAGTTGCTAATGTTATGAATTTCTTAACCAATGAGAATCTAGGTCATCATTTGAGAGACGCTAATTATGTATCGCCGAGATTGTCACGCCTTACTGAAATTTCAAGCAGAAATGACATTTGTACTAGATATAGTATCAAACATTTTCTTCAATTTTTTTTTTTTTTTTATTAAAGATGGATGAAGATAATTGATAACTATAAAACAGTTTTATTGCACTTCTGACTGCAGTAAATTTTGAAATTAAAACCACAGAACACATAAAATGTTGGCAATATCATGTGGTAACGAAATTGTGAAATATCTATAGTCCAATACTTCATAATTAAAACACATGAAAGTATTTAAACTTGACTTTATGTCTTGAATTATTCCCTATTTATGTAAAAAAAAAAGAAAATAGGTAAAATATATATTTAGAGGATAATATATATTTTATAGCATATTTTCCTTCACAGGACAAACACTGTAAGCAATTGAGGTCAACCAGAAACATTCTACTCATCATTTTTTCTTTATGTTTATTCATATTTGATCAGCAATAATTCTATCATATTTGTTGCACTCCTGACCAAGAGCATGGGAGTCTGTAAAGTAGAATTGTCAAGCGAAAATTATATCGGAACTTGTTCTGTTGTTTCAGTGAAATTGAGGTGGAATTACTTGAACTTTATAACAATTTCTCAGTGTGTGTATTTTTCACATTATTAAAAAAATCAAAGAAAAGATAAAAACACATCTGAATTGATAAAATTGAAAAAGAGAAGGATTTTAACAATAAAACTGTCGATAATTTAGTACTAAATTATTCAAATAGATCCTTATTAATTAAAGAATATTTCTTATATAGCATGAGTAGAAGTCTTTTCATCATAAAAATTGCATCTTTTAAAATATGTCTTGCACTCCTGACCATAGAAATATAGATCTAAAAACGCCTGCGATCTAAAACGCAGGCGTACCCTGTAATTGATAAATCTCTTTGGTAAAAATGTTCTTTGGGTCTATATTTTCCAAAATAAAAATCAGAGAATCGTATACTGATAAAAATTTTCTCATGCTGGGCAACAAAACATCAAATGTTGCACTTCTGACATTATTGAGTATGCACAGATACTTGACTCTCATTAATGCTGCTTGTGATTTATACAATAACATTTTTAAGTTTTAAATTGTATATCAATTATTGTTTTACACTTTGAAAATTCTTTTTTGACTTAATTGTCTTTCAGATTTTTAAAATCGATGTTTTTTTGGCAACACTTCATTTTTTCTGTTGCACTCCTGACATGTTATCACATTTTTTCAACATCAGCCATGACCACAACTTGGTCAAACAAAAGTTGCTATAATAGTCTACATGTAAAGCTCAATATTTTGAATATTATCAGAAAAGTCTTTATTTCCCCATAAACCTTAATCATTTATTTCACAGATCTTTAAAAAATATTGAATTTTCAGAATGTCACAAAAAGGTGTTGCACTCCCGACATTTTTAGCATCATATTTGGACGTAACTTTTTTTGTGAATTGAGATAACAATGAGATATATTTTGGCAGGTATTTAAACACTATCTAAAAATAAAATTTTGAAGCTACTATAAATAACTTAAAAGTTGTTAAAATAAAGATTCTGACACTTTCAGTCAAGAAAAACCACGTTTAAAAAGTACGTACCACACCTTATATACATAAACTCTACAAGGGACGATATAGGTCTCATCTTGGAAATGTCAGATCGGTTGCCCCAGTGTCCAAGTTACCCCAATTTCCCATATAAAGTATTACTTAGAGATAAATTATCAAATTTATAGGACATACACTTTATCTATCAACATCAAATGTACTATTTCTTTTCCTTAAATTTTACCCTAAAGATTCGAAGAGTATAATTAATAGAAGAGATAAGTATGTCCATATGTCATGTGTCGTCCGCCCAACCCAATTAAGAAATTCTGCTTTTTCTCCGATCTTGATACTATTAGTATACAGCAATGATTCAGTGCAATTTGACTTTTTGTAAATGTTGAAGAATTACTGCGATAATGATATTTCTTTCTTTGATTGAAAGTTTAAACCTCCCAGGAGTACATTCTGTACTTTGATTATTTCTAAGCCTACCCCCTCCACCCCCCTTAAGAATTGAAAAGCCTCCAGTTGTTCTCTTAAGAATTTATTTCCTAGTTTTAATTCTAAACATGTAAATTTAAGATCCTTTCCTCGGAGCTGCTGATATATTAATTGCCTCGCACCACGCTTGGGAATTTCAAAGGTTAGCGGTAATCAAGATCGGAGAAAAAGAGCAGAATTTCTTGGGATGGACGGACGACACATGACAAATGGACGTCGGCCGCCCTTCGATCAGAAAAGCTCTCTTGAGTCTTCTTCTCGGGTGAGCTAACAAACTAGACAGTCATTCCTTACTTAAATTTGAAACAAAACTTTTCCAGTCAGTTAGTCTACAGGCTTTTCCCCCCTTTCAACTGATTATTCTATAAAATGTCATGGGAGAGGTACATCTGAAATCAAATCAGGTAAGTGTAAAAAAAAAAAAAATTATTGAATCAATACTTTCAATAACTTTAACAGGAATCCTCTCTCCTAGAATTCGGAACAAAGTTATAAACTTCAATTTAGACTACATGTAACTAAAGTATTCTACAAAATGTAAGCATAGTGATACACATACATGTATACAGAATTACTTACAGATAAATTATCAAATTTATAGGACATACACTCAAATGTACTATTTCTCTTTCTTAAATTTAACCCTAAAGATACAAAGCGTATAATTGATAGAAGAGATAAAGATGTACACGCATGACTATTTGAGGTATTTAGTTTGTCCTTGAAAGGGGGAAGTCATGTGATGTTCAAAATGGCGGACGCCACAACGTAAACAATCTGTCTCTATCAATCGACAAACTGTCACATTTTGAGGATGATTTTCGACCAAATATAGCGAGTCAAGTATTGGTAATGTTTGTAATTGGTTAAATATTTTATGAAAATTTTTAGATATATAAGAAGATAATTTTAAACATCGGAATTTTATTGAAGATTGAGTCAAGCAGCAGTCAAGGTTATCCAGTAACATTCAGCGCACAGTTGCCATTATTATGATTATGTAGTGCATGAATTTTACGATGAAAATTTTAAAAGAAATCTTTTATTTTCAGTGCGACAATTTGGATAATGCAGATCATGCTATAAATCTAAGAAAAGAATACAAAAATGAGAAAAAATCTGGCATATCAGGTAATTTCAGCTGTCAAGTGTATAACATGTTCAGTATGTCAACTCGTAGATTTCAGCTGTAAAGTGTATTAACACACGCTCAGTTGGTTAACAACTCAAGTATTGCTGTAAATCTGTAACGCTTTACCCTTTTATATCTCGTACGTGTCACTTGCTTGACTATCAATGGCAATTTTTACAATTATTTGGTCAGAGCCCCGTTAATGAATTGGTGCATTGTAACTATTGAATATAAACCTGTTGACATATATAAATTGATACAAATGTTTAATATTAACAGGATTTGGATATCATTCCTCCAAATTTGGCAGAAACTGAGGGTGAATCTTTGCAAGAAATAGATCTGACTCACAATAAAATTTCATATCCTTTCTTCACTGCAGAATTTTATTTGGTATACTACAGATTATACATTACATATACATGTACAAGCAAAATGTAATATATACATGTATGAGTATGTTGATTGTAGAATTGGGCTTTGAGAATACTATCCTCTATTAAATTTAGTTTTTTTTATGTAGACCTTTATTTTCAAATGAGTTCCTTTAAGGACCCTCTCTACACTGCACCCTAATTTCAGGGTACTTTTGTGTAGTTAGACTGACCCGCCACTTGACATAAAATAGAATAAGTTGTAATCTGCACTGTATGACATAATTTAAAATAAATTCAAGTGTTCTAAACATTATATTAGACCAAGATAGATTAGTTGAAGACATTATTTGCATGTATTTTCTCCATCTGAGTAAGGAAAGGCAATTTTTCTTAATCACTACTTCATTGTCTTTGAAGATTTTTCCCGGATAAAAAAGGCAGGCTCCCTATATTAAAAATGAATTAGTTAATTTCAAAATATCCTTCTTTACGTTATATAATTTTTTTAAAGTCCAAAAAAATTTTTTCATCGGTGTATAGAGGGTCCTTAATGCTAATTAACATCAATTATTTTATAGTCACTAATGTTCTATGTTCTAATTTAAAATTATTTTGCATAGAACTACACATCTAGTGAAATAGATTTAAAAACAATAATCATCATAACTGAGCATGAGTAGAAATTAAAGAAAATATTTATAATTTTTATAATTTGTTGTTTTACATTTTTCTTTCTCATTTTGAAGCTAATGTTTTTTTTTAACATGTAACAAAATCATCAGTTCTTTTTTCTTCATATACATGTACATGTACAGCTGTGTATTCAATTTCCTTAACTCTGTTTTTAATGACCTTCGATTTCTGATAGATTTTCCTAGACTAACATGCTTAGTTCTGGATCACAATAGTATTGAGTCACATGTGAAAATCCCAACTTCCACCAATCTTCAAACTTTGTGGGTAAATCACAACAAAATTAAGAATCTAGGTAAGTGAAAAAAAAATCATTATTTAAAATATAATGTGTTTTTATTTTCACTATGTTAATTTTCTGTTTCTGTAATATTCTGTAATATTTCTGTAATATTTACTTAAGGAAGCACTTGTCTTATAGTCTTGTCATATAATCTATATATTGATTTTATAAATGTAGACACTGCTTGATAGCATGTTATGTTTGATAAATAAAAGATTATATAAATAATGCAGTCAAACCTTGTTACATGTTTCTTGAACTCAAATGGAGCAAGAAAAAAAACTCCAAGATAATGGAGGATTTGAGATACTGAGGGAAAAATTCTTTGAGAAAAAGTAATTTGGACTTCCAATTCAATAGTATTTGAGATATCAATGTTCAACATACATGTACCAATTGAAAGTTCAGCTGTACCATCATTTCATTAATATTTTTTCCAGTTTTTACCTTACAATAAAACTCATTTAGTACAAACACAGAATTAGCAAGGTTTTTGGGGATCCCCAGTGAAATTCTTTACAATTCCATGTAAAATTTTATAGACTCTAGCTGATATAACAAATTTTTACGGATATAGCAAACTGATTTTGTCTCCGGTAGAGATTAAAAATTACAACATTTACATCTTTTATAGCAAATTTTTAAGATTTCAAAATTTTAAAGTAACATTGAACTGAGATTATTTTACGAAGTATATATATTTGAAATTCAATTCATCTCAAAAACTTCATACTCAATAGTAAAGTTTTGTATTTATAATTAGTGAATTGCAAAAAAAAAAAAAAAAAAAATTAAAGTAATGTTTAAATATGTAGGTATTTTATATCTCTCTCCCTTTTACAAATCAAGACAGGTTATTTAATTTCTCTCTGTTTTCCCTATGTATACATACATATATGTTGAACTGTAAAGTGCAAGTTTTGGATACCCCATACATTTATTAAAGGAATTAAACTGGTAGATGGTATGTTTATCTTTTTGTTTTGTATAACAGGTTTGTTTATCTCCACACTGTGTAAGTCTTGTCCAAACCTGAAGTTTCTGTCAATGATGAACAATGAAGCTGCCCCTAGTTACTTCAATGGAGGCACATACCAGCAGTACATGGATTACAGGTAAACTTAAATTTATAGTGATTAATCATATGAAAAAAAAAATCATTGAATCTGCTTCATGTATTATTTTCAGATCTTATACATGGAAGAATTCCTAAAAATCTTTACAATATAAGCTCACCTGATTGAATTTTGTTACTCGTCATTGTCGTCGTAAACTTTTCACATATTCTTCTTCTTCTCCAGAACTACTTAGCCAATGTCAACTAAACTTGGCGCACTTGGGATTCAGCTTCTTTCAAATAAGGGCCATGCACTCTTCCAGATAATCAAGAAAATGCAAAAATACAATGGGGTTACTAAAATTCTTAAGAACCACTGGGCCAGAAAAAATGAAACTTTTGTGAAAGCTTCTTGACTTATGTAGATTCAAGTTTGTCCAAATCATGGCCCCTGGGGGTAGGATGGGGCCATAATAGGAGTGCAAAGTTTTACATGGGGTATGACAGGAAAATATCTTCTTTCAAGAACAGACAGGCCAAGATTAGACAAGAATAATAGAATTTTCAAATGAGTGCCCCTTGGGTTAGATTTTGGCTAAAATATATATAAGGATCAAATGTTACCTACTGCATGTAAACAAGAAAGAAAAAAACCTTCAAGCTTCTTCAAAGCAGAAAAAACAGGTTAGTCATATTGATGTCACCCTAAGTCCCTTTGAGGATAGGGTTGGGTCAGAGTATAGAGTCAAAATTAGTCATGCCAAAAGAAATCTTTTTCTTAATAAACATCAGGGTCAATGTGACTCAGGTGAGCATTGTGGCCCATGGGCCTCTTGTTCAGGTTCAGAATCAGAGAAAATAAGTTCATTATACATGTAGGTGTGTATTATACCTTTCATGACTGCAGGGAATTTAAAGAAATAGAACCACTTTTCTGATTACATAAATAAAAGTGAAAGCAATTGCAATTTTCAGAAAATAATGATTAATACCGGTAATTGATTATACTTATATAATTAATATATATAATAATAAAATATATACACTTCAAATTATATAGAAATAATGTTTTGCATGTCCAAGGGTTTAAAAGTTAGTCTAATAATATTTTTTTCTCTTCAGACATTTTGTCATTGCACATTTTCCCAAGCTGGAGGTCCTCGATGATAAGAAGATTGAAGAAAATGAGAGATCTGAAGCAAAGAGAATTTATCGACGCAAGGTACACGTAAAACATTATTGTCTTAATAAAAAAAACCTTTTTAAAAAAGAAAGTAGATGACTGGATATTAAATTCCTCCTCAGTTTCTGGCCTCCAAGTAAATGCCTAAATATATAGATGTTATGCCAGTTTGATGCAATGCCTTAGTATACAGAATAATATTTTTGCTAATACATGCATATATGTACAAATAATTTTTTGAATATTAATTGAACAGCCATAAATTGTTAGTATATGTATGCAAATAATTTTTATATACAGTGTAGTACATGTTTTTAAATGGAAGTTTTGAATATTATACTGATAAACATATAAAAATATGTAAAACAAGGAATTCCATTGAGACTGTCCTTCTGATGATCCATTGTGAAGCATTGCTATCCTGGGATATTTAAAACTGTGATTAAGAATCCTTATTATTTTTAGGTTTCTACATCAAAGCAAAAATCACTGAGGAAAAAGTCCGAGACCTGATTTATGAGAGGGACAAACTATGAATCACAGACCGCATTATGCAGCATAAATTACATAACACTAGAAGAAAAAGTGTATGCATGTAAAAGAATGATTTATTAGGAAGAAACAATTTTTCAGTGACCAGATTTCATGACATCATATATATATGTATATGCATAGTGTATTGTCTTGCATAGGTCATCATTAGGCAATCATAAAAAAAATTTGTTTGATGTACTCTGACCAACATTTTTTTTCAAGGTGGGTAGGTATTTTTTTTAATTATACAATACATTGAAAAAGATCACAAAAATCGCAGAGTTAGAAATTTACTGATGTTTTCATTATACAATGGACAAGTAGAAAGATTTTTTATTTAAATAATGCTGAAAACTGAGAATCTAAAAATGTCTTTAAAATGATAAACCTTAACTTTCAATCTTAATTTTCGATACCCCCCCCCCCCCCCCACAAAAGATAATAACAAAAAAAAAATAATAGAAAAAAGATTATGAAGTACTGAAAAAATGATCGGTTAGGGATGACTTTAATGGGTGGTGGAATACACCAAACAAGTCATTTTTATTGGTGGTCTTGATTACTGTAGCAACTTTCTTTTGTGGATTAAGTATATGTTGTGGTTATCTTTCTTTGAGCTGTAGCGACTTACAGGCTTACATACAATGTTGTACTTCTGTACAGATGCATGTGCTAACTAAGTGTAAATATTTTATTCCTTGCACAAATAAAGAGCTCTCCAAGTTACAGGAATTATGTTTTAAATCTAAATTTATGATCCGCCCATTTCTAATGATTGATATTTTTAAATAGCAGGATTGACTTATTTTCGATCATTGAAGACTTAGAAGAGTCTGTCACCCATCTGTCTGGATGCCCATTAGTCTATATACCTATTTTTGCCACCAAGATTGAAAAAGGGGGACGTTTATAACAAAGAGGTAGGCAGTATGTTCTTACCTTTACCCGGACCATAATTATGTATAGAAATGTAGAAAAAAATAGGAAGGACACACAGAAAAACACAACTTCCGCAATTAAAAGAATGTTTTTGGCGGGTTTCTCCTTTTCATAGCTTTTGTTTTACTCGTGGTCGTTCAAGATCCTCCAGTAATTCATGATACATTATACACCTATTTACTGGATATAAGGACAATAGCAAGTTTATTGTAACTATTTCCCGAGTCGCAGCTATTGTCCAAATAGTCGGTAGATAAGTGTTTTAATAATACTTTACTTGTGTCACGTAACTTGCCGACAAAGTAATATATATATATATATATATATATATATATATATATATATATATATATATATATATATATATATATATATATATATATATATATATATATACTGTACATAACTTTATTTTCGCGACTACTTATTTTCGCGAGAAAGTCAATGACTCTTCATTTGCGAGACAAAATTTTCATGAGTTGTGGTTATTGCTCTATACAAAATCTTACGGTATACTATTATTCACGAGAATAAATTTTTGCGAGCTCACTGTCTCGCGTAATTACGCGAATTAAAAGTGATTAACAGTATATCTATCTATCTATCTATCTATCTATCTATCTATCTATCTATCTATTTATATATATATATATATATATATATAGGTTAAGAGAGTTCTTCTGATCACCCTTTCTCCGTCCGTCTGTAAACTTTTCACATTTTCGACTTCTCAACAGCCACTGGGTCAATGATAACCAAAATTGGCACTAAGCGTCCTTAAAGGGGATTCTAAATTATTCAAATCATGGGCTCTGGGGTTAGGGTGGGGCTACAAAAAGAGATCAAAGTTTTACATTGAAATATTTAAGAAAGATCTTTTGAAATCTTCTGAAGAAGAACCGCTGGACCAGAAAAGATGACACTTATGTGTTCAACTCGTGGCCTCCGAGAGTAGCTCGGGACCACAATAGAGGATAAAAGTTTCGCATGGAACTATATAAGAAGTAAAACAATCTACAGAACCACAGTAGAACCATTAATTAGCAAACATTCCTATGTTGTGTTAATTAATTTTTTTTTTTAATTATGGACCCCGGGTTATACTTGGCTAATATAAGGATCAAATTTTAGACAATGCACATATACAGGAAAAGAATTTTCATCTCTATAACAGCAAGGCTATGTTAGTCAGTCATATTTATATTGAAGCATATCGTTGTTGTGTGGATTCATATACCCCGTAGAGTTAGGATCGGGCTATAGTATGATATTTTTTTTCAAGGGAATATAAAAATGTTTTTAAAATGTTCTGAAGAACAGCAGGGCTAAAGTAATTCAAGTGAGCGTTGTGGTTCATGAGCCTCTTGTTATGTTTACGATGTTTATGTAGTAAAGTATGTATTTCACATGTATAAGAATTTTTCATAGTAATTAAATGCCATTCGAACCTCTTACTCTAAGCATGTACTTATGATATCCACAGATTTAGAGCACGTCCATTAGCATCTTCGCTAGCCAAGGGTTTCTGATCCTCTACTCTCCTCACAAACCCATGGCCTATGGTGCTGTCAAAAGACGGGAATATTTATGTCACGTTGGACAGGTGAATTCTTGCTTTCAAGTACTGAAGAAACAAAAAATAAGGATACCTAAATAATACTGTTGATCGTTAATTCCAGCGCGTTGGTGTATCCTGTATATTCCCCAACTCACGTGAGTTGTCACCGCAAACTAAGTCCCTTTTGTCTTGAGACCAGGACTGTTATTGTATCTGCACTACTGAGCCCACAGTGCCTGAGAAGTGGCATATTCCTCGGTTTCCCATGCAGATTATCCTAATCCCTGATTCCAGTGAGCAGCAGTTTTTAATCCCAGGATTAACTCTTTAAGGAATCTGCCTGGGAAAGTTATTGGTGCCTCAATTAGCAATACACAGCTAATCTCATTGATTAAGTCTAATACACAAAATTACATGTACCAATGTATACTGACTTTCTCTTTCATTGTTGAAGTTATGAACTACACCCGAATATGGTATGCGATATATTTATACATTTAAAGAATTCGGATTTTGCTTCATTTTATCAGCGACACCCGTGAAGAATACATGTACTTTTAAAAATAAGGCCATTCCAAGCTTTTTCTCTGTTTAGGGTCCACCCAAAATCAAAAACCGTTCTTTTTTTTTACAGGAAGAAAAATGCAGATCAACAGAAAAAAAAAAACAATACTGAATGATAAAGTTTGTATCATGTACATGTATGATCATTTGAGAATATTCTTTATATTTCTCTTTCACATCTACAAGATTTCACTGTAAAAGTGAACCACAAACGACACGATGCTAAAGAATCCCTTTTTTCCCTGATTTTTCATACTAACATCTGATAGGCTGCCTTATCAAATAGCATCAGGTTCTTGCGTATACAGTTTAACTTTTCATAAATATCGATAAGTGTAATAAATCCTTGGTTGCAAACGCAGTAATTTATAATCTGAAGCTGGGCCATGTTGGTATATTTTCAAAGCTTCAAACTGTCAGACATTTTGGATTTCTAATAAAAATCTCGAAAAAGGCCATCTAAATTGAATTTCTTTTTGCAGCACACATTTGTATACTCGATTAATAGCTTCTCAATGTCTTTTTCCAGATTTTCCTTCCATTTTTACTTCTATATCACTAAATTAAATCAACTACATGTAGTTTGTTTTTATACAGTGAAATGTGTATGCAAGCATCAGGAAAACTTAGTTTTTATCTCCAACCAACACCTGGCTCGATTTAAAGAAATAGACACCTGCTAAAGCAAGGCTCCATTACTGTTTGACAACAAAGAAGTTGTAATATTTGAATTCTTTTTTTATTACAAAAGTAAAAAAAGGTATTGCAATAATAAGTCTCCATAGATAACATTTAACTACTGATCTTAGAAACTCAAGAGTGTTTTGTTCAGGCAGTGACATGATACGATGTACAAGTAGTTTTTTTTTTCCTTTCATTGGTATGTCTATGGGTTTGCACATTGAATAACAATAAAGTATAGAACAGTATAAATATCAATTTGACTGTAGCACTGATTTTTGCACTTTTAAAAGAAATGTCCCTTATGGCACAATTTTTTGAACATTTACAATTTATACATATGTTGATTGCAAAAATGTTTGTCCAGAGTCCCCAGTAAACTCTAACGATGCTGACCTATCAGACTGGTCGGGGGTTTGAGGTTGACCTCGGTCTCCCCACAATAGTCCCATGTTCTTGAGTTTAGTTTCAATTTCAAGAGATTCCGAAAAATCTGCACGTTTTTGTTTATTATTCAACAAGAGATAAAAGTTTTCTCTTCTCTTTGGCGCTGGTTGTCTTATTCCATCAACATAACTTAACAGATCACTGGGCGTCCATTTTGTGAAATATCTAGGAGGACCCTCGTTGTAAGGGTAGGAATACCCATCCCATGACGTAGAACCATTTCGAACGTGTTCTACGGGTCGCAAAGTAGACGGTGAGTTGTGAGCTGGATTTTGATGAGCCTCTCTCAGTACAACGAATTGGTCGTTACGACGGGGCGAATTACTATTCATATTTCGAGCTGGAAGTTCAGGTGCTTCGTAGGGTATAAAATGTCCCGGCATATCTGGAATTTTTCGTAATCGTTTCGAAAGTAAACCCATCGCACGCATGCGCATAAGTTCCTCATAAAGATATTCGTCTCCAGGAATCGTTTCATATACGTGATCATCCAGTTTGTCGTCACGTTTTGGGGTGCAACATCCGGGGATACGAGCTGTGGCATATGGTGTGACCCCGTTATCGAATATAATTAGGCGCCCTGAATCCGGATGTGGTACACTGTGATTGACCACAGATGCTGGATGTGCCTGAGAATGGAAATGCGTAAAATCGGCAGGTGGAACCCGTGGGTGTACAGATGTTTGCTGTTGAACACTCGGAAATCCTTCATATTCTTCATAGTAACATGCAGAAGATGAATGTGGGAGGTCATTTGTGCGGGAAAAGTCTGAACTGTGTGTGCCTAATGGCCTGCGTAAACACTTGACAACTAAAGTGCCAGGTTGGACGTTAGGTGAAAGGTCGTTGGTTCTCGCCTGCTGTGTCGACGAGCCTTTTGCAATGGAATCTTCAGTCTCCGCCTTGTTTACTGTACAAGGTGCTCGCGAAACGAAAACACTTGAAGACACCGGGTGGCTCAAGGACTCCCTATTTGAGCTATTATTGCTACTCTGGGGAGATTGACACTCAATTGTAGAGGGCAGCGGTAACAAGGTATCTGTGTGGCGTTTTGATTGAATGTCGTTATTATTCTCACCCACAATAGGCTCACTTTTTACGCCGGGGGTATGATCGGGGATACAATCGGATTTTGCATTAACACCCAAGGTGGCGTCTGCTTTATCCACGCTACTAATAGATTCCTCCGAAATACACAATCTGTTTTCGTTCAGTGATTCCATAGAACCTCTTTGAAAATTGTTTTTAATGAGCGTAGCATTTTCGGCTCGAACAGGATTCGCCCTTTTGACTTTCTTGCACCTTTTTATATTACCAGGGTTATTCTTTGGGGATTCGTTTTCCAGTTGTAAATCGTTAATAATTTCAAACATGGACCTTGCCACTTTCGTTAGTTTATGGTTATGTCTTTGAACAGGCGAAAATCTGGGAGCAGTCTGTTCTGGTTGACTTCTGGGAAAGATGGGCAAGGATTGAAAGTCAGTCTCTGTTGCTCTTATATTCCTTACTGAGGACTTGTCGGGGATTTGAAACGAGCGATCTAACACTCCAGTTGGTTTTTCGGGGGTTCGCGATTTGGGACTAACGAAAGACTGATTTGATTTTTCCGAAACGTTATCAGCACCATTTGAAAAAGGGACGGATTGAAATATTGAAGATGAAATGTCCATTGCACTCGCATGTAACGAAGAATTTGGGAACGCCGTAACAGACGACACATTGGTTAAGTTTCCCATTCTTGATTTATTGTTCACAAATATTTTGTCAATTTCCGCCTCACAAGTCTGAATAGAATCACTTTCATATCCGCTTGATATTGTGACGGGTGACGAGTCTGTGGAATTCGAACGCATCATTTCATTTTGTTGCACAGGATCATCAAACTGTGCTTCAATGGACAATACATGGTCGAAAGAATCCGACAGTATTGTGTGGTCTAACCCTGAATCTGGGCTCACAACCGGAGCAACGTCAGTCTGCTTGGGTTGAAATACACAAAGTTTTTTAGGTTGTCGGGAACTATCCGGTGTAGTGGCAGTTTCACTCCGTGGTGTTGGAGGTCCAGCAGAACGTTTTAATTCTCCAGCACTTTTAACCCTTGATGCAAAAAGTTCCTTCGGCCTGATAGCTGTACTTCTGACATTAGAAACATCCTTTGAACTTTTCACAGTTTGTCCTTCTTTCTTTTTTAGCAGCATCCTTTCTGCTTGTCTTCCAAGGATCCTCTTTTCTTTTGGGGGAGGTCGAAAATTTTCCTCTTCAACCCAACATTGGGTTCGATTCTCCCTGCCTTTTGTATCTTGCATCGTTCTTTCATGAGTGGAGGGTTTTGTTTGAGATCGCGTGTTTTTCTCAGTTAAATTACGCTGTATTAGTCTTTGTTCACTGCCCACACAATTATTATTACTTGCAAACAATCCATCAGAAGACTGTGAATGCGAACCCGTAACAGCTAAATCCGGATTAGTACGGGCTGTCCGTCTATTGTCCGGACAGCTGATCTGATTTGACCGAGAGACACAAACGTTAGTGCGAGGCTGAAATCCGTGTGGGGAAACGTCAGTTGAAGTGCCGGATTTATCTCGTCGAGAATTAGGATATTTAAAGCACTTGGGTTTATTTTTTGCGGCTTGGTCAGCTCCATAATCCCTCATTGTATCGCGTACACGACTGCACTGCTGTACACGACTTAAGGCCATATTGTTTAAATAATCTGTACAGTTTGGTTGGTGTATTGTTCTGCCATTTAGATCCCTATCGCGTCTATCAAGACTTTGTCTGTTTGAGACCAGATAAGACGTTGGAATATTGTCTCCTTGCTCTTTATCGTAACACCAATCGTTGTCAATTGTTTCCGTTAGAGCGTGAATGTGCTCCCAATCAGTTTTACAATTGTTCTTCTGAATAGTGATCCCCTGTGGTGATACACTAGTAACTTTTTTTGTCCTGTTTCGAGGAGATCTGTGATAATCGAGATCAGGTTTTGAGGAGGTTGTGCCGGTTGTAGTGTTAGAAATCAAACGAGCGGGCATCAGAAAATCGTCAACATTGACCCGAGTAGACAGCAGATGACAAGATAGGCTCGGGTGTCGAAGGCAGAGTAAATCTTCAAACGTTACATATAGTAACCACATCTGATGGGAGAGCCCCACACTGGCAGTTCGCAAGTCGCACTGCAAAAGAAGAAAAATCTTGTCATAATCGAGTCATCATCTATACCGAAATATATATTTTAACATAACTGTATCACACAAACACCCACTCAGATAATAAATTGTCATCGTCACAATCATCGCTGTCATCATCATCATCATCTCCATCAATAAAAATGAACTACGTTTATTATAATTGTAAAAGTGTTCTACGATTTCACAAATTGTATACTGCCATAGTTTAATCTTGAAAATTTACGGTGACAAGCCGTGTTCCCGTATGAGTAACTCCATATACTAGAAGCTACTATGTTGCTTTTTAATCTTCGAATGATACATAACTAAAAAATTTAAATAGCAGATTGAACAGATAGGAATATTATTTTCCAGATTTACCACTGATTATATTTAGTTATGGATGTGTATTAAATAAAGGACTTAAAACCTAGAGGTTTAAAACAAACGTGCTACATCCTTACTCTTTAAACAATAGGATGATCTCATGCCCATTCAGGCCTTCATCAATACACCTTTTGTGGTTATATATATTTCAGACAATGCCTTTTGACATTCCCGCGATCGAAGTGCTACAACAGTTGTTTTTGTTTATTCAAATGATAAATGAGTCATTTTTCTAAGTCTATATCGCCCATATTTCACTACTGGTATATATATACACTGAGGTTCGGAACATTGTGTTTGATAAAAAGTAATTTTAAATTGCAATACGAAGAAAATCCAAAAATCACTCTAAATATAGTATCGCTGATTTATGTAATAAACTGTTTTTGTGCCCTGTGAAGTAAATAAACCTTTAATGAAATATTTAAAGTGATTGATATGTCTAGCTAGGGAAATATATTGCAATACTTAATTTTTTTTTGCGTCTTTGTAGAAGTGAAAAGTGCGCTCTACTTCTTCATGTTTGATCTACCTACGATGTTATGTACATGTACGTTTATTATACCTATCTGTTAGAAAGAGAGTCTAAGGTTTAAAGTAAACACCATTTTAATCTAGCCAAATCAAACTGATTTCAAAACCCCAAAGATGTTCTTCAAGAAAATTGAATTTCTTTGTACAGATGTTAGAACGTGGGCTGGCCCAATAACTGATTAATTTATCCACAGTTGAACTAGAGGACGCAAATTAAATCAAATAAAATCCAAACATACCCAATATTTTCTTGACTGAACTTGCTTGGAGCACCCTTAATCCATGACATTTGTACAAAATAACTCAAATTAATTTCTAAAATGGCTGAAGTGTCGTTTCACTGTATACACACAATAAGGGCAAATGCAATATTTAATTTATATTTTCCTACGCATGAATGTTAAATGATGAAAAAAGACAAACATGCATATATACATGTAGATTCTTTTCATAAAAGTAAGAAGTATTTAAGACACTCTGTTTGGAAAATGTCTTTAATTGACCAAGGGGTACATATACTGTTTGGTCAAAGATCCATATCGTATTAACTTTTTAATAAATATAATGGTGCCTTGATTCAGGGGTACAACAGTACATGAAAGTGTAGTACAATTCATACAGAAAGTTGAAGCATAAATTTTCAGCCATTTCGATCTGCTGTAAAATTTAAAGAAAAGCTGTATTAAATTTGCAAAACTTGTCCATCCCAGAGAACTTATATTACACCATTTTGTATTGAAGCTTTAAGGATGGACAATTTTTTAAAAAAAATAATGTGTCATCTTATACAAGAACGGAGGAATACGTGTTTGATTTAAGTTAGATAGTTATGGTTCACATGCATTTATACATACACTGTCATACATATATAAACATACTGTCTCTTTTAAAACAAGTCAATCTGAGCAAACTACATTAAAAAAAACTACATTTTTCTTTTTAAATTTTCACCAGACACCTTTGCCATCTCGTTATCACCAACAAAAAGCCCTTAACACGACTAGATCTCCTGGGCAACCAACCATGCTTTAGCGTGAAATCTCTGCCAAGCTAAATTGTCTTATTCTTGCAGCCTTGGCTTAATATGGCGCTCTTTAAAAAAGACGCTGTACATAATTTTGTCGGAGTTATTTGAAAATAATCAGCGAAGCAATAAAGAGATTTCACTTTCTTTAAACTGTCCTATATATCTTACTCTCTTTATGTGTTTAGCCTATCTCTTTTCTTTATCAGGAAATTGTTATAGTTCTCTACGACTATCTGATTTGGGTTACGCTGTACAAGTAGGTAATTAAAGCTATTTTGCTGCTTCATCAATCGTGGTCATGGTCGATTTAATACTATCCAAACTTAATTAAGAATAATTTAAAATGCCCATCCATAACAAGAATTTAGAGAGAGAAAGAGAAACATGGGGCATGACGTGAAAAAATAATATATTCTTCCAATATGGGAATGGCTACATACTACATCGATTCAATAGCAAGTGTCTAATGCTTGGAAATATTGGGTACTTGGCATAATTAAAATGACAGCAGATTCATGAATCTTTCCAAGCAAAAAAGTTAAAGAATAATGTTTGCACTCACAACCAAGCTGAAAGCAAATTTTTGTTAAAAAATATGCCTACATGGAACAATTTTAAAAAGTTTATTATACAAAGTACTTACGTACAAGATTTCAACTTTTCTTCACAAATAATTCCACTAATTCATAAAATATCAGAATTCACTACAAGGTGTTTCACTGAATGTTCAGTTTACTTTACAGGTGTAGCACAGATGCGACCCAAAAATAAGTGTGTGCCATGACAAAAATGATCCGATCGAATTTCTACCTGAGATTGTTTGCTTCATAAGGAAAAGGTAACAGGGTTCATTTAGACAAACTCAGTCGACCAAACGTGAGATCCTAACTCCAACGTAAACAAAATCCTGTATAATATCTCATAATGGTCCTGCGACCTCCTGCGCGGACAATAGTGCGACCCTCGCTGATATTTGCACTAAAAACTTTCTCCTCGGCGTTAAACCACAAATATGTACTTATTCTCTCAACTGGAAGTGTCTTATGCATTTGATATTAGGATAGGGAAAAGTCTCCTCTCAACATCATTTAAAATCCACGCCTCGTGTTTCACTCTTTATTAAAAACCCTTTTGCTACCCGTCGACATTTTCTCTAATAAAATGGGAACTTTTTTTTCTAATTTCTAGTTCGAGTGTGTAATTTTCTTTTCAAATAACTCTTCGTATTCTTAAAAATGTATTTTTTATTGTACGTCTGAAATATCAGACCATAATTGCTTTCACCTAACGAGAATCATTTTTTACCGATTTCTATTGAAATCTTCAGTGCGAGTCCGTGCTATAGAGATATCAATTTATAATTTAATAGACTGGGTATTGAAAGCATCCGCTCTTTTTCCAAATTCTTTTGTCGCAGGATTATGTAAACTTTGATCGTTAAAGATATTTCTTAATATCAGAGAGATACTTGGGTAATTTTTGTCAAAATCAAATCGTGAGACCAGTCAATTGCTCTGTAATTACCGACTAATTTTCAAGGTATATAGTCTGCATACCTATACGATCTATTTTGAAGACGTGAATAGATAATAACAAGTATACAGACGAAAACAAAATATCCCACATTTTGTTATGAGTCTGTTAACTTTAACACTTTTTTGTCAAAGCTCTTTTTTCTGATAATATGAAATCGATAAATAAAAGCGCTGAAATCAGCGGATCAAATAACACGTTTGGCAAGGCAATATCGTTTCCCTTAGGAGGCTATTTAAACAAACACCAAATCCCTTAACTTATTAATCAATAATTAAAAACTGCAATACACGTGTGACTTGAGAATAATTAACACATAGACTGTCATATTTAAAAAGAATATAACTTTTGCGAGTAAAAATATTAAAGCGATATTAAATGATTTACTTCATCACTGAGCGATCGCTGATTGTGTTCAATAATTTCTAAATTATTGATATTAAAAAAAATCAGGTCCGAGGGAATGTTCAATTATTAAAGATTTGGTAACATCAAAACCACACACTATAATTAAAACCAGATTTAATACAGAATTTGATTTTATATTTTCTTCATTTATGAACATTCCATTTAATAAATTTGCCAAACAGAAATGTATTCTACACAAATAAAAAAAAAAAAAGATTCCTAATCATTATTGATTAATTATCTTTCCTTTAATAAATTGAGGGTTGATTCCATTGTATTCTATAAATAGATACCTTTATTAGATCCTAATGACACTGATTAAATCTTGCGAGTGTACACATACATTTACATGAACGAAATGAATAATAATTTCCTAAATAAATAAATAAATAAATAATGTTGCCTCTAGGAAAAATCAGGATATTTGAAAATTATCTAGTTATATATCTGTCCACTAAATATTTTCGTGTTTTTATTACCTATTAAAATTAGAGGTCAATTTACCGGAAAACAATCTGTAATTTTATTGGCCTTAGGTTTGGTGAAGCGGCAGAAATATGTAATGATATATTTGATAAATTGACCACCTGTCGTTCTGGACATGGCTATAGTTTACAGCTGACGAAATGATATTTATCACGCACGTGGTCCATGCAGGTAAAGTTTTTTTGTTTCCTTTCCCTTGCACAGTCATATGCAAACACATCAATATCCTTCAGGAAATGAATTATACCAATATAAGATTTTACAAACAGTTGTAAAGCCATTCATTGTCAGTGAGGAATCCATCAAAACTTATTTTGTATTTATATACTGGAACATGCAATACTTTCTGAAAACTTCGGATGAAACTTACAGTGTAATGTGAAATCTTTAAGCTTTTTATAACCAGTATAGAGTGCATGAAACAAATAAATAAAATAAAAACAAAATCCTTCCATTTACGTACAGTCCTCAAAAGATTAACTCGCAAAATAATGAATTTAAGTAAATGGACTATTTTACTGTAAAAGGAGTTACTTATAAGCATCTCCTTTATACCTGGAAAATGAACAGGTAATTGTACAAGGGCAATGTTATCACAAATAGCTAGGACCTACCTGTTTGTAAAACTATC